CTCCATGTTCAACATCTACATCAAGCGCGCCGCCGAAATCTACGGCGTCACGCACACGCGCGCCATATACGAGAAGGCCATCGAGGTGCCGCTCACGTGGACGCGCGCGCGCGCCAGCAGGCTATTTCTACGCTGTATTCTCTGAATTATAAGATGCTCCTGGAAGTAAGACACGAAATGTTAACTAGCTCACCTGTAATACAAGGTGGTCGTGGGTTCGATCCCGAGTGGGCGTGTTCTCCCCTTGGTCGCGTGAGATTTTTTTTGTCTCTCCACATTTGTAAATATGCGTTTGGAGCATTTGGCTGATGGAAATTTCAATCAGATAAGCAACTTAATTTAGCTATCATTTGTGGAAAGGTTGCTTCTGAAAAAGAGCTATATAGCTCAGTAGGCCTTACCTTGTTAAATAAACAATAGTAAAAATACACTTGTGCCCGTTGTCATTAAAGTTATACAAATCTGATCACGTGCACTCACCTACCGGATTATAAGATGCATCCCCAACGTATGCTTTAAATTACATGGGGAAGAAAGTGTTATAATCTAGAGAATACGGTAATACTGATTGTGTGGCATGTGCCAGTGTTGAGATGAAGTTAATCGATGCAATATTGATGCATGTAACTGTATTCCGTTGTCTTTCATATGTTGCACAATGTCGTGTTTTAGACTATGAAACTTTTAATTTTGTGGCAGTTACACAATACTGAGCCATTGAAGTCTGTCTTGTCGTCGTGTTAATACTGCAGAGTCTGGAAAGGCCCTCTTATTTTAATGACCTGGCTTAGATGACGTGTGGTGGTCAGTTGTACCCAGCAGTGGATCCAGGCAAGGAGAAATGTATTTGCTCTGCCAATTTAAACAAGGCGTTTTAGAAAAATAATGTTTAGATAATATAAAGTTACAATCACCAACTGGGTTTGCTATTTACCTTAGAACAAATGAATAACATTGTTAACTTAATTATATTTTCTGCTTGCACGCAAACATTTCTCATGTTTCACGTTTGGCTTGTCATAGTGACCCATGTGACTTCGGCCAATTAAAGAGCTACTGTGCGCTACAATGAGCAAATATTTGTAAAATAACCTTGAACAAAGTTGTACGTCAAGGACCCCATAAACACTTTTATTTTCCCAGTGTCACAGTCCTTGTAAAATGGAGCAACACAAAAAGAAACCTTGGCTGCGCATTGCGGGAAAGTTTGTACCGATTAACGTAAGCCTTTGTTACGTATGTGTTCATCAGTGCAACCCGTTGTCTATAGCAGTCGGCATCAATTGTGTCTTGTGCGGCGGTGTGTCCGTGGCGTGTTTAGGTGCTGCAAGATGACCACGCTCGCGAGATGTGCATGCGTTTCGCCGACATGGAGTGCAAACTCGGGGAGATTGACCGGGCCAGGGCCGTCTACTCATACTGCTCGCAGATGTCGGATCCCCGCGTGAGTCTAGAGCCGCACGCTCTCCACGCGACGGAGCGAGCAACTTCCTTCCTGCCCTTGTATTTAACATCGCCACGATTCCTGTAGTTGCTGGAACAGGTCGATTGGTAGAAAGATGTTGCTTGCACTCTATATGCTCAAGTCATTGCACGTCAAGCAATTCATCAACATATATTGTTTACGTTTGATATTACAATTGCACAAAATAATGCAGTTGTAGTCATGAACTTTCATGAACAGCTTAGAGCTTGAGACCAGTTGTAGAGCAAACTCATGGCCATGTACATAATTAAAACTTATGCAAACTGCTTTATAACTTATAGAAGATGGCAGCTGCTTATAATGATCATGGCTGATGATGAAATTTGTTGTATTTGTTTTTCTTGCAGACCACATTGTCCTTCTGGCAGACGTGGAAGGAGTTTGAGATCAAGCATGGGAACGAGGACACGGTGCGGGAGATGCTGCGCATCAAGCGTAGCGTGCAGGCCACCTACAACACGCAGGTCAACTTCATGGCGGCACAGATGCTAGCGGCCTCATCCACTACCACCGGAACAGGTGCTGTGCGTGTGTCTGTGCAAGTGTGCTCAGATCTCCTGTAAAAATGTCACGGTGTTTTCTTGCTAAATGAAATCCGTTGCTTGCTGCAACTGCAGGCGCTTGCATTGCGTACCAGTTGCCCGCATTGCAGCAGATTAGTGATCATATCTTCCCGACTGGATTGGATGTTCTCTCCATTGAAATATCTATATGTTGACACTGTTTAGTATAATAATTACATTAGGGGCAGCAGGCTGTATTGATTTCAATCAGAGGACCATGCGATTATTAAGGCTATATTGTGTTACAAAGCGTTGAAAGGAAATTGATATTGCACTGCTGCGTTTTAATAACATTAACATGTATTAATAAAGCCAGGCAGAATATAATCTACAGCAGTAGTAAAACTGCATGATTATACTTAATTTTCTTTATTACTGCTCTGCAGTGGCTGACCTTGCACCTGGACACGGCCCCGTGGATGAGATGAAACTTCTGGAGCAGAAAGCTCAGCTTTTGGCTGCCGAGGCTGCCAAGGACAAACCCAAGAGCAAGGAGAAAATTCTCTTCGTCAGGTTGGTTTTGCTGTTTTATCAGCGACAAGCAAACTTGACGCACCAGCACATCAAAACATCAATTAAAGAGCAGCCTATCGTCTTTGAAACGCACTTGGACTAAACTTTGGCATTGATATTCCTCAGTAATTCCAGCTAGTATCCTGTTTTCATTTGTAATGTACAATTGAATTATATATATTTTAAAGGAATATACAAGATGTTTCCAGAAATGGGAACATAGTCACTCGCGTTAGCTGGGTTTTTTCGAGTAGTCTTTGACACGCTTTCTCCAATTCTTGATCAGTTAATTTGGAGAGCTTGGCAGTGGCTATGAAAAGAAACGACTTGTTTGTAAAGTATGTGCAAGTACGAATTGACTTTCTTTCCGCATCTCCCATCGTCGGCTCGCAGGAGCGACACGTCCAAGAGTGAGCTGTCCGAGCTCGCCAAGCAAAGCAACCCCGATGAGATTCATATCGACTCTGACAACGACGAGGAAGCCGGGGAACCTGACGGTACGTGGAGCGAGTATGTGAGGTGTGGGGTGAGGGGTGGGGTGAGGGGTGGGGTGAGGGGTGGGGTGAGGGGTGGGGTGAGGGGTGGGGTGAGGCGCTGCTGGGATCTGGCCGGATTTCGATTGCATTATCGTGTCACCTGCTTTGTGGAAGCGGTGGCCTGTCATGTTTGCAACAACAATGTACAGTGTCTGTATTTAAAGGTCATCCTTATCCAATTATTGTCCTAAGGGGTTGATGGGATGACACTTTATTTGACACATGCCCTGCGACACAGATGCGTGGCACATGACAAGCACCAGTTTTTTTTGCATATACATTGTTGATCAACTTAGTACATTTGAGAGCCGCATTTAATTACATGTACTTGTCTTTATTCAAACCCAGCCTCTCAGCAGCTTGTTGCTATAACACTATTGATCCTCTGACCCACCAATACCTCGTCTACATTTTAATAGGTTGTGTGTGTGCAATTCACTGAGCCTTCGACCAGTCCACGCACAACCTCATTATATAGCTCTTTAATCTTACACACACTTCAATTCAATTGTGATGGATATTATGCATATTGAAAACATTTAAAGATGATCATACTTGGAAAGAATGATGTTTATGGATACTTAAGGATTGTGGTTGAGGAGGTAGAGCATTGGCATAGAGCATTGGAATATGAACCCAGCCACCGAATGTAAATTAAAGGGGGGGTCCCTGTAAAACCCACACATTGGTGAAATATGGTCAAACAATGCCAACGGCTGAAATGCGTTGGGTGAACTTTGACCAACACTCGATGAACAACGGGATGCCGCTGGGTAACCTAGAATGTATTTGGGAACAAATGAGATATGAATGCTTTGTCTGCAGAGGTGCAAGTGGAACAGAAGGCGGTGCCCAGCGAGGTGTTTGGAGGCCTCAAGGAGGACTGAAGACCCCCCCCCCACATTCCCATTAGGCAGTGGGGGGCCCCCACACCAAACATGGACTGTACATTTTCAATGCTTCATAAACACGTGCTCTGCTTTCCCCATTGAATGTTATTGTACTAACAGGTTCCACCATACAGAATGGTACAATGTTCATGGTGGCATTTGGCAAGTGTGTTTTAAAGATCTAACACAACAAATGTCTTGTTAGAAGATGATTAAGGAAGTGATTAGTATGTTAGGAAAGCAATTCACAGGCTTTGTAAAAAGTGGACTTTTTAAATGTTTTGTTTGGATAAAACCGGCACACATTTGTGTATTTTCAATAAATGCTTGCAAGTGTTGACCAGCTGTATGCTCGTATGTTACATCTATGCTGAGAATGCACATGCACATAGTGTGCAACATTTTTTTTACCTCTAAGGGCTGCGTTGCAGTTGAACTATAAGAGTTTTGGAAGTGTTTCATAACGCACATTAAAGGCATGTAAATATCGTGAGCTATTTTGCAACCCAAAACTTAAAAGTGCAATCATTTGTTCTCATTTTATTGCATATTTTGGCATGATAGCATGTATTTAAGTTTTAATGAAACATGGGACACAATTTGCACAACTGCACTTTTCAGCCAGTGTAATCGTCACTTTTTATAGTTAAAATTAGAATTCAAAAATTAAGTGTTTGCCGCCAGCCAAACAGATGTGGTTGTGCAGTCCACAATCGCTGCTAACGAATTACATTGCTCAAATCCTTGCGTGTAAACTGTAATCCAGAGCATTGCCTTTTGATCAGAAAGCTGGGTGTGCCTATTGTATTGCACAAACTCCTGCTTGGTGCACATCTGCATGAGCAATGCAATGTAACTATTATGAATATCAGTACCATGTTGAACCATGGTATTACATTTCAATGCTGTGATAGCATTTTTTACATCACGGTAGGCCTTGATAACATCACGTGTGCATTGATGGTTTGCATGTGCTATCTCATATCCCTTACAACTTCTTCCAAATTTCCCCTTTCTGCATCTGACAGCTGTTTAAAATAAGTGTGCTGCCCTGGCAGTTGTGCGGTCAGAACAGGAGTTTATAACAAGTTTTTGGGTTAGATCCCGTAAATATAAATGTCGTAAAACTCGCTAGCACACGACAGCCAATTAGTAAGGTTTGTCACGTAAATAGAACACGCAAATTCATTACGGGTACAGCACACCGGTGTGTTGGAGAGTAAATCCACATTTACAATCAGAGTACAATGTTTTTCCAGTAATTGCATGTTCTGTTTACGTGACAAACTTGAATTGGTGGCGGGTTTAACGACAATTATATTTACACGATCTAACCCCAAAAAAAACCTGTTGTGGATGATATTGGTCGCGAAAGCCTAGGTGTTAAACAGAACAGGAGTTATCTCCATGCTTTATTAAGAGTCGTAAGACTTGCTTAAAATAAATATACAGCAGTTTACACCAGTACCGATGACATACAGGCCTTGGAGAACAGTAGTGTAAAACCCAGTGGGAGGAGGAGGATCGGAAAAAGCACTACAACGGTTCTTGGCAAACCCAGCAATAACACTATCTTATCTTGCCATGATCAGATCAGTGCACACTGCACCTATGTACACAACTATTCACCCTCAACATCCTCGCATCATCATTCACCTTGGCATCTCAAGTTCAACCTATAAATTATAAGTAATTTTTTTCCGCATGCATTTAAACCAGTACAGCACTTGCTTAAATCCCAACATGAGTATCTTAGCAAATGAAAGTCTACTCACTTCCTCTATCAATACAGATCACATTTTAAGCGTTCAAATATAATGACACCAAGCGTCCCCCCCCACTCACCCAATAAAAAACATCTGCAATCGTACACGCACCAACACCACCAAAGTAATGAATCTCATTGAAGAGTTTGCAAATAAAATTTGCCAAGATTAAATACATCTCTATAAATAATATACTAGTGCATTGTTCGCAAAGCAAGCAACTCGCGTTCAGCCGGTTAAAAGTGACAAAAGGAAATTTCAACAACGATATTCACCCCAATTCCAGTTTCATCATTGGTCAGGATAACTATGCAGCCAACTGAAAAAAATGGAATGCCTTTTGCACTTATGCAGATATTAAATTCAAACTTTTACACAGAGGAAGATAAATCAACATTTTTTTTAAATTTCATTGAACTTTGTCCTTTTGGCTACAAAACATTTACAGCATTAAGTCACAACAATATGTATAACTCAATTAAAGTATCCGTGCCAGCGCAGTTTGTTCTCCGCTTTCATAAAGTGTCATTAAAAAAACATCCACCGGAATGTGAGTGTTTAGTATTAAACCACACGATACAAAACCAAGCGAGTGCACTCGGCACCTCGGTCCGCAACACTCACATTCTAAACACCTTTCACGTTGCACAAACACATTGGTGGGCTCGTACGACGTTGTGAAGTATTCAACATGGCTGGCGGTATATGGAATACGGCTGTCCTATGTCGAGAAATTTAGCCTTGGAAATATTGCGCTGGTATCACGCACACACGTGGTATTTAGTGTATTTTGCTGTTGGCAGTGTTATTTTAATTGCAAATGGATAGTGTTATAGACGGGGGTAGAGCGGTGGTGCCGTGGTCAGCATACTGTGCCATGAACCCGGCTTCCTGAGTTTGATTCCTGGCTATGGCCAACATAGGTGGTGAGTGATAATGCACTGACTAGCATGGTCAAACATTCCTGTATCCACATTGCATGGGGATGAGGCCTGAATCCAGCAGCTAATTAACAAAGGGTGTAAACAATGTTTAATGTGAGAATTCAATTATGTACACAAGCCACCAGCCAATACAACACTCGCGAACCAAGAGATCATTTATCATCAGTGTCCCATTCGTGGATTCAAAGTAAATTAAGTGCATACAAAACAAATACCAATATTTTAAAACACAACACTTTGTAAGCTTATATTTGTGCACCACCGTAGGGAAAGTTAGGGTTATGCAATTGGCCCGACATGGTGTGGAAATCAACCAACTAATCAAGTTCCATGAACTGAAATTATGTAATGTTGGTATGTGAATGAAATAAAATCAAACAGCAATAATTAAGTGACTGGGAATCTCTCCCCAAGGTCATAGCAGATACACATTGTCATGCTTTATTACAGGTAATGATTGACTATCTTTAATTGAACGTTGAATGCTTTAAAATGCTCAACTTCCTTGCCTTGGGGGTAAGTCTCCAAGGAAAAAGATGTTCAAGGTCCATTGTTAAGCAGCTCTCTCCAATGATGTCATATAAAAAAAGGTAATGTGCATGAAGTATAGAAATTGTCTTTTGGAATGCACGTTCGATTTTCATTTTCTGAACATTAAAAAATGCCAGTTTATGTACATGCATGAAATGTAATGTCATGGTTTAGTCACTGAATTTCAGAGCAACTCTTGGATATTTCAAAAATGAAGTTCAGTTTGTATGCAATCCAATCATAAAAATCATCAACTGGCTCACAAAAAACCCGCCAGTAAATCTATTAAGTTATTATTGATAACAGGGCAGTTGTATATTGTCATGCAGTTTTTAATGAGTACTGGTTTGATGCTATTCGTAGGTTAAATGCATGTGCTATCCTATGTCTAAGCCCTATAAATGTACATTATTATCGCCACACATCATAAATGTTCCTGCAATAATCCGTTTATAGAAGACAATGTCACAATCCTCACATCCCATACTTTCGAAGTGTTTGCAAATTAATCCCATTGTTCACGTGCCAGCAAAAAAAGTAGTTTTGTAATTTTAGTCTACTGTAAGGCACACCCCAAAGCAATTTCAGTACCAAAAATGTGATTTAATTAGCTGTGCTCTGAACGTTAATATTCATCGATTGGCAATGTTCAATTACAGCCAATTACAAGACGTGTCATGTTTAGCTCCTTAAAACCAATGCTAGATGATCTTGCCTTGCGAGTAAATTCTTAATTTTTGATTAACTCTGCAACCGCAGAAAATATTCTATCACTATGATCGCTTGCTCTGGTTTGAAACATAATTCGAATTTTTTTTTAAAGAACCAGAATATTCTCCTTGAACTTCTGGCAGGGCTTTTGACATGAAGCACCTTTATACCCAATTCTACATTTTATATTCGGCTTTTAAAAAGGCAAAAGTAATTCAATATCCAGTCGTTTTTCTTGATACGAGAAACAGTTTTCGGTGTCGACACAAAGGTAAATATCACTTCTAGCTACACGAGGCAGTTTAGTGGAAATTTCAAGGTTTTTATGGCCAAGGCAAAAACGTCTCCAACCCCTAATTTGAATGTAAAGCTCAGATGGCAAAAAAAATCTATCGAGGAGGCAGGTATGTATTCCATTGTCTCCTTCCATCTAACTTAAAAACCCACAATGAGAAGTCATCTTTCTCAGCCCATGGCAGTGTTGAGACACCAATTCTGCTCGGAACTCGGTCGCCCTTTGGAGGATAAATACAAATGGCCCATGGTGTCAGCGCGTGCAAGAGTCGATTGAATGAATACGTGTAAATCCTGCAAGGATCAGGGCTTGGCAGGACCCGGCTTCTTGCTGGCAGTGGCGGTGGAGGACGAGTACGTCGGTGTGGTGGGGATGATGGTGGAGGAAGGCCGGCGGGGTTGCCACAGGTGGTTCTGGATGGTGAAGGCGTCCATGCTAACCGAGATGGTCTTGGCGGGGATGGACGTGAACTGCTTGCGGTCCGAGCTGTACTTGTAGAGGCGGTCAAGCATTTTGGCAGACACGGCCTTGGGGCCGAAGCCTGTCACGCGCTGTATCTCCTCCGTCTCGGGGAAGAAGGCGTAGAGGGCACGGTACTGGCAGCCAGCGTCACGGAACAGGATCATGTAGTGGTTGGCGTCGCAGCGCTCCAGCTCCTGCCGAGGTCAGGAAAAACAGAAGGAAGCTTTTGCGGACGAGCCGAGCCAAAGTACAACTCGGGGGGGACTGCCTTGGCAGTGGTGTAAAGGGCATGAGGTCGAAAATACTTTAATCATCACCGCCGCCAATAAAGTAGCTTCGTTCAGGTTTAGAAAATAACCATACGTCAGTTCAATGCGTTCTTTCATGGACACTAGGATTCGATTTATCCACACACTTCCTGTGTTGTGCCAACTCGTATTGGCACAAAGGATGATGCAATACAAATCTTTTCTGAGGTCCAAGTAGAGAAATGAGGTACAACACCAAATCAACAGAACTAACTGTTGTAAAAACTCACACAATCAATGCGATGTGTAAAATATAACAAGCTTACGATTATAAACCCCCTTGCACCGGTTCAGCATAATCTCTCAAAAAAGGTGCCCACGTGAGAAAACGAACACCCTGGGGGCCTTACCTCGATGACCTTTTGTTTTTGCAGCTCATTTACTTTGCCGGCGAGGCAGCAGTAGGATAAGGCGTTGTGGATGATGTGCTTGTTGGATTTGGCACTTGGCTCCTTGTACAGCTTTGGACCTGCATACAACGTAACCACAATTAAGTTATCTGGATCTCACAATACAAGGGAGAGCATTCTACGTTTGTAACCCAAGCCCCATGCACATGATCCCAATTTGGCACCGTCATCTCGACTAACTCCACTCCGACAGCAAAGCACACTATTTTTTGGCCTGTTTATATAAAGCCCTTCATCATTCCACTTCTGGATGAAGGCCTGCCCATGTCATGTCAGTCAAAGCGGTTGTTGGACCATATTTCACTATGCTGGTCAGTATGGGTTGGTGAAGGGGTGGTCATTACAGAAATCTGCCCATGGATGTTAGCCATGACCGAGAAATAAATTCAGGTTCCTGGGCTCACAGCATAGTGCACTAACCATTCCATCATTCTCTAACTTACCAATGCAGAATATCTCATTTGCACTGGTTCCAGTAGTTGCTCACTGTGACATAACATGCAAGTGATAGAACACCGATGCCAATGGAGGCTGGGCGGTCAGCCCCAAGAATGACCAGCCTGGTCTGATCGCACCGACACCATGGGTGTCCCACACTCTTGCCCCTGACATCACTTCTCGACCCGTGCCACACGGTTACGAGTCGGGTGAAGGACAGCACCCGTCGTGACGTCACGGGTCCCAACGTGGGAGTAAGGTGTGCACATCTTGACATCACTTGTCGGAGTGGGAGGAGCGGGGGTAGGAGGGGGGGAACAAGTCCACAGAGGCTCATGAAGTATGGAGATATGAATTCCCACGCCGGCAGAGCCTGCTTCCCGGTAGCACTGTAAACAGGGCAAGCGCCACTCATCGCTAGGGGGAAAAGATGTTGTCCTTTCCCCGCACCTCAAATTAGCACGGTTGGCTACATACGGGGCATGCAAGAAGTTCAACATAAATACATGTGCCCATGCAGAGAGGTGGGAATTGGCGCACCTGTGTACTCCCCACCAGACACATGGGATGACACCTGCGAGGCGTTGTCCCAGTCCTTGTCTGCAGTCGGGCTCTCGCCCGAGCCCGCACCATCCGCATCCAGCAACTCCATGGAGCCAGACCTACACCCGCGTTCACGTTCTCAATTCTTAATCTGGTCTTACATTTGTAATGACAGGGTGACACCTGCTGGCCTGGAAAAGGAATCACGGGTACGGGCACGGTTAAGTAAGAACCAATCAGAGAAGGAGGTGTATCTGGGGCAAAGGTAACAGGTGGCGTTAGCCGTGATACTCCGGGAACCTGCTCGAAGGTTCTACGAGAGGGCGTGGCCGGAGGCGGGGCCTAGCCACGCCTGGGGGGATATAAGGGGGAGCAGAACCAGGGCTCAGGGCTCGTGTGTGGGATTCTGGGTCCTGGGCTGCATCGCTGCTCGCCGACATCTCTCTTCATCGTCCGGCCACGTGGAAGATCTTCTGCGGGGTTTCCATCGCCGTCATCGTCACGCCGCCAGCCAGCGGCGTGGCTGAGTGAGGGCGATGGGACCACGCCGAGTGATCGGCTGTGTGTGTAGCCAGTAGAGGTGTTAATACCTAGAGTTATACTCAGTGTGAGGAAGAGCAAGAGTTGGCCTGTGTTGTGCCCAGTGTGAGTAATAAAGAAGTACCTTCTACACGACATGTCACGCAAATCACTCATTACACATTTGTTAATAATTGACTATTCCTATAAACGGAACACACTGCGAAAACAATTACATGACACCTTAATATAAGAGTTGTGAAATATAACTGCATTATTACGGAGGTGGACATACGAGGAAAGTCGAGTTCGTGTTTTGGTATTATCACGAAGGAATAATATTCCTTGAAATAAAACCTAAACTTAAGATTCGTTAGAATGAAATGCAGAATATTTATATAAACACACACTGGAAACACCAATTAAATTAACAATAACAATATGTTGAAGGAAAATATTGGATGCTTTCCAACAAGCGAGGTGTGGCTTAGCCAAAACTCGTGGATACATAAAGCCACTGATTTAAATCCATTCTTATACTCAAGACGTAACCATAGAATCTTAAGTGTGAGAACCAATTGCATACCATTTTTACAGACTACATGCTTCCACATTTCCACTGATAAGAGCGGACAAAACTGCACAAGGCAAAGAAATTACAAACAATACAAACGAAAGGCAAAAACACAAGACATTATGACCGTGAACCGTAACGACTCATGGAATCGCTGGAGGTAGGCGCAGCAGCGAATCATTACACACTGGATATAAATAAAGCGATGACTCGCACAGCAGGCTGCTTGCAGAATTACCACGGCTAACAAAGTGCTGCAAAACCTTTGTGCTTTAACTGGTGGTGTGCATTGAATCAGAATACAGTAAACCTCGCTCTTTCAGTACCTGATCATTCGTAATTGGGGATTATTCGGCATGGCTGCGCTTTCGGCATATATACAGTATTAGTAATTCGCCACGAGCCAAATATCCGTACCGAATGGTCCAATTTCGGCATGCACGTGGAGCGACGCCGTGCGCCATGATCAAAACAAGGACTCAGTCTGGTGGTAGCGCGCATGGTGAGCGCGAGTGCGGACCTGTAGCTTTGGACTTTACCTTGTTTATGCACTCTGTGCAAGCCAACCCTCTCAAAGATGTCGTCTAAACCTACATCAAGTAATAGAAAGGGACTGAAGATACCCTTAAAGACAAATCCAACGTTTTGGATATAATTGATGCAGCTGTGTCAAAGGCGTATGGTGTGCGAAGAGTTTGGAAAACAAATTTAGAAAAAAAATTATTGGGGCAGGAGGCACTGGGGAGTACCATTGTACATAATTCCGAATATTGGATAATTCGGCAAGGTCAGAGCCACCATGTGTCAAATTAACAATGGTTTACTGTATTTAGACTGCAGGAGGAATCCGATGAGCTATGAAGCTCTTTTTCACAGATGTCCAGTAGTAGGGGTGGGTCAGCAAGTTACACCAACAAACATTACAAAAAAAAAGACAACGATAGGAGTGCAAAACAGAGAAAAGGTAAGCAAGTCACAATAAATAAATATAAATAAAGTACATAAATTGCTGCCGATGTGTCATTGGTGTTGACACAACACCAAAAGGAATACAACAAGTCCCAGATCACACGAAGACAACACACAGTCCCCCAATTAAAATTTGAACTATCGATAGATACATGGATAAAGAATCAAAGTTACCAATCACATTTGCATCTGTCAACCCGTAGCAGTGCCTCCCCTATAACAGACCAATTTAGACCTGATTGGTCATCCCGTGCCCTTATAAATCTCAACGTTCACCCTACAAAGTCCCATCACAAGGGAGAAACACAAACAAAGACGATGTTATTTTGTGCCCGTATTGAAACGGCTGTATGCCGTATTGGACCATAAAACTCGATTTCCCTGTACGGGTTCACACGGTATGCATTAGCAAATGTGGCTGTATGCAGGCTGGCGCAGCACCTGTTGGGACGTCGGGAACGGCCACCCTCCGGCTCGCTGTTGGTTGTGGAAACCAGGGAGAGGCTGGATGCCGAGTGAAACCGGTTGAGGGCGCCACCTGCATGCCCGCACGCGGCACTTAGGGGAGCCACCCCCCACCCACCCACCAGCCCCAAACACCACATTCTCTATGTACAGTGGGGGTTCAACGTCATTGCCGATGCTTTGGGAAAATATTGCTCGTGCCAAACAGGCCATAGGTGTGTCTCTCATTGTTCATGTTTTAAAAGAGATCACGTTAAAACAATGCAGTAATGGAACATTTTTTTTTGCTGAACTGGTGGATGCCTTGGAAGGCATTGCGTTTTGAGATGTTGTCTAATTCAGACGCGTTATAACATCAAATTGTGTTTTATTGTGAGCTTGATTAAAGCAATATTGTTTGTGGACTACTATCTGTTTGGGTGAAATAATTTGTCAGCTGGGAATTAACAAATTACATTTCTATGGGTCAGTATCCACAGACAGACAAGTTAAATATCCAAAGCAATGCTGTATTACAGTACATAAAAAACATACAATTGCAACATAGAAGCCTTAATATATTTTTTACGTGAAGCACAAATGTATTCCTTTCGCAAAAACCTTCCATAAGCCAACCCTAAACATATATAATTTTTAAACTTTAAAAACTTCATTATTATTATCTTTAAATTGGCACTGCACAGACATCAAACTGTGCCTGGGCATATATTGCTGGACTCTCGTATTTCTACATGTATTCTATCATCGTTTACGACAGCATGAGTAAGGGCCTGGTTACACGCAGTCTATCTCATATATCAAGAGAAAAAACTGTGGATTGGAAAGGAAAGGATCAGCACTGCAGTGGCTGTGCAGTGGCTGAATCTTTTGACAGTCACATACCGACTGCGGGCTTGAAAGGCGACAGGCTGGCACTGCCGCCCTCTTCACGGTGCGCCGACTTGGGCCTGGGCTTCCTGATCTTGGCCTTGGCGCCTTTGGTGGCCTTGGTGCGGGCCTGGTGCTGCTCCCACTGCTGGTCCTGGTGGCGACGCCGGAAGACCTCGCGCACGTACTCGCGATCCGCCTTCTTCTCGGCCTTCTTCGCCTCGTCCTCCTCCGCCTTGCGTCTACGTCACACAATCCCGGTAAGATGCTCTGGCCTAAGGCTTGGTGCAAACGTTTTTCTTTCTCTTTAAATTATATGTTTGGGTTGTCACCTATGAATTTAACTATGGACAAATAAAATTATGTAAGAGAGTGTTGTACTCCAAAGTCACATTCTGGCAAATGTGTTGGGACAATGGCATCAACTCATGTAAGCTATTTACAAAGTTAACAACAAGTCTAAATAGTGCTGATGACATCTGAGAAATGTACTATCCTTACAAATTATGCACCGATTGCAAGCACAACTTTATTCCAATTGCACTACCAGTGTCATAGTACGAGATGAGGTGGTTCATTCAGAACTGTTGCATACGCTGTGTTCGAGACAGGCCGATGGAAGGAGACATCTCATAACTTCGTCTAAAATCACTTCAATTGGCTTTTTATCCACAATACTACACTGAAAGGTTTGACTGGAAGGCAAACTAATATTCTGTATCCTCAGAGCTGAATGGGATTGATTTTTTGTGCCGTTATTGGTAACCAGGCTTACACCATCAACTCATGGTACTCAACAATTCTGGCTCAATGAAGGTGGCTCCACAGGTTCGAACTCGGCAACTCCGTGGTGCCAGCTCAGGTTCCTGATCCTGACTGAACCACTTGGCCACCTCCACAGCTTAATTTTTCCTGTAAAATTTGCTTTAAAAAAGCTATCATAACCACCTTACTCAGAAAAGCAACGCAGTTTACACGTGTGCAAGAATGATGTATATTAAACTTCTTTTGCACCGTACGTAGCCAACCGTGCTAATTGTATGTGCGGGGAAGGACAACTAAATACTGCTATCTATCTAAAAAGAAAACTTTAATCAGTATAAAGTTTTTAAACCCCCCCCCCTCGCCCCCCCAATATGGCAATTCAATTAATAACAATGAACCAGCAACGCTCAAGTCAAATGTTAGTAAATGTCTGCAAATCGGCTCCGGTTTCATTATTGGCCCTTACTTGGCTGTGAAGAAAAACGTCATGCCAGAGTAAATTATTTTAAAAACTGTGGAGTTTAAGCAGAACCCGACCATGCACCATTAGGTTGTGGTTAAAGGTCATTCCAAAAATGTATGTGGCCAATAAAATCCCGGCGCAATAGGAATCATTCAAGTGCTGCTTAGAAGTGAATTTATAAATAACACGGTAACAGTTCATCACGATTCCGACGGGTATTAAAAAGGTCAATGGCAGCCTTCTCTTCCAGGCTCGTTTCATTCCCCTGCACTTCCACAATGAAAGACGTCGATTGTTCGCGCGAGCACATTCACACCAGCCAACCAAAACTAATCCCCAAATGACCTCACCGCTGCAAGCCGCCCTCTAAATCTGAGTTAAGTGGCCCATTAGCGAGCACAGATGACCCATAACGTTTGTAACACGCGTATCTTGGGTAACACTTCAACGTAGATGTCTCGGGTAAACACAAACATAATTACAAAGCAGATGTGGACGTTTCTTATAAACTGATACACAATAACGGAAATATATACTTTATTTAGAGGTCCCAAAAAAAAGCTACCGAATATCAGTGCAGTTACAACAGTGTGTGGTTGAAACATTCCAAAAGGCAACTTTTTGTCTGTGGCTAATTTTAGTTTCGGCAACAGCAACTTCACGACTTAAGCGTGTAACTACCTCCCTCGGCACAAACATCAGGCGGAAAAACACAACCTGTTTCTGTAAAGAGACTTACATTTTCAGCAGAAAAGAAATTAATGGCCATATACAGTAAAAACACAAATCCTTGAAAGAAGCCATCACTGCATCACTGCTTCATCACACGACAAAGGCTGGCGTGTGGAGTGAGATACACTGAAACCATTATCCATGACGAGAGGACCTTTGATCAACACCACAGTGTATTGCCATAAAATGCACTTCGGACGAAATGGAGCTGCCAAAGTGGTGTGGCGCGGTGCGCTATGATCTAAAAGCGTGTCCAGCCCCTCTCATCCCCTGTCGCGCTCGCAGAATCCTCCGTACCTCTCCTCCTCTCGCTTCTTTTCAACCTCTGCCTCCATCTGTAGCTTCTTCAGGCGCGCCTCCTCCGCCTTCTTCTGCTGCTTCTGCAGGAAGGCCGCCTTCCTCCTCTCGCGCTCCTCTTCCGTGGGGCCCTGGTCTCCCTGAATTGGGTACGCGGCGCACGCAGACGGACGCGTTGGCACTGAGGCACGGTTTTCTCCAGGAGACAAACAAAGTGTCACCGGGCCCCCGAATACCGTTTGGCGTCATAAATGTCAGAATTCAAGCGAAGATACAAGCTGCGAGAGAAACATGCCCAGACAGTTTACCAGACAAAGTAAGGCAAATTGTTGAAATTCTTCAAACATAATTTAATACTTTTCTTTTCAGAGCTTTAGCATTGTCTGGAATTGGCTGAAGTGAGCATTTTCCGCCACTGGAACACATGCACATTTTATTGTGCCATATGCGATGGTACATGCCTGTAATCCAGCACTTTTGGAGGATGGATCACTGAGATTTGTGAGATTTCAAAGACATGCTTGGTTGGGAAATGGCTAAAAAATAACAGTATAGAAAGAGGGTTTGCGAACCCCTCCAGTTCAAAGGTATTATCTCCTCTTACAAGTGGGGTTTTCTTCGGGTACTCCAGTTGCTTCCCACATGCAAAAAACACTCATCAAGAACTGGTTTCACATCCAAACGCAAAACCCTTTTGAAAGTCTTGATCTTACTATAATTTAAACAAATTTAGGGTTGGATTTTGCAACTGTCTTTCAAAGTTTTACACAAAGTTACATTGCTTTGGCTTGATTGACCTAGTCCCCCACCTGCTGCGGAACAACAGAAGAACACATTTGCTAAACAATTCCTACTGCACAAGTTTGAATTACGAAGCTCATAGCTGGTTAACCACGTACCAGAGAGCTCTTCAAGATTATTCCCACAAATGGTATTATCTGAAATATGCAACGATAATAGGAAGGCGTGGGGTGGGGAGCGATTACAAATGCAATCATGCAGTCGTTGAAGCAACATTGTAATTATTCAATTATGACACGACCATTCCCACATTTCCCGCCTGTACAAGTTTAGTTCTGATACAAGTAACACACGCTTACATTACACTGGTCGGGGGAGGGGGGGGAAGGCAACGGGAAAATTCTGATACAAACACACTGTAGATATAAGCACAAGTGGCCTCGCTCCCAAGGGGTGTGTTTATATCCAGCTTCTTCTGTATAAATAATAAGACAATTTATAACGCGCGCAATGTTGTGGACTGAAGACGCAATTTCGAGGAGCGGAGCCGAGCTCAGTGTCAGATCGCGTCGCGCGGTCCGGCGAGACTCAGTTAAACGTCGAGCTAAACAGATGCGGCTTTAGATGGTTTTTGAACGAAGAAAATTATCGATCGTTATGGATGTGAAGAGGGATGGCGTTCCAAATGACGGGGGTTTCGACGGAGAAACGACAAGAAGCAATTACAGTCCTTGTCCTGGGAGTTTCAAGGAGAATGAAACGATATCCATCTCATCTCTGCCATCCGCTGACTTCCAAATAGAATAATACATTTTTCTTTCTAGGAAATCCTCACCCAGTTTCAAGACTCTTTTGTCAGAAGGGTCTCACCTGTATGATGTTTTGAAAAGTATATTATTTCCAAGCAATATTCAAACACTTTGCTAAGAGCACCGACCCAATTAGTTTGTTAGTTAATAATTGAATCCAATATACTTCACTTTGGCATTCAGATATGACCTCCCTGAGGACGTAGTGATCCAAGGTTAGAGTCAGAGAGCTGCCTTAATGTACTGGCAAACTTTGAAAACATGTTGAGCAGCAGAGGGCAGTTTGACAAATCAGTTGTTGTATCACACTACTCACTTTCACGAACCCACGCCAACCAACGTGCTGAAGCAAGTTCAATAACCCCCAAGACAAGTATGGCGTGGGGATGCCCTCATCCAACAGCGGATTGACCAAAAAGGCTGCACGCGCACATACCTTAAAGAAGAATCCCAGCGCTGCCTTCTGCTCGCCATCTGTGGAATAATCAGCAGCATTCTCCGCTGCATCATCTTCCGACAGGAGGCCCTCGGGGGTGTTCATTCCGGACAGGTCCACTTCAATCAATCCCACTGGTCTCTGCGCGGGAGTCCCGACCTCTCTTGCCGGGCTGCTGGTGTTGGAGCTTGCCCTGCTTCCTCTCAGTTTAACCGGCGATCCTTCCATGGACGATTGATTCTCCATGGCGACAATGCTCTGCACTTCCTTTGGCGAAGGGGTTTTAACGACGGGTAATGGCTGTCTAGGCTGCGGAGGTGCCAGTTCAAAGTCCGCAGCTTCCTCCGCTTCATCGCGTTCATCCTGTCGGCCCGGCGCCAGGTTCAAAGCTGTTTTGCTCGGGCTCACATCCCTGGAGTCAATGGTGGACTTCCCGCTGGAGACCGTAACCTTGTCACTGTCAGACTCAGCCTTTGACATGGTAGGGGAGGAAACTTCGGTCTCGTCGTCGCCAAAACAGATGGTCGAGCTGGTCTGCATTCGCACTTCGTTGGGCGCGTATCGACGGCGGTGCCTGAGGTTATCGACGTACGGCTGCGGGCTGAGCACTCGTGCCAGGGAGGGCTGTGGAGACTCCTGGGGCGGACCTACGACGGAGAACCTCAGCTCGTTGGGTCGCGGTGTTGAGTTGTTTCTCGGGCTTCGGAGCTGCACCCGTGCCGGGGACTTTGAAAGGTGGCGGCGAGTCGGCGTGCGATTTGCCGGGGATCCTGAAGATGCGGGCGACAAAGAATAGGTGTCGTAATTTTTCTGCGGAAGCCTCGCCTCAGCCTCGGCCATGGCTTGCTGGCTGTCCCTCATCTGCAGCAGGTGCTCCTGTTGCTGGGCCATTCGCAACATCTCGCTCTGAAGCCCACGCAGCGTGTCGTTGAGCTTGTAGATAGAGCGGCTGTACTCCCCAGAATCTGCCTCGCCTGCATTTTCCCTTTCCAGATCCTCCTCCAATGCACCGGTCACCTCAACTGGGAGACCATCTCCAAGCCTGCCGGACTCATCATAATCCCGCGGCTCTGCGGCCCACGCACCCATCATCTCTTCCGATGCTCTGTCATCTCCAAACGCTTCCGCTCCAACAACTTCTCGGCTTTGCCTAGACATGTCTGTCACCGTGTCGTCTTCGGCTCCACTGTCCACCGGCGCCTCCAACTGGGTTCTGGCGGGCAACATTTGCTCGCCGCCGCTCTCCGACGAATCCCCTCCGATGCCTTGGGGGTCGAGACGATCCTTCTTGCTTCCTTTAATAACATGCATGAACGCCTCCTTTCCAAACTTCTGCCTCTGCTTGGCGCACAGAGCCTCCACCTGCCGGCGCTGCGCCTCGATGGCCCGTCGCTTCTCCTCCAGCTTCATCTGCAGCCGAGCAACCTCCGATGCCAATGGGTGATTGGGAGGGGACCCCGTCTGCTGGTCTTGCTCGGATTCTTTGGGCAAAGCTTGGTCTCTGTGGCCCCGGCCCTGTCTGGTGGCGATAGTGTGAGGATATCCGTTCTCCGAGCTGTCCGGGGTTGACCTCAGTGAACTGCTCACGCTGGACTTGGTCTCCGCGCTGTTAAACTTCCGAAACTTCCTCTCGGCAAAGCTCGTCATTTTGACGCCCGAACTAGAAGATGTATTGCTCTCAACACTCGGACAGGGGCTTGGGCTTGGGCTGGGGACTGGAGAGCTCAAAAATTCACTCTGTGCTCCTTTCGCATCAGTGTTGTCGCTCGACTGAGGTTTCCCAGAATCATCCACGTCAGAATCAACCTCCACAATGCTGCTTTTTTTGCCATTCACTGGGTCAACAACCGGCAGTCCAGCCGCCAGGGCTTTTTCTGGCGTGTCATAGTGACTGTTTAACACAAAGCTTGCCCTGTTCGCATCAGGTTGACTCCAGGTGTCCGTTGAGTGAAGGTAGAATCCACCACCGGCCTTGCCCTGCGGGTGTGCTGCTGCTACCTTGGCAGGGGAATTCACCCTCCTCAACACTGGCAGTGACTGGACATCGAAGCCGTCCTCTGCAGGTGACATGTTTCGCACGTCAGCACTCGTGACTGGGCCAAATGTGACAGATTTATCTGGGAGCTGGCTGCTCGCTTTCCTTCTTAACGGCACGGAGGAACCGTGCTCCTTCATCTTGCCGTCGTCTTCCGACTGTTCGCCCTCCGCCCCCAGCATGCCGTTCGCCAAGTTATCATGACCCGATGCGAATTTTCTTAGGATGCAGTCACTAATCCTCATCTCGGACGTTTCTAAATCGTCACGGTACGCCTCCCCCCTTCCTCCGTCATCTTCTCCTGACATCAAGTCCGGGGATGCCTTTCCAAGCCCCCTGCTTGGTCTTTTTGCCAAGCTGTCCTTGCTGCGAGATTTTGGCATGGGCTTAGAGTCATCCCTCAGTCGGTCATCAAACTTGATTTCAAAGGAGACGGACTGCGACATGGGCCTGTTGAAATGAACAAATCATGTTATTCAAAGGTAATATAAAATATGGGCGCGCAACAAAGGACCCGCTCCCTTAAACGACAAGATATTAACTGCTAAGGCAACCTGAGAATGCAATGAAATATAATGTGTGCCGTAAATAACTGACGGTAATTACACATGTGGATAGATGTCATATAAGCAGTACACTTAAGACTTTGTCCCATTTAACGAGTACACAGCAAGGCATGACAATCCCTGATCCATAGAATCCTGTTTGGAACATCACTAATATGACATGCACAATGAATACTTTTGTCAAAAGGCCAAGCTGAATTTACTCAGATTTACATTGTCATGCAAGCCCTATACAGCTAACTTCTTGATAAACCCCTACGCCCCATCATATTCGTCAATAACACTGCCTTAAAAGCAACAAATATATCAAAGGCAACTTATCGGGCAATGGCCATTCTTTATACATGATTTTGCCGCTATACATTTCCACATGATAAGCCACTTTGTTGAGCTATCATTTGTGGCCAGGTCACTTCTGAAAAATAAGTTCATAGCTCAGTGGTCTTTACCTGGTAAGGTAAGTGATTTGTTTACCTTTCCTTTCCTTTGCACTCCTATCGTGTTTTTGTCTTATTTGTTGTTGTAACGTTCTAAACTGCCCCTACTGGATATCTGTGAAAAAGAGCTTTATAGCTCATCGGATTCTTCCAGGATAAATAAATATTCAGATTTTATAGCACATCTATCTGTTTTCTTTGAAGGCAGTGTTATTGACGAACATATTGAGTTTTTTTTGCTGTGCTTGTGCACCACTGCCAACGCAGCATCGCCAGCCACATAGTCTGCATAACTTATTGATCGTCAAGCTTGCTTTCACAATCATGTTATAGTAGATAAAACAATCGGTTGACTTAATTTGGCTCATTGCTAGAGATTACAATAATCACCCAAACGCAAGCAAGTGCTGTCTTACCTTTGTTTGACATCTGGTGATAAAGGAGCTTGGTCCAACATGGCCAGTGATCCAGACTCGGAATTTGGCAGTGCTGAAACGGAGACACGTACAATTACACTCCTACTAAGTAACGAATGAACCACAGAAATAAGTTCTGACAAAATGCTATTTCGGTCATAGGTGCAGCATGTGAGCCTATGACCAAATCACCAAGAATGTCCGATCTTGTCAAATCTCTGATACTTAGCAGTGTTGAGACTTAATCGTGCTTTGATGGGCGACGACCGAGCACCGCAGGATGTTATCGGCTGTGGGACTACACGGTGGGTAGCAGACAGCAGCGCAACAATATCTAATATCCTGGACATATATGTTCCCATGTCTATTTGCCACTCCTTCACCAACCCACATTGACAAGAGTGGTGAAGCATGGATAAAAAAACCCCATGACCCACACATCATCCAGAAATGGATTTACACAGGGCTCTGTAGCATATAAATACCACCTAGCATTTTCAATAATCAAGCTCAGCTTAATGTCACAAAGGTGACATTTAGACAAACACTTTACACGTTAGCATATTGTAATTCTGGCATTGCTGGATATCAGAATGTAAGCAATCCGCTTTCACTCGTGAATCTCTCACCGTCAGTGGAATGCTCGAGGGGTTCCCTTGGACACACAAACTCTGGTCTCACCACCTCAAAGCACCAGAACAACTCGGCCACAAAAGCCATGATGTTTGTCTGAAAAATCAAAAGGAACACATATTTTGGTGAAAAAACATATTTCGCAGCTTGAATTAAATTATGAAGGTTTGTGTTTTTTTTATATTCTTGGTTCTTTTGGTAAAGTCACGTTGAAGGGAAACAATAAAATAATAAAAAAATATATAAACCAATAAAATTATCACGAATTTTATTACATTTTTGTGTATGTATGTAAGTATGCATGTTTGAACATCTTTCAAACCGTATGTAGCCAACCGTGCTAAAATCGGGTATTCACTGCCAACCCCTTTGTCAGTATGAAAAAACTATACGCTAAGTACAAAAAAATTATATCTTTGAAAAAGAAACCCGTTCATAAAAGTAGACAAAGTATGAGAACTGATCAATCCGACAAGCTTCCCTCGCTTTACGTGACGCGTTCCAACAAAAGGGCGCACAAAGCGAAACCGGGCGGGGCGACAGCTGCCTGCCAAGTAGCGTCCCACAGCGCACACACACACTGTTGCCCCACGTCAAGCCACGTATCCGCATACGAGTGAAATCAAACAGCATAGAGCGGAATTTGAGTAGAAATAGGCAAGCCGCATATTAGCCAAGCTGCACAAACCGAACCCGTATAAAACGAGGGAAACCTGTAGTTAAATGTTATGATAAACTCTAGATAAAGGCCTTTTTTTGACCAGTGTTATGCACAGAGCTACAAAGGTCAGCACAACTTGCTTATATAATAAACCGCTACGACAACCAGACTGTAAAACACATTTGTGGCAGCAGCTAAATATGGATCTAGTGCTAAAATGTTTATATTTCATCCTTTTTAACCTATAACAGCACAACATAAATGAACGATTGAGGAAGCATCTGCTCTGGCTGCCTGATAAAAATAACAAGAAAAAAACAAAAGAAAAACTTAACTAAAATAACTTTATTAAACACGGACTTTATTGTGCTCCACAGCACACTTTTACAGTTGGGCATGAAAAATAAATGTGGCATGGGATATTACACACAAACAAACAGAAATAGTTATTTGTTTTAGGACTGTCACATTATTGTTTAATTGTATATTGCCAACTTTTAACATGGCTAAAATTGGGTTTGTAAACAAATCGAAGAGTAAATGTCCTAAGGTTATTGACATCTTTATAAATATATTTGAAGCATTTTATTTCTGTTCGCTAATTATATTAGTCATGTCAGATTAATGGTCACTCGTTAGGAATCCAGAAAGATTAATTGCAACGAAAGTGGATGGTAACAGAAGCTAAGGTTGACTGAAAACTGTGGACCGATTCAGCGAACAAGACACTAGAACGGAAAGGAATGACACATGGAAACACCAGCACCAAATAGTCTACAATAGCTAATGATGGACGACCGCTGCCAACATTTCCATGGACACGGGCGGCCTCAATAAAAGAACATTTCGTGAGCAGCAATATTTAGTTCCTACGCCATGCAGGGCTACCTTGAGAGCAGGTGGACAGCGCAGCAGGTCGGAGGGCGTGAGCAGCAGGCAGCCCTCAAAGTGTTGCTGAGAAACGTCCATCAGCAGTCGAATGTTGTACATTCGCTCTGTGGGGCTGAGTCTCTCCTTCAGGCACACGTCTGCAACAATAATGAGGGCACCCGTGATTACACAACCAAAGCAAACACACGCCAGCATTTACACTGTATTTATCTTCAATTTGCCCAAGTTAGCCGATTGGGGGACATGGCGAGTTGAACTAACACAAGGCCTGAAGACTGGACTGTCGTAAATAAGCAACCAAATCTGGATAAAAGACACTCAGCTTTAACTTTTTTTTAAAAATGGATTGGGCAACATGCTTACAAGAAATAAAATAGGATGATAAAAAGTCAAGAATTTTATCAAACAAAAACGATAACATAGAATACCAGCTGAGATAGTCAGCCCCCATGTTGTTACTGTACATCAGAGTTGTTTATCTAAACATTTTATTGGAATTAGTTGAGAACTCGTTGCTCGGCAACGTATAACAAGAGACAGCATTCGATTTCACACTATTCTCACAATCCTGCACTCAGAGCAAGATAATATGTATTGTGAGGTGTTTTCCCGCTTCAACTAGGATTGAAAGAATATTATGGTGAAAGCATGACATTAATAGGAGCACAAATTGAAAGGTTATAGCAATTCTAAATGAACCATGTCAGTTTTCTGTATTCGTTACTCCCACCTCTTTGGTGTCACTATCTGTTATATCTCTTCCGAACTTCTTCCGCCAATTAAACTCAATGTTTATTTGTTACATGGAAAATTACGTTTGCCAGTCGCCCAGCTAGTTTCTGTCACTAACAATAGTTATTATAAAATTATAAAATGCTATCTGCGCTCGTCTCCACCCCACTAACAATAACAGGGGTAGCAGCAGTAAAATGGCACTTCAAAAGAACCATCACAATGGGACGCAAGACAGCTACAGCCTCAGCGGTTTTAAGTCTTTCCTTTCCACAAGACCAGACGGAAAATTATGGGTGTGGGCATATTTGGGTGTGGGCGAGTAAAAAAAAGCACAGTAACGGAACTTGGGCCGATCAAGGAATTTATAAAAGGGTGAAGGGGGAGGGTGTGAAGTGAGGGAGGCGAGGTGGAGCTCCGTGCAATGGCCACAGTCGGTGGCGAGTGGAGCTTGCCTCCGGTTAAATTATTAATTTGTCACACCGCTCTTACTGTGCAGAACCACATTTTAAAGTCGGCTTCCAGGAAATGTTTGGATCTTTGCTGGGAAGCAGGGTGTCGAGGCAGTTAAGGGGGTGAAGAAAGATGGTCGAGTTAGGGGGAAGAGTTTCGGGAATTCCAATCCTCTCCACTGAACCCAACCCCACGTAGAAAATGTGGTACCTTCTAGCCTAAGCAGTTCCGGGCAGTAGTAGTGGATTAGACTGAGGAGGGCTCTTCCATCAGATATCTCAGACAGGCTGCGCAGCACTGGGATGACTGGTAACTGCCTCGACACGGACTGATCCTTTCGATATCGCACCTGGAGAATAAAAGGAAAACACATGCACATGTATAGAAACATGCGCATAAGCACTTTTCATTTCAATACAGTAACACAACTGGATGCGGATTGTCAAAAAAACATTGCTTTCATGCTGTTGCGTCCTGTATGATTTGAAATGGAATAAAAAAATGAAAAAGATTAAATGAAAATTGCATTTTTTTAATTTCATACCAACAGTTTCATCGCAGTACAGTGTAGATCACAGATATAAAACTATCACTGTTGTTACCATTAAAAATGCATTATAGAGCACGCAAAACACACAGTGTCAAATGCAATGCGTTAACACACAACTGTGTCTTAAATCATAAAAGAATGTATTCCAGTTGACTGCACCCCAAAATCATAAAATAAAGCCACAAAGTAATTGTTGTGCTACAAACGTTACTATAGATTTTTATGCAGCACTAAAATACTTTATTAAACTTCAAACTAGCTTAATAATAAACAGTACCGTACCACTCTTGCATTTTCCTCTGGTTCTTTCAAACACAACGAAACGGCAAGCATCAAGTCAGGCTGAAGGGGAGTTGACAATGGAGAGGAAAGAGAGGTGGGCTTCACCACAAGGAAAATAAACACAGACCGAAAGAAAAGCACCAGAGTATGAAACAAAGAGGACAAAAAGCATGTGTGAATGCAAACAAATGCGTCCAGTGGTGACGAGCGATCGTGAACACAAAATGGGTGGTAAGAAGTGTTTCTTCTTCACGTGGAGTTGGAACAGCAAACATTGATGTTTTGGGTAAGACTTACAGGAACCAGCTTCCAGTACCACTTGGCCGGAGACTGTGCAGGAAAAGAGTTGAAAAGCAAAGGGAAGGTAAAGTAGCCTTGATTACACTAATCTGCTGGGAATCTGGTCACGGTCAATTCCTAATGTGTTTTTGAATTGCTTCTGATCAATGACAATGTAATTAGACCTGCTGTGTTAAAAAGCCTGTCTCCTGCTGAATTAGTGTGACTCTTGGATGATTGAGATTGTGTTGGCCAAGCTTGACTTTGCAGACTGCTAACTACCCCAAGCACAACGCCAAGACAAGAGCGATGTAGAATTTCAACGTATTTATTGAAATTCTGATAACGTAAAACAAGTAAAAATCATCCAATAATACATATGCTGGTTTTGTTAGATGAATAACATGAAATGTCAAGTGACCACAATCAATTTCAGTGGCCATATTATTCCTCATATTACTAAACAGTACAGGATATTTGATTGTATTTCTTACAGAAAGCTGAACATGCCAATTCAGTGAAGTCGTCAAACAATGTAATACATTTCCTCTGTCAATGCCGCTGGGAAATGACCTTGGCGGCTGCCATTAGTGCCTGGCTGGCTTAATCTTTACAGTACGTTTAACCCCTTCACATGCTCAAACTTTGCAGAATGTCCTTTGTTTTCCCCTGTACAAGTTATAAATGATAACATCCCCCTGGGAATCAATGCAGCACTGCCAATACAGATTTAAGTCAGTCCATTTCAGTCCTTGAAAGTGCACCTTCAACAGATTAAATTTTGAACATCGCTCGTTTCGAAGCCTCGTGCACTCTGCATAAGATGGCAGGCTCTGCGCAAGACTGGCTCAAGTAAAATCCGATATTAGCATTGAACCAACTTTTTATGCGTGCCCATTTACTCTTTTCCCCTACATTTTTGACGTGTCCAACGGTGGTGAGGTCTTAACATTGTTTTCAGAAGGTTAAACAGGGAATACGTACAGCAAGAACCATCACCTGAGAGAAGAGTACGCAGGTAAGAACATTTAAACCTGGTCCCCTTAGCAACGCTGCATACATTTTTACTTAATTTTACAGCATTCAGTGTGTGCAAGAGATTTGACTCTGCTCACCTTCTGTTGGCAAGCTCCCTCTGCAACGCTCTGCTTCTGCTCCTTTTCAACAGAATCCTTCAACTTCATGTTAACCTGCAGCATAAAACAAATGGCACCTGAGCACACGTACACCACGATAATATTATTACAACTTTCAGTCAAACCACACATGAAGGCTGATTCTATATTATCTTATCAAGTGACTTTGGAAGAAATTTAAAGTTAAATATATAGATTCTTCTCAGTATTGGGATTTGAGAATACCGTGGCTCCTTCACTAACAATGCAAAGCTGAAAATGACAAAGCGCCATTCTTGCGCAATGATGGCCATGCATATGTTAATTTCACTCGAGGTTATTTTCCCTGGAGAATTGAACATCGGTCACTTTTGAATGAAGGAAATCTCTCAAATCCGTTGGCACAGGTGTGCTCCGTGTAGGGTGCAACCGTCTCCCACTCCTGCAGCTACACTGACATGTTATTGTCATTGGCGTCGCCATCGTCCTCCTTGATATCTGTCGCGATGGGCAGCCGACGGTGATAGGCGATGGCCCCAATGGCAGTGCATAACATGTCGAAGAGTTTCATTAGTACTTTAAATTAAATCTTTAAGGGTCTCAGCAGACGCAATTCCCATATGGGCTCGTTGCTCCTTGAACAACGCTCCGACATAATCGTACAATCTTCTCTCCCTGGATGCCACTGCAATTAATGAGACAGCCCCCTGCTGGCCTTCTTCAACCAAGTTGCATTCTTCCTGGTTGGTTGGACAAAGATTTATCGAGTAAATTTCAAGGTCGAATAGTGAACAGTAGAGATGTATACGAGTAGAGGCCCCTCCCTAAACCACATGGCAGGGAATTAACGGCATTCCATCAAGATTAGGAAAATGGCCAATGCAGATTTTTAAGGATTTAGTGTCAGTTAGGGCCAAAACGATTGCACATTTTTTTAGTTGTTTAGAAAATGATAGATTATTGACCAATGTTGATTGGAGGGACACTATTAATTATTATTAAGAATCCACCTATTATGTAGATTGCACCTCACTGATAAATATCATGAAGTGTTTGTGATGTTCAATATGAAAACCTGACACATAGACACTCACGTTCGGTGACCCTTAACAGACTTCAATGATCCAACACGCCGTAAATATGACCAATAACCCACAAGCAGCACTGCGGGTCTCCTGCTATTGCGGCATACATTAATTTGCACGTTGGACAACCTTTACAGGGCAGTGTGTCCATTAGCTGTGCAACAATGGGACTGGCTGGGAATGGTGCCTCGCTTCATTTTTATCTTTTCCACTATTTTATACCAATTTGCGCTGCTGGTGTCATGTCATGAGATGAAGTATCCAATTGGAGGTCTCATACAGCATTGCAACCTTTTGTTAGATAATGGTTCATGGAAGGAGATATCCAGAGCTACTTCTGAGATCCCTTCAAGTAGTATTATTATCCTAAACACATACACTCAACCATGCGATTGTTTGTGCGCTGCACACACTGGTCGTAGAAAAATAATGTGCTTGTGAATGAGAGAGACGCGGGATTTCACAAATCGCAATGCCCCCGTCCGAAAACACTGCGGCAAAACTTTTATTACATTTTTTTAAATCTTATTCCCCATTTTTTTATTCCCATTGTGGCATTGGCACTGTGTCACGAGATCAATCATCCAATCGGACGTCTAACATTGCAATCGTTCACCTTAAAGAATGGTTCACGGGAGCGAATATCATAGCTACCTCTGCGAATCCTTGAAGTAACCACTGTTCCACACAGTAGGGGGCAGCACTACCCCGACCACTTCACCGCATGACAGACACATCGATATGTTAATAATCACAGCTGAAATTGAGCAAAATCAAGTGCAGAAGCAATTTTAACTAAATTACTTTTTTAGTTTAGACATTGGTTGAGTGGGCTGAGTCAATTGACAACCCAGTTTTAAATGCAGGCAGTTGCCTGGATTCGAACTCAGCTGCTCAGCGATGCCAGCTCAGCGCTGCGACCTCCGAGCCACCTGGCCACCAAGGACGACGATGGTACCTTATTGATCCAGAGAAGCATGGCCCCATCGAGGTCAAAGGGCAGCTCGCGTGGCGAGACGACGGAGAACCTGCGCACGCTCGTCACCACCTTCTCGATGCTCATCTGCTCCACGGCGCATGCCAGCATCAGAGAGTCCAGCATGGCCAGATGGCAGCTCTGTTGCACGCCGGGGCAAAGAAAACGCTGTATTTATATCTTATGCAAGGAAATCACAGTGCAGGGTCTCGTTTTAAAGTGAAAGCCTCATGGCAGCCATACGTATCAGGGCTTAACTTAAAAAATACAATAAAACATGTTTTGTCTTGTACAAAAAATATATACTTCCATCTATGTATCTACGTAATAATAACATGTTTATCACATCAGCCTACAGGCACAGTCAGGCACAGTCAGTCTTGTAAAACCAACACTCCTGGGTTGGTAGATGTTAAATAACAGCAATATTGGCAAGGGCGCTCCAACTTCATGATGCGGCGCAGTTAAGTGCAAAAAGCATTACTGTAGAGAAGTTCAATATACGCGATTGTGTAGCATTGAGTCATAAATCGTATTTCGGTGTCATGATCAAAAATGCTTAACAACGGCAAATAACATAATTATGTAATTAAGTAATTTTATTATTTCTTATTTCTACGTGACTTTACCGAAAAAAACAAAGAGTAATTCCTGCAGTCACGAAAGCGTCAAATCAAACGGCAAATAATATATTTTATTGAACGTCTTGTAAACATGTACAGTACCTAGGCTGTGCACCTCGGGCTGTAAAACACAACCTTCGTGGATGAAACAAAAACAAATGGTATGCTAAGTGTGCCACCCCAAGTACTCATATGATGTCACTCTGTTGATGCTGCATTAATATTGTCAAGGGTACCCTGGGATACAAAGCCGAGGTACTTATATACTATCGCGATGAGCAAACACTGGGTTTTTATGAGTGTTCGTTCATATTGGGTGAGAGACAAAGGTTCAGTTCATGCTGTATGGTAAACTGGGATTTTGATAAACTTGAAACTTGTGTTAGACTACTGATTCCACAGCGAGAGTAGTACAGCCCTCTTCCAATCCACTGCTGGATGAAAGGGGGTTGTTTTGACCAGTGTGGTTTGGTGCAGGTGGGATCATAGAAGTACAGTGCAACAATGCAATTTGCCCATAACGTAGCCCACAACTTATAACCCTCGTTATGTATGGTGGTCAACCACCGAAGCACTATCCATGCTCAACTTTTTGAGCTTCGAGGTCTGACGAAGATCGGACACATTCCTGGTGATTTGGCCACAGCCAACAGCTACAGGCCCTGTGCAAAACCATTGTCGGCTCAATTGAATAAAGAGTTAAGTTCCAATGGTGTCCTCATGCAATCACTCGCCATGACAGTTATTCCCTGAACTGACAGTCGCAGATTAAGACTTGTGTTTTCTATTCCCAATGCTGGTCAAGCACCCATCATTCAGCACCGTAATTGCAAACGGTGCATCTTGCATTGCCAATTTTGGATTAATGCGAAGTGGAGATTCAGGCAATCGACACAGCTAATAAATTGCCACACTTTCCATTATTTTGCAGGACTACCTCTAGGGGTTATAAAATAATACAGCTGCATAGAAAAAGGAAGAGAGCATGCCATTGTCATTGCCATTATCACTTGAAAAACATTGGTCCTTTTGTACATGCAAACCTATTAATGAGACCCAACAAGAACCATGTCCCCTTTGAATTTCTTGAAATATATTACAAAATAAATATTCCCACCGTTTCTGCAAGAGAGGGTCTCAAGATGCGGCTGCAAGCAGATGGTATAACAATCCAAATTGCATCGAATTGCGCATACTAAACTTGCTAAAGCTGAAATGCATTGGTACTGCCAGTGCGCAGCTACATCGTTTTGTGGCACTGTAAAAAAACACATCGGTGACGTAATTTAGCGTCAGTAACACCATTAGTCATGCCTCAAGGATTAGTTTCTCCACACCCACGTTAAGATGTCTCCGTCCTCATTATTTGTAAATCCGTCGCAATGGCAATTATCAAAGCAGTGCTGCCATTTATGAGACCTTGAGAATTAGAATCGTATTTTATAACCACTGTCGCCAATACCAATGCCTGTCTCTAAATGCATCAAGACACCTTTGCATTGAGCCTTTAATAATACTATAGAGGCATTAGTAAAAAGCCACTGCTGGATGAAGACATTCCCATGCTATATTAGTCATGATAATTATTTGACCATATTTTACCATGCTGGTGAATATAGATTGGTGATGGGGGGGGGGACAGGACTGGTTCTGATGTTGTTACTCAACACGGATGTTTGCTGTGACTGTGAATCACATAAAGGTCACCAGGTTCAACGTTCGGTGCACTCACCACTGTGCCATCGCTCCACCCCCCATATCGACAATTTATCAATTTCCAAAAATAGTGCAGCAGCTTCAAACCATTCAGATAGTATCCATTGTATTAGACAAACTCAATCACGTTCACATTACGGACAGTGGCCACCATTCTTAAAACAAGACACTCAACCCTAGGGGTTAAATGGGAAGTCTTGCCCATCCTGTATACTATGTAAACAACACTTGTTTATGCAAACACAGTTTGACAATTCCGGTTGTGATAGTTCTCTCTTGAGCCCGGCGCTACAATCTCCTGGCGTACCATTCTCAGTGAGCGTGACTGTATTTTAAATGTTTGAAGAAGTATCACGATTTTGTGGCATCGCAAGCGTGGTAGTTTATAACCTACGGGACAAATCGTAACCACTTCATGCACGCTAATAGGTGACAGGTTCATTTCCCACTACCAGGAATTGTTTCGCCCTACATGGCAAGGTGCCACAGAGGTCCTTAACACTCCTTATTATGTGACTGTATTCATTATGACATGTCAGTTGTTGTAAGATAATTCCCCACAAACAACTAACCAGCTTCGTCATAAACAGTGCCTTATGTACTATAAACATAGGTAGCAGCCCAACGTTTCTGGCAATTCATATACATTTCTTAAAGACAACTGGGAGCCCATTGGCACTTTCTTTTTCATGGCAATGATCTATTGTCATGAAAAGATTGACCGACTTCGTGTTGTATTTATGTTTTTTTTTTAAATAGGGGTGATGCGGTTTCACTGTGGTTTGCACACTGCGCTATGAATTCCATGACCTGATTTAGATTCTCAGCCACGTCTAACATGAGCAGCGAGGGATATCTGAATCAGTCCTTCACCAGCTGGCACTAACCAGTGTGTTAAAGTATGGTCCAACATCCCCAATAACCAACATTTGAGTGGAAGCATTCATCTTGCTGTGGATTGACAGCACTTTAGAATGCTAATTTATCAAGAACATGCTGTAGGAATGGCATGACAATGTCTTAATGTGCAGGATTACCGTAGTTCCGGCAGTTTAAAAAAAAACATTTACATAAATGCATTTACAAAGGAGCATATCTGTGCGGCTGTACCCAGATTTTGTACGGCACACAATTTCCATCGATTTACTTCCATCTTAACAGATAAGACTGTGCCGCTCCTAAAGCTGCACGCTCTTGCTCACAACCCCTTTAAGGTTTATTAATGCAAAAGTGCAGTCAAAGCACTTCATTCATTAGTCCCCGTTGGCTTCCAAGTGGAAAGAATGTCACTGAACTGCAGTGTTGACGTATACAGTAGGCCTCAGTTTACACAAGGCTGCATGCATCATCAAATAAAGTGCCTCATTTTATTTTCTCGCAGGCCAAGAACAAGCCACATTGCTGTAAAATATAACGCTCTTCTTTGTTTATAGTTTGCAATAATTACAGTGTAGCATGATCTATTTGGACACGTCATTGCAAATAAACATTGCACTTAATTAATAAGTGCTTTGTATCGCACAACGGTCAGGATCGTTAGAGGGTGTACTTTAATTCACTGCTCAAGAATCATGGCCCAGGAAGTCTGAGTTAAGAGGTATACATGAGTTTTCAACTGGGTTCCATCCCCCATGGCAGAATGGCTGATGTTGTTAACCACTAACTTCACAGCACTCTACTGCGGTGAGGCAGAGTGCGGCAAACATACATGCACTGGCCGAGTCTCTTGCGAAAGCTGGGACAAGATGTAAACTGGTCTGACGTGTACAGTGGCTTTGACACCCTGGAATGAGGTGTGTTCGGCAGCACGGCCACACACTAAACCGCACTAGTGACAGCGTGCGCTGTGCACTCGAGGTACAGCAAATCACACGCTTGTGCAGGAGACTAGGCATTTCACAGTGACAATACCACTACCTGAAAACACCGGCACAAATTTCTGTTCGTTTTTTTAAAAAAAACCTACTTTCCCAATTGAATCCCAATTGTGCTATCGGCGTCATGTCACGGCATGCAACAGCCATTCAGATCTCTCACAAAGTAGTGTGGCTCTTCGTGTTAGAGACTGGTACGTGCAATCAGGTATCACAGAGCTACCCTCTGACATCCCTTCAAGTGTTGTGGAAATGTGCTATTCCCGACTGTGGAACAGCATATTTCCACCTGATCCGATGCTTAGAAAAATATTTTGCTGGATGAGATCCATACCTACACGTTTTATTTTTAAGCTTAAATTTAACCAAATTATGTACAAACTAAATATCACGTGATGTATTATTATAGGCAGCAGCCTAGATTCTAAACCAGAATCTCGGAGGTACCGGGTCAGCACTCTTGACCTCTGAGCCATCCGGTTACCTAAAAAAATACTGTTCTTTACTGCCAGCATGCGTGTTCACTCAGATACATTATACTTCAACACGGAATAATCAGGCTAGTAATCACATTCAAATGTGTCCCTTGCATTTGTTTGTGATATTTTGTGCTAACCCTGTTTCATGCAAACTCAACGCAACAAAAAATACAAAACCACAACCCCAAAACAAAGAATGACGAGGTTGTACTATACAGCAACAGCACAATGGAAATATAATTTCGTTATCTGAAACACGACCTTGACGTAATGACAACGACCAACCCCAGCCGGCCACTCAGTTTCAGTTTATTTATTTTGGTATAGCCCTGTGAGCCATTCGGCTCTTGAATCGGGTGCAACCATAACAAACAAAAACACGAACAAGAAAACATCTTAAAGTGACTATGTGACTGTGCAAACAGAAAATCCATGAAAAAACCCAGCAAAATATTCCTGAAAAAAGCACCGTACACCAACGCTGTGTGAAAAAAATCCCAGTGGGATGCCAGTCAAACAACAATAACAACCACAAAAAAACTTAGATTAAGGCCATTAGTCTAACTCTGTACTACAACAAAACAAATGTACAAACCAAAAAAGTTTTCGAAATCACCAAAAAAATAAAGCCATAATTGCAACGTAACAGTGATCATAGGGACTGTGACCGAATTTTTACAATAAACTACATAAAAAAGTAACACCAAACCCTAGAGCCATAGCTGGCTGCATGAGTTACTCACTTGCAGCACAGCACAACCGATGGACCCAAACTGTCAGAATGAATAAAAGCTGCACTGATGAAATGTAGGTCAGGAGACCAACAACTGAATTACCATAGCACTCTCCAGACACACAATACAAACATGTCGCAAACACACAGCAAACAGTACATATGCATATTCATAAAGATGATAACTAAATTGCACTAAAAACTGTTGAAAGGATGACCACAGATGTGTACAAACACAGACCAAAATACTGTACACATCCGATGCAAGATTGATTAGCCGCTGCGTTCTTCTTTTTTTCCACCATGGGGGGTTTCATTTGACCGACAGGAGCAAAAAAGCACTCTTTTGGACAGGATGACATGGGAATGCAAGTCGTGTTAGGACAAGCCAACGATACCGCAGGCTCACTGTCTTAACCCCTGGCCGATTTCAATTGTGCTGCAAAGTCTGCCACACAATACCAACACAGACTTGGGGGTGGGGGGAGGTCTGCGCGCACAAACCTCTTAATTCTGGTACCTTCCCGTCTGCACAGCTCATAGCCTAAAGGAAGTACAGTACTGCATTCTAGTTATTCCCGGGGGGGGGGGGGTGCAGAATGATTCACTTCCTTTGTTAGCCACGTATGCAAGTGATAATTTATTTTCATTGTCAAATCACTGTCTCTGAAGCAGAGCAAACGCTAATGAAGGAGAAGTCAAGGTAAATCAGAAGGCTCATGTTATTATTAAAAACATGAATGCAAATAGACTGTCAACTTGTAAACGACACGGTTATCTATTTTTCTATATACTGAAAAATCAATGTAAACGTCGAAAGGTGTATTTTTTTGTTGACTTAAAGCTTTCGTGAATGCAGAAATTCATATGCTCTGTAAATGTTCAACGCAACCGTAAGCCAGAGAATAACGATGCTTTGCATGCATTCTTCTGACAGTTCCTGCTTTTTACCTATTTTTTTATCCAAATGGTGTCATCAGTGTAATATAATGGGATACTCTCTTACAGCGCAGTGCAATCCTACATGTAACATTATGGTCCCACAGCAAGCAGATTCCACAGAGGACCTCCCTTTGAGATCCCTTCAAGAGACTTCCCATCCACACATTAGGGGGCATCATATTGATCATCACATGAAAGTCAAAGCAATGTTTTTAATTCTCAGAACTGGAATTTATACAAATTAATTGCAGAGCCAAATTTTAAGTGATGGGTTTTTGTGTGAAGTATTTGGTGACTGGGTTGAGACCATTAACTCACTACACTTGCAAACCTGGTACAGGTCGTGGCCTGGATTTGAACCCAGGCGTTCAGTGGCGCTGGCTCAGTGCACCGAACCATCAGAACACCAGTTCTGATGATATAATTATCTTGTACGCTTTCAAATCCAACTTCAGTTAAATCCACCTTTGCGTTTCCCCGTAAAAGAATCGCAATGCTGTGGTATTTACGACTTTATTGCCTGTCAAGTGTCAACATATTCAGAGTGTAGTTAGCATGGTTCAGCTCTGTTTGTAGCATAGCTTGGGGGGGGGATTGTAAACACCGGCAAGCTTTTCAGCTGAAATAATTTTGTTACCTCATCAGAAGGGTATAGTTTAGAAGCAACCCCCCTGTGTGTGTGCACCTCTTAATACTAAATAGACCTTTATTTTATTGTTTTATATTCTTATTATTTTATTGTTTACCTTCTATGTGACTTTACCGAAAGAACCAAGAATATGAATCCCTGCAGTTACGAAAGCTTTAAATCAAAATGTAGACCTTCATTATTAAGTGCAGCTCAGTGGAGTTCCGAGTCACTTGTTTTTATTTTGACTTAAAACTTTCGTGACTGCAGGAATTCAGCTTCTTTGGTTCTTTCCGTAAAGTCACATAGCTAGAAAAAAGAATATTAAAAATAAAGTGAATAAAAATACCACAACATTTCGATCGCAACACAAGTGGTCGTCATCAGGAAAAGGGGTTAGCCTCTAAAGACAAACTGTTTATAAAGGTTTGGGGATGGGCGCAGCCCAAGTGTATCAGCAGCACCAGCAGCATGTGCGGGGCAGCAACGCCAATGCAGCAACAATTCCAATGAAGCAGCAATGGCAATGCAGCAGCAATGCCAGTGCAGTAAAGGGCCTCCAGGAAATCACATCACCCCACTCCACACACCACACTGTTGACGGTGAAGGTTGATTGACAAGAAAACACAAGTGAAGTCATGACCCCAAGTGGCTGATATCTTTCCAATGATTGCTGAGTCTATAACCATCCTCTCGGTTGAAATTGTCTGTATATATGGATGGCTTAATAAACACATCTTTGTTGATAGCCAGTAGGCTTACAAAGTACCATCGTCTTAGAGAAATCAATTTCGTGAGCCAGCCACATTAAAATAATGATCAGCCACGGCATAAGTATTGGTCCTACCGTGTTTCAAATCTGCCTTATGCTCACGAATACGGTCAAAGACATGTCGCTTAGTTTCCCCAATGTAACTGCTGCTGCAGATACAGCTTAGTTTGTAGACGCCGGGATATTGCATGTCAGGAATCTTGTCCTTCACAGATAGGATCGGATCACGAATTTTATGTACTGTGTTAAATCGGACCTGGATCTTGTGTTTGTTCATGATTTTGGAAATCTTTTTGGTTACCCCTGCTATGTATGGCAGGGTGATGGTTTTGATTGGATCCTCAGATGGCTCCTTCCTCACGGTTGGGTTGATGGCTTTGCGGATTGTGTAGTCAGAATATCAATTCGCCTTGAGAGCTTGGTGCACGTGTTTGAGTTAACTGGTTAGGTGTTCATGTTCGGAGATACATTGAGCCCTATGGTGTAGCGTTTTGATGAGGGAATGCTTCTTGTTTTTTGTCACTACATGTTGGCACACATTCCCATGATCAAACTCTTTGGAGGAGACCATTGGTAGATAGCATGCATTAGACATGTACAACTCCCAAAGCCACTGGACTGCAAGGTGGCCAGGAGATGGCAGTACAGCATGTCTCTGTACTGAGCTTCGAGTCTTAATCCCTAGTAACCAGGGGTGTCTCTGTGGGCCTTTGAGTGTTACTTGCATGCGTGGGTTCTCTCGTAGACGCTAATATGCAATACATGACTTAAAAAGGAAAATGGTCAAACACGGCAACACATGAACCTCCTGAATTATTGTCTGAAGAGTGGGTAAATCTTTCATGGATAATTATTCTATAATCTTTTTTTCTTGGGTAAACAAGTGTAGGAATTTTTTCAGAGTATTGTGGTTATCTATTGCCCAGCTAATACACTTCCACAGCCATTAAACAGTTAGGCACTGAATCTCGTGCCAAAGCCAGGAATTATTTATATGCATCAACAACACTTTCGAAACAAATGGTTACATTCTTTGGAAATACCTACTATCACTGAGAAACCACCAACCGATTTACCAACGGATCCCTTTGGCATGAATGCTGAAAATGCCTGGCTTAACAAGTGGACGTCGTCGGAGACACGACTTAAAAAAAACACCAGGACTGACCATGCGGATGGGGATGTTCTGCAAGTCCGCCTCTGTCACGGGGCAGTCCTCCTCCTCCATGACGTAGAGGCCACGCCGCGCCAGGCCCTGGATCACGGCCCAGTGGCCCTGCCGCGGCACAGCAGGGGAGCAATTTCCGTGCAGCTGCTGCTGGAACACATGGCAGTAGAGCTCGCCGGAGGCGAGCAGCTCGCCCACGTTGCCCTTCAAGTGCTCCTGGTTGTACTCGTCCCTGTAGAACGGCGCCCGCAGGTCCTCGCAGGTGGACTCTGCGTGGCAGATGGAGTGGGTTAGGAATGACAACAGGCAGTGCATAATAAAATGATTTGGCCACAATTTGGACTCCTTTTGAGTTGGTGGACAAAAGACAACGCTATGTGGATTGTACATGCCCGTATAGTTGTCTATTACATCGTAGGATCATGAGATGGAGCAACTTGAGGCATGGAAGCCTTCATATCCAGCAGTGGAGTAACCATGGCTGATGATGGTGATGTTACATGATATGCGATGCATGATGGGAGGACCAACCCATGGTTGCAATTGCACCTTTTGCGGTCTATAAACCACACCTTTATGTGTGTTAATAATATTAATTCTAGCCTGCCCTCACTTTTCTATTTGATAGGTATCCTACGATTCATAAAATAAAATAAAAATTGAATTGGTTTAACAGTAGTATCAATTAACATCTGCGAATAAGCTAAGCACATGTGACAGATGACTTATTTTAATGCAAGCCCACTTAAGACCATTTTCATCAGTGATGAACTAGCTACTGCTATAGAAATACCTCCATAAGCCATCTCCATCTCTCACAGTCTGGCAAAAAAAATCTATCTCCTGCACAATAGCTGATGTCATTACTCCATCTCTGAGATTAACTTCTGGGGTGTGATCCCTCCTTTGGCTGCCACTCCATTGTTATTCTTGACCACCAGCCAATATCTCGAATCACTGATTGTCCTCTCCAAGCCTACTTTATGTTTGTTATGTGTCGAAATTATGTTTCTAACCTGCATACATTCTCTGATCCATGTGTTCCTCTTTCTGTCTGTCAACCGTAATTCAAAGTATGAACATCTATATGTTTTTTTGCTATTGTTAGCTCGGTCATCACCTTTGTCAAGGTCCATGGTTCGGATCCATATATTGTAGCAGGCAATGTACTCTGGAGGAAATACTATATTTTACATGGGAAATCTGAGTTTAAGTTAGAACAGTAAAACAGTATTTTTATGCAAAGCTATGAAATAAAAAAAGTCTGAAGAAATTGGCGTTTAAACTGGTACCATTTCACAATTCCATGCTGCAAATGCAACCCGAGTTCAATTTGTTCAAAATAGGGTGCATCAAGCAAAAGGAAATAGTGCAATTTAAGCCTGGCTTTTGTGATAATGCATTGGTATCCAACACTTCCGAAGCTATTCCCATGCAAAACACACACACGCAGCCGAACTCAAACAACCTCCAAGTGACAAGAATAAAGTGCATTTTAATTTGATCAAGACGCTAAGATGGTGGAAGGGGAGGTGAAAAGGGCGTGAAATATCGTGCTATAGATCGTGAGCTGTTTGCTTACTGAATAAACCAAATTCGGTTTAAGAAAATCCATTGTAAAGGGGTGCAGTGAAAAACATGTCTCTGTTGAAGCTATGCACAATGGCTGTTTTTCCCCTATAATGATATACCCTCCCTTTTATCTGCTGAAATCAGCATTGAGTATATAGACCCTTGACCAAAAGTGACGTCTGCATGCCAATGAAAAGGTCAGAAAACTGAAAGGTTAATTGTACAGTACATTTTTTGTATATACCAGGGATGTATTTTTTGACCTGTAACTAAGCTTTAGGGCTATACTAACAGTACGTCAGGCAGCGTAACTAAGTGCATTTGACATCTTTGACTCTCACAATAAGCAAGTAAAAGCCAGCTGTTTTTATTTTGCCCATGCTCAACATATTTGCAATCAATTGCTTAAATATCACTTTTACTTAATCCCAGCCCGCTGGGGAGTCTTTAACAGGGAGCGAACAGCGACCAGCTGTCCAGCTCAGATATCAAAACAAACTTGCTGGGTCACAAAGGGCATGCCCAAATGTCTACACGTATTGGTGTCAGCAGCACTCCTAAATTCCCAACGATACTTTGGACTGCGACAGCTCAATCACCATCCCTTGGTGGGATTGGCTCTAAGCCGCCCGCAGCTTGTGATGGCATGGAGGGTAGATGAAAGCCGATGGTGATATTTTTTTTGTCTATTGAAATAAAGTGAATAAAAAGGAATATTTAATGAGCACGGTTTTACGGGCATATGAAATGTATTATTTTGTCACTGTTGAATTTACACCCATTTGTTTCCAGTATACCAGTCATATAAATTAATTTGGCATTTTGGAATGTATCAAAAGGTAGGCAACATTTTCAATAACTGTATATGAAACAGGAAGTTTCTAAAGTGTAAAAAAAAATAGGTACGTACCAAAGCATCGGCAATTATAAAACATACCATACAGTAGTATTTGTATTTTCTATGTCTGAATGTCTGGACCGGCAGGACACACACGGACACCCATTTCCTTTCACTGCAACGAGACTACGGCCCCAAGAGTATAGGCCATAAAGCATTCCATAATTCCTGCAGTAATTCATGTGCTAGCAAAATACTGGCCAGCCCAAGAGACATGGGTGCATGGAGAGAAGAGGTTGCGAAAATAAATCAATACTAGATTTGAAGCTTTCGTGACTGCAAGGATCCATACTCTTTGGTTCTATTCGGTAAAGTCACGTAAAAGTATAAAACAACTAAAATAAAAAAAATCACGACGTTTCGGCCACAACACGAGGACAGTCTGGTCCCTTCACCTGATGAAGGCCACTTGTGTTGTGGCCGAAACGTCGTGAATTTTGTTTTATTTTTTACCTACGTGACTTTACCGAATAGAACCAAAGAGTAATAAATCAATAGGTGGCCAGCTTTCTTAATGCACGACCTACTCTTATCTCCCGTGGGTTCGATCCTGACCCTGACGCCTGTATATTTAGAGTTTACATGGTCCCCCATGGTTACGTAAAATTTTCTACAGGTCCTCCGATTTTCCCCTCAACATTTATAATCAAGCGTTTAGAGTATTTGGCTGCTATACATTTCCACATGATAAGCCACTTCGTTGAGCTATCATTTGTGGCCAGATCGCTTCTGTAAAAAAGAGCTGTATAGCTCAATGGGCCATACCTGGTAATATAAAAAGAATTAGAGACAAAAATGTTCATTATTGAAATAATTTACGTAAAACAAAAGAATACCGTACAGGAATATTTACATCATAATCAGTCGGCATCAAACAGCAACCATGACTGTCATGGCATGGGGGGGGCTTAATCAAGTAGTTGATTGACAAAGCCAACCTTCACTGAGCAGCATGGTAAAGTATAATCAAATAAATCACCGTGACCAACAAGCTGTGTAGAGGTCTTAATTTTGTGGATGAACAAAATACTGTAAAGTACTCATATTACTACGTGGTAATTTCATGCCACGTGAAGCAACATTTATTGACATATGGGAGGTTATGAAGTACAGTACAATCAAAGTTTTCAGAGGGCCAAATGCCCTGGAGAACAAAAATGTATTTGCAAACTTTAGTACGTACAGTGTGTCTTTAAGAACAAAACACATATGCCTTGAAGCTCTGTGTATACAGCAAAAATACTAAAGATGTAAACATGCTACCTAAGAACACCTATGTAAATAATGCTTTCAGTTGTCGGAGGATTACAGAGGTATTTGAGAAGCAGCAATAGCATTGGATCATCACCGATTGTACAACAATATGCCATTGTGAAACTGTCTGTCAAAGTTATATGAGGAGTCAGGGGCCCAACTTCAAAAAAAAAGTTTGAAAACAAACACAGTGCTGCAAGGCCACGCCTAATTCAAACGGCAGTGGCCCTTCTTCTGGTGATGTATAAAGCTCACAAACCTTTCTAGATCTAAAGCTTTCGTGACTGCAAGGATCCATACACAAACCTTCTCCGCGTTAACTACGTAACCTTGGCAGTCCCGTCTCGTGAATTAGCAAACAAATCTTAAGACGTTAAACTACGCCAGGTAACAAACAGTGCAATTCAAAGTCAACTTTATATACATTTGGGAGAATATTTTGGATTTGATCCAAGGGGTAAATGATAAACGCTGACGATTAACAGCAACGGTCAAATATTCAAGGACGGTAAATGTGTGCAAGTCAAGGCACAATGCCGACCATTGAGCACGTACAAGTGTTTATGCTTTTAATAAATGCTGCACCGTTAGGTCTTACCATATTTCAAAAGACATTTCTTACGACACGTGCATTTTTTAATCTGACAAGTGCGTCGCGCATATTATTAGCAATTTACAATGAATACTCAAGCACGCTGCGATTTATTCATTTAGAATTGCTCGTAGGAGAGCAAGGCAGGGCTCAATTTACCACCCTATACCACGACAACAATGCCTCGAAAATCATGTGTCAATGCGTTTGTATTATAAGACAATCTGATTCAATGGCAGTGTTAACGCACATTACTCTCCTGGGCTTTCACACTTCAATATTGCAGTTTAAATGTACGTACACAACAGCATGTATGCATCGTATATTTTAATACTCCATATGCTTTGACATTAAAAAGGCACTCAATTTCTTACCCAGTAATAGCTTGTTCTACAAGACAAGACACGCATTACGCGCAGTACACCGCTTTAACAAGCAAGTTAACATCATTTAACATTGTCGCATGACCATCCACATCGTGATAAATTATTCATACGAAGAGGAACAATATAAGATTTCAGGTGGACACAATAGACATGGATTTGCACTTTGCACTGTGCCAACCCCTGCTTACAAATAAATATTCAAATACAAAGCAAACAGCGCTTGACCCTCGCAAATACAAATGTGGCACCAAAAAACGATGTTGGGACACTGAAGCATCAAAAGCTCAGCAGAAGAGTACATGTACAATGGGATTGTCAACATGCATTGCTTGAGGCATTTTAAAAATTTTCAAACCCAAGCGGTGCCATTAAATGAACGTTAACAATTGTAAACTAAAAATGTTTCCATGAAACACCTTACAGGAACCAAATCCCATAAAATACACTGACAACCCTGCCAAGACTTGACTACTTTGACAATTAAATCATTTAACAACGCTACATTCAACATTACCGTTTTAGCATTGTGACCAAATCACCTGAAACGCAACCGATCTCGTCTGATCTTGGAAGCTAAATCAGAGTTCAGCCTAGAGTGTGCTAGGATGGGTAACCATCATGCATAACGGGTGTTGAGGCTACGTGTATTTGTACAGTACTTCTTTTTCCACATCTATGCTACCGGCCTTCACCAACCTGCAATGGGAACACACCGATCAGCGCGATAAAGCATGTTCAAATAACCCTCACGATCTATAAGGCGGAGTGAGCCCCTCTTCCATCAGTGAACTGATAAAGCACATACATTCATTATTATAATAATCTAACTAGCATGCCATCTCCTTTGTAAAACAGCTAGTAAGGGTGACATGGGAATACAGAGGCAAGGACATACCATCGCATCGACAGCAACATTACAATTACAGTCATGTTATTCAATTAAACACGAGACTTGCTCCTTTCATGAATACCAAAGATAAGAAGGCCTGAGTTAGTGAATATATTCCCTCTAGGTAGATAACAGCAATCGGATAACACGAGCAATGCGACATTTTTTCGATTAATGTACTGTACAATTATAGCGTAAGGGTGCCCGTTAATTAAATGCTTAACATCACCTAAAACGGTTATGAGGTATTCCTTGAGAAAATACGTTTACGATGGGCTCTCAACCAATGTAATACAAAAATACATTGGAATGTTTTAATGGTCAAGCAGTGGCACAGCTATCGAACGTGCAGGCTATGACATTGCACGTGGAACAACAACAGGCCAGAGGGTCCCAGGGCCCTGGGCTGCGAATAGGAGGGGGTATTGCACCAAGGGGCCCACGTTTAATTGCTTGCACGACTGTCCATTGTTAATCACACGACGCCACTGTGGACACACTTAATGCTGAACATTTTTCCTATTTCAGGAGTATGTCATTTGAAATTAGAGCTAAGACACCAGCATAGGATGATCTATCCTTGCTTAGGAGGTTTAAATTCTGGTTGGCATCTTTCTGTTGGGTCAGCAGATACACCTTACAATCCCACGCTGGGTCACATATCATCCATCAACACTACACTACTACCAACCCGTCACACTACCGCAGCTTTGCATGTAACCTGGGCCACTACATGCCACTTTGTATTTACTTTGAGCCATAATGCAGCTACCTTGACTCACCACACACATACACTAACATTGCACGTTATTACAATCACCTTGCTAATGCCATTACACACCTACACTGTAACCACACACCCAATCTGATCCACCAATAACCATCACCCATCATACACCCACCTGAACGCATCAAACCATCACAAATCGATTTTATCTAATTACATCATCTGCTATCACTCAGCTTAGAACATACATTCATCACACTCCTAGCCTTACCTATGACACACCATAACCCATCAGTATTATCAAACACCTACCCTCACTCATCACACACAATGCACCATCATCACAAATTTTAACCCATGACACATCACCTTTCATCACGGACCCTGATCCATCCCTCATCGCCAGTCATCACACATCCTAACCCCTCACACACCTCCCATCACACACCATGACCCATAAACCTCCCATCACACACCATGATCCATAAACCTTTAATCACACAGCGTGGCCCATCACACACCGTGGTCCTCAACCCTCCCATCACACACCGTGACCCATCACACACCGTGCGTGACCCATCACGCTTCACCGCGGCACCCCGGCTCCACCTGTCACCCACCTGGACTCCGCGCCTTTGCCGCCAGCCACGCAAGCCCGGCGGCCACCTTAGCCCTCTCGGCCTCGTACTCCTCCTCCTCGTGCTCCTGCATCTCCTCGGCCACCACCATCATCTGCTTCATCATCGCCGCCTCCTCCTCCTGCTCCTCCTCCGTCCTCGCTTCTCCATTCTCCGCCCCACCGTCGGCCATTTCTTCTCGTTACGCCACCGCCGGCTCTCTGCCCCGATCGCTTGTCAGTACAGTGCAGCGCGCGGTTGCCTTTTGTTATGAGAATTGACTCAAATGTGCATAAAATTAGCAAAATAATGACCGCGGTGGGTATTAATTGATTGTAATGCGCGCGATTTTGAAATCGCTGACGCCGAAGGTGACCCGCGGTGGTTACTATTGTCAGGCGCTAGCTAACACCTATTTAATCACAACAAGCCGAGAACCTCATTGTAAATAGCCGCCTACGAAGACACGGTGCCGTCCCCGGCTCGGCAAGGCCTGCGGCTGTGATGACTCGGGTAGTACCACGCGAATGATCAAACTCGCTATGTCGTTATCGTGGCTGTTATTAGTATGAATGATGCCGCTTGAGTGTCGATTGCGCGCCGCTGCATCGCTGCCTCCTCAGTCCGCCCAACGCAGGGCAGCGCGGCGAGCCGCTTTACATTTCCCACAGCGCACGCGCAGACGCTCAACGCGCGAGTGCGGCGCGCCTCACCCAAGCGGACTACGAAATCTCAACAAGGGTCGCCCCCGCACCACGTGACGCGGGAGGTGAGGTGGGATGAGCCCCCGCCCCATCGCTCGCACCTCCCTGCCCTCCTCAGTCGTCTCCAACTCAACCCCGCCCCTCGTTCGCCCCGAGCCCCCAAGGTCCCCCTAAACCCCGCCCCTTTACCCCCTCCCTCGCCAGCTTAACCCCGCCCCTCGCTCGCCCCCCCCGCCCTCTCATCATCCTCCACCACCCCCTCCCCCCGGCTGCCGTCACGTGGTGAGCAGGGCGACGTCACTGCTGGCTCACTGTACCCGGGTAATGGTGGCTCGTGTTGATCATGTGTGTACAGTGCCTGTGTCCACGTTCGGTTGCAGATTTCAAACGCCTCTCGCTCTTCACACGTCCGTACGAAACACGGGAGATGTTCAACTGGTTTTGTAAATGCCCCCTGTGGTTAATATGAAGTGCATTAAAAGAGCCGTGTGCAGGTGATACATGCGTCGAAATGTTATGTTCACGAAGCGTACGTGGAAGACGTGCTTCTAGTCGATGGCTGGTTTAGTGGAACCCATTTAGGCTAATGGAACAAACGAGACAGTCCTCTCTACTCACGAGAGAACAGAGGAGACTTAGCAGAGGATGGGCGAGGCGTGGTACAGACGTAAACAACAAGACGTACTCCAAAAAAGTCGATTTCTCTTTGCTTCTAAATGCAACAAAATCTCAAGTACTGTCTGTATAGGCAACATGGACAATTCTAAATATAACAAGTGATCGTACAAACTGGACAAATTATCATGGCATTTCACCCTGCACGATTCATTTGCCACCTTTCATTCAAGACGCAATTCACGTTTTGCCGTTACTGCGCTGCAGAATAAATAGTGGCTGCAGAAATTTTATGAGAAAATCAATGCCTTGGGCCATCGATTCACATAACTCATTAGAAAATACTCGTACATTTGTTTGTCCCTTGAGATGCTGGGGTAACGACAAGTGATACAGTCCGAAAATAAAATCACGTGGAACGTTTATTAAAGGCGAATGATTGATTGAAATGGGCAACCCCATGAATGAACCAATGTGAGGCAAGGCCTTGCGTTGAGCAGTGGAAGTGACGGGAGGTTGACCCTTATACCCTCATGGAAATTTCACACGGTGAAACATCACCCACGTCTCAACAACAAGTGCTGCGTCCGCGCGCCAAGTGGTGCTCACTTAACCCACTCAGAGCTGCACAAGGTCACAACTACCATTGTGACCTTTGTGCAGCTCTGCTGAGAGATGCAGCACGTGCTAACCTGTCGCACGCATGCGAATTCGTGATTCGAACGTCTGCCTATTATTTCTGTCAAAGATCTAACAAACAACAACAAACAAACAACGCACGGGTGATAAAAACAATGGAAGTCAGACTAATATTGCCATGGTTCTATGTCTGCTTTTGCATGTGCCCCGATGGTTTGTAACCGACTTGGAACGTCCACGCCAGAAGGACCGATGTTCGTGCCGCGGGCCGTGAAGGTGAGGCGAGGGGGTCCCGGGGAGGCTGCTGCCGCCGGGAAGAGGGCGCGAGTCGCCGCGGAGGAGCCCAGCCGAGCCGGTGCAGCCTCCGCAGGCCCCCCAGGAGGAGCGGCTGGCGAGAAGCCACCGTGCGGGACAACCGAACTAATACCCCAGGTCCGATGGGTGAGTGGGGGGGGGGGGTTCGTGCTGCGCTTCCAAAGCGATTGTAAAGGAGACGGACAGAGGTCGCTCCGTGCCGTTCTTGGGACGGCCGGGCAGGGCTCGTTGCTTGTACCAGTTCCTGCAGCATGGGATGTGCTCAAGCTTGACTCAAAAAAGGTGTTTGAGTGATGCAGGGCCACTGATGTTGAACATCCTGGTCTTGAACCAGCTCCACTTGAGATGTACATGTTCAGTCCTTTCTTTTGTCAAACTGTATGCTGGATGAAAGGCTCGCTCTGCTGTGGTTGGTTCATGGCCTTCACGTGCTGTGAGATACTAATCTGAACAGTTGAAGAGCACAGTGTATGCTTGTTGCTGTTAGTCGAGCACTTTTATAGGTTACTGTCAGACTGAAATAGGCACGCGACTAGCAGCCACACAGCCTGAGCGAGAGAGATACTGGATGTTTTGTGACAGATGTTGCAGTATTTTCTGGATGGCTGACCAAGACAGACCCGGCTGAAATTAATCCCTGGTAATATTCCCCTCCTGGAGTAATATCCCAGTGTGCAGTTATTATGTCTTGAGGTGCTGTTGTATAGCATGAACACCCTTTGAAACAGCTGACAGATGGACATGTGTAAACACAATATGGACAAAAGGTACTGCTCAAGCAAACAATTTAAGTTGCATTGACGTGCTATGGGTTTGGTATATTTAAAAGTTTTGTGGGTTTTTTTGTTGATTCGTCTGTCAGAAAAACTGCGTTTTAAGCGACAACTTGGACATTTGTTTTACAAGTAGGAATACCTTGATGTGTGCTCAGTTTCGTACCCTGCGTCCAGTGAATACATTATTTAATTTGACGTGTTATAAACAGTGCTGTGTTACACCACATGTCACTCAGGAACACTTCCAATGTAAACCGAAAGCATATGGCCCAAGGTGGTGCTTCTCAGCTGTGAACTCTCCCCAGACTTTTAAATATATCTAGGTTTTACCAATACCTTGTTAAGAAAGCAATTTAATTAGTGTAATATTTCTTCCATTATCATACGTGAACCCACTATCATCGGTGTGAAATCTACAACTGGCAATATAAATGTTCTAAACTACGAAGCTAACCAGCTTGGAGCCTGATGCTTGTGGTTACCCCCCCCCCCCGCCCTCATACGTGCCATAGGCAGGTTTGGGGCAGTGCTACGTGGTAGTCAGCAGAGGCAGTATGGTCCAATTAACCCCCACGACTTGCAATGCCCTCATCCGTCAGTGGTTTGACAAAGCTTTCTAACTGCACATATGTCAGTTTTACCAATGCCTTCTTAAGAGCACAAAGAAAGCAATTTTATTCAATTACACACTGCTTTTGTTCGCATCAATGTGTACATGCAGTAAATGTACAGTGGAAAATGGAAGCGTTCAAGAGCTCGTGCAATTCCATGCGAATTCCGCGGACTTTTTCACATGCCAGGGGAGTGCAGCAGATCGGCCGGAACATGAGGAGCAAGGAGTTGTTGGGGAAACTGTTTCTGGACGGGCCAAGATCCTACCACACACTGCCTTTCCTACCCCAGAGACCAGCTCTTCCCAGGCAGAAGTCAAGCATGGGCAAAGTGACGACGAGGACGAGGCTCCAGTTGTTTCCTACAGGTATACTGACATGTAAAGTTATATTTCACAGTAGATTCGGGTTGGAGTGGCGACGTATTGGTTATTGCGCTGCGTTGTGAACTTGACATCCTGAGTTCGATTACCGCCCACAGCGAACATGATTGACGATTCATATCTGACCATGTCCTGGGCACACAAACCTTCTTCACCATCCCGGAATGACTTGCATGGTGAAGCACGGTCATACAACCCCCATGACCTACGTCGCATAGAGAAGCCTTCATCCAGCAATGGATGGACAAAGGCCTGTAAATTAGCATTTGTATTGGAAGAATAAAATGTAAACATCAAACCGGGAAGGTAACTACTCCATGCAGTGACGTTAACACAGCCCTCGGCATGTGCGAGCGCACCGCCAAAAAGTTCATTGTGCTTCCGCTTTGTCGCAGCAAGAACCAGCGGTGGCCGGAGACCGGCGAGCCGGTGTGCGTGGTGTGCGGCCGCTACGGAGAGTACATCTGCAATGAGACGGAGAGCGACGTCTGCAGCCTTCAGTGCAAGGCGCACCACTTAGTGCTGACGCAGGTGCCCGGAGTGTCCGAGGAGACGCCCGTGCCTAATCTCGTGGAGCAGAGCGGCAGCCTCGATGCGGAGAGCGGCGCTGAGAGCCACGGGTGAGGACGATGACCTCTGACCCAGAACGAGTGCGTACGCCGGACATGTTCGCGCGATTCTGGGGAAAGTTTATTTTCCCAGGGTTTTAAGTGTCATATTCCTGTACCTCCGATTAGCACCCTTGGCTACGTATGGTGCAAAATAAGTTCAGCATTTGTACATACATTGCGATTGTGCGGGGTCTGTCGAGAATACAGTCACTTGTGTTTCGCATTAGTTGATTGCATTTAGCAATCCTCATCTGTCACCTTTGACCTCATGAAAACGTTAATGGGAAAGGTGTGTGGGTATGGTTATGCATTCCCAACTTTTTTTTTATCTGAAAACTCCAAAAATCAGCCTAGAGACAAAATGATGCTTTTTCCAGATGGTATCAGAACATGTGATGTAATTTCGTCATTAAGTCGAGTAAATCACTTGCGTTAAATTAAAACACTAAGATGGCCATTATACAACTCTCACAATCGGCTCCTGCTCTGAAGGGACATCTGCCTCCAGATGACCTTTTGACCGGTGAAGCCTTCATTATTATCCTGAGGAGAATTTGGCCACGTTAAAAAAAGATTTTAAACTATTGTGATTTCAACAACAATTAAATAATTGCTCTGTGTGTTGTAACATTTTAATCTTTAGTTATTGACCAAACAACGAGGCTTGTAAAAGCAAGATAGAATGAGCAATTCTAGAGAAAGTGCTGTTAAAGCAATTAGGTGATTGTGGACAGAAGTAGATTACTCTTTGTAGACGTCAGGTTCTCAAGTTTAGCGAGTCGATTGGCTCAGCCTAGTCACAAAAACCCCATAATATTAAAATGAGTACTTAATTTGGCTAAATTGAAGCTCATTCGGCAAGCTCTACCCTTATTTGGCTCAGCGGGTGGAGTAATGGCGCAGTGGCTATGAACTTGGCCACAGCTAAGATCAGTGGCGCGTGATATCTGAATCGGTCTTGGACCGCAATTTGACCATCCCACTCTGACCGGTGTGGTCAAGCAACAGCTATAACCAACACGACATGGGGAGATCATCATCATTCTCCTAATTTTCTTCAAGTTCGGTTAAAAACTTAAATATTTGAGAGCCACATTGCTTGTGAATACAAGACGCTACTTAATGAATAACGTAAAACCGATTTTTTTTTACCACTTTTAAGAACAGCACATGCACAATGATTTGTAATGCCGCATTACAAAGCATTGTAATCGAAACTAATTAGGATGCATTTTTTACTTTGCAATTATATTGTCCATGAGCCACGAAGCAGTTCATAAAGAGCTGCATGTGGCTTCGGAGCCGCAGATTGCCGACCCCTGTCCTAGGGGATTGACAAAAGGTCTGCAAAATAAAATAATTAAAACCATCGGCAACTGTGTTCACATCCCTCCCCCGCCACCGCTTTGCAGGTACAGGTACGAGGAGCACTCGTTCATCTCGTCGCTCACGGCGGAGCAAGTGCGCTCGCTGCGCCGCTCGCTGGGAATTTCGGTGGAGGGTCGCGATCCCCCGCGGCCCGTGCTCGAGTTCTCGCACTGCCCCATGCCAGAGGCGCTGGCGCAGAACCTGGCGGCGTGCGGGTACCACGAGCCCACGCCCGTGCAGATGCAGATGCTGCCGCCGGCGTTGGGCGGCCGCGATGTGATCGTAAGAGCCGAGACCGGCTCCGGGAAAACCGCGGGTTTTTTGGTGCCCATCGTCGCTCTTCTTGCCGGCTGCGTGAGTCGTCGCGTTCAAACTGTGTGCTCTTCAACAGTGCCCGGTTTATCCTCCGTACTGTGGATTTTTGCCTACGACCCAAAGCACTGAATTTGCATCCGGTATTATAAGGTTTTGGAAAATAAGTAGGGTTAATCCTGAATAGCGCATGGATGGGCCACTAAGTTAAACGGATATTGGAGGCTGCTGCATGGCAATGTTGTAATTGGTGCAGTGCAGCAAAACTCTGTTGTTATATACTATGCCCCAAGGTCTATGCTCCCTACCTTCACCATCCACGCTGACCAGCCTGGTGGAGTACGGTCAAATAACCCCCAAGGAGAGCACGGTGTGTGGAGGCCTTTATCCAGCAGTGGATTGACAAAAGGGCTGAGCATATCAACGTGTACAATACAGACATGTCCACAACCAGTACAAATTACCGCCTGCAATAATTAGTTTTGTAAAGAAAGAATCTACACATGTATGTATGCATGTACCTTTGCACGCGTTTTAATTTGGATAACTGATCAAAAAAACTGTTTTGGTGTTGTGCAATGACCATTACGTGAACTCATTATGCGACTCCATAATCTGGAGCACAAGATGCTGCAGATTTGCCTTCAATCCAGACGGATTACCGCGTCTGGCTTTTAAACCAAATTCCTTCTGCCACGATGAACTCATTCCGAGAGATTTGCTGTGAATGCACTGAAAAAGCCGTGGCAATTCAACGCGGATTCCATTTATTCACCCTAAATTAAGCAACAAATTTGTCGCATTGTTTTTTGGCTTACAAAAGAAAAAAACTGGCCTAGGACCTACTGTACATTTTACAAGCCTGCATGCATGTACAGTTGCGAGTGTGTTCAATGAAAACGATGCACAGAATCATGCACATTGTCCCGAATACTGCACTGGCCAACTGTTTGCTGCTTCTAATACATTGACGCAACTGGAAAACACAGCAGAGCGTTGATACCTACGAGAGTTATTGAAGGTGGACTGGAAGGCAAGTGATGAAGCAAAATATGCAGGCGAGAGCAGGTTGGAGCGCTTTTGGAAAACGGAACTTGACACTGAACACAAAACACCATTGTGCTTACAGAATGGACGTTTTAATCAGTGTGTGCTACTTGCTGTAACATACGGATCAGAAAGATAAACATCAACGAACAATTGGAACAAAAACTGAAAAATGCGCAAAGATGTACGGAGAGATGCCCGCTTGGAATTATATTGTAAGACAGAAAGTGGAACAAGTTCATTACAGAACACATGCAGGTTAAAGACGTAATTTTAATTGGTGTAACCTATCTATATTGCACCACACTTCACATTGTCATTATTGCATCGGATAATTTGCATCAAATGCATTGTTTTTTGTGACTGCCTCTGGTCATCTCACTGTGGTGACATGCACATGTGTGTGTGTGTGGTGCAATGTGTAAACATGGCCACTAGGGATACAGGCGGCTGAGCGTGGTGCTGACCACCCACCCCCTCGTGTGCCGTACCGGCCTTCATAGGTGCTTGCTAACAGTACTTGCCCAAACAGTCTGTTAAGGCTACAAGGGGATCTTTGTCTTTGTGTGCGCAGGGGCCGAGCGAAGTGCGGGACCCGCTGGCCGTGGTCGTGACCCCGACGCGCGAGCTGGCCATGCAGATCGAGAGGCAGGCCAAGGAGCTGATGGCTGGGCTGCCCCACATGCGCACGGCGCTGCTCATAGGGGGGCTGCCCCTACCCCCACAGCTGCACCGCCTAAGGCAGCGTGTACAGGTGCCCCCACTGCCCACGCTGCTGCCCAGCCCCACCGTCAACCTTATTTTGATGTATTGATCCAGGAAGACTGGAGGAAACCCATGAGCTTTATAGCTCATTGAATTCCTCCAGTATAAATTAATATTCTAAATCAGATTTTTCGCAGCGTCCTGCTAAATTGAGTTTTAAGACGTTTTAAGACGTTCTGAGCCAATTAGTGTTTATTATACACATGCGAGGAAACCGGAGCACCCAGAGAAAAACCACACACGTGAGGGGGCAACACTCTATCCTCGTACAGATGGAAACAGATGGCGATTAGTCCACTTGCTGTACTGTTTTCTCCTGGCGAGCCAGGGTATTGCCCCTCCTCGATGCTCACGGGAAGAAGTTTCACAACATTTGCGCGATACACCAACCCTCGGTCCCTCCACAGTGCTGCGTTACAGGCCACGTGCATAGCCACCACAGACTACTCACAGAAGCCATTTTCTCTTTTTCCAAAACGATTTTTTTTATGAAACATTCAGATGCACAGCACACTCCAAGACCATAACCAGAGAAAGACACATTTTCATTTAATGCTTTCTAGCTGAGGTTGAAAGCGTATGTGCATTATCTCCATCTATCTGTCCATCTTATAATGGGGGGCGGCACGATAACTCCAGCTAAGATAACCCAATATGAATTAAACTTAAGTATACCGTTTTGTTTCTGTGAGGGACTAGGCATGTTGATCAAAGGTTTTCCAAAAGTTTGGAGATTAGGACTAGACTGCATATCTGGAAAATCATTTTGCCCTCTCAGAGCTACCCTTCAGCTTTCGTATTGCAATTTTTTTAGGATAAACGTCTGCTCGAAATTATCCCATAATTCATGCATGTGCATGGTTTTTTTTTCCTTTCCCTGTATTTATTGCAAACGTTTGCCATCGGGGTCATGTCATGAGAGGGACGTGCCCATTCCGAACGCTCACGCAGTTGTGCGTTGACCCCGCCGTCTCGAGCAGATTCTGCAATCCCTTCGAGTGACCGTTCGCCATCCACACACGAGGGGAGCACTTTCCCATCATGTGCCCTCGCTGCAGAAAGAAATGTTCAGCTCAAGATGGCAAAAAACTATATTTTATAATTTTATTAACCGGAATTTTTCTCAAATTAACTACATTCAATGCGATGGGGTTTTTTTTTCGTGCAGTACTCTGTGATTGGGCTGAGTGCGTTAACCGTGCACTACTAAAACCAGAATTCGAACCTAGGCCTAGAGCATTGCCAGCTCATTGCTCTGACCTTTTAAGTGATTTACCCACCTCCAGATACCAGTTTGTTAACTTGAGGCGAAGTTAGCCTATTTACAGCTTTCCATGTTATTTTTGTACTTTCTACGCTATAAAAAAATCTAAAGTAATATATGTCAGAAATGTAACAAAAAAATACCAACTGAAAGGCACAAGTCAATTCTGGAACGCACAATCCAATGCTACTACGATAATGACTCCAGTGCAGTAGAAAGCTAGGACTGCCTGATGCGTGACGTTTCTGCGCAGCGAGCTGAGGCAGCTACATACCCGTCAACCCTTTGTCATTGCCCTACCTTATTACAGACCAATTCAGACCGTATTGGTCACCCCGTGCCCCTTATAAATCTCAACGTTCATCCTACAAAGTCCCATCACAAGGGAGAAACACAAACAAATAGACCAAAAAAATTGTTCGTATTGAAACAGCTGTAGGCCGCATGGACCTAAAAACTCAATTTCTCTGTACAAGAATACGGGTAAACCGTATGGGTTGACACGTATGCAGCTAGCAACATTTCGGCGTTGCTTATCACACATTTGAATGTGGGTGATTGGGCAAAAGGGATATCTGCTGCGAGGTTCGCGTGAAGAACCCATCTTGCAAATTGTCAACTTGCCGCGTAATTTTTTTACCGATTGTCCTTGACTGGTACTGCCCTGTTGACGTATTAAATATTAAAATGTACATTAAACAAGAGGATGTGATAGCCTTACCAAAAAAAGGACCAAGACCGTCATTGTCAGGCATTGTTTCTCCTTGGCACGCACCACCGTCTGGAAAGTAGCCGTTCGAGAGCCTCGCCGCTATCTGCTGATTTTTACTGACACTGACCACGGCTCCGCACCTCAGTCACGTTCAATCATGTCCGCGAAATAACTCCATAATTTACTACTAATAATCAGTATAACAGTTAAAGGCAAATTGGCAATTAAAATTTCGTATGTACATTACTTAGTTTAATCACAGGTTAGTCTCGGCCCTGATATGAATTTGTGGGTGCATTTTGGAGCGCGCCGTCGAAATGTGAAATGACTGCTTGAACGATACGAGTCGGTGCACGATTGTCCTACGGTCTCTTGCTGCGGTTTTGCGGGAACCGTTTTCTTCGCCTGATTTGTTCTTCTCCCGACAGTTGGTGATCGGGACTCCTGGGAGAGTCCTGGAGGTACTCAGAAGAGATGCGCTACGCCTGAATTCCGTCAGGATCTTCGTCATAGATGAGGTGAGACCTTTGCAGCGAAGAGGTGAGGGCACATTCACATTCGGCTTTGCCTCCAGGTCAAAAATTGGAATGTAGAGTTATAGCTGTGCGCGTCTGCTGATTGACGGTAACCACCACGCCTTGTTTCAGACTGCTAATTGGAATGCCTTTACTGTACCTTTCACGAGGGCAACGATGTATCAAGCAACACCAAGGCCCATTTCACGTTTGTTCAGACTGTACACCCTTATCCTAGTCTCAGATCTCATTTATACACTTACACTTACTCGACTTTTAGTTTGGCAAATGGCTTTTAGCGTTTATTTTATTATATTCCCGCTTTTGCATTCGCGAGTTATTGTCGCGCTGAGTGTCCGCTGCTGTGACTTGTGCAGCGCCTTGAGATCCTTGATGAAAGGCGCTGTAGGAATATAATTATTATCCTTGACATTGCCACAGCTTTGCTGAAGTGATTTGACGGGCATTGCTGGAGTACTGTAAGGACAATTTAATAGCGTCTGACACTGAACAAGAAAAATCACCGGGTAGATATAAATGATTAAACAGACTCCCGTCCCTCTCCACGTAAAGAGAAACCATGTTTAGTCGGTCAGCCTATTTATTTTCCTGACCAATGTTATCCAGCAGTATTTGTCCGAGCAAGCGAACCGTATTGTTTTTTTATGGCCTCGAGATGTCTCTCTGTTACACATTTTACAGTGCTCCACCATAGTACACAATGAATTGTATGCGTTTTGGATATATTCAGATTACAATAACCATAATGTACATTGCTTAGTTGCAATCCACCTTCTGTTCTAGGCACGTAACTTGGCATCGATTAATCTATTAATTAAAATAGTTCTTTACGGCCATGATGCAAATATTGTAGAACGCGTGACATTAATTTATTTTACGTATAATCATATTGTATTAAAATGATACATTATATGATACAAATGATACATTCGAGTTACACTTCGTCTTAATCGAATGAGGAAAAACAGACGAAACGAAACATGGTCGCGAGCAAGCCGGAAAAAAACGCAAGCCGCAAAATGTATCGACTCTCGGACCAAATCGCGAACGGCCTTTGGGCCGTGCCGTTATCCCCGTCGTCGCTGCTGCTTCTGCTGCGGCACCCATAGGTCGACACGATGCTGAAGCTGGGCTTCAGGGAGCAGGTGCTGGCAGTGCGGGAAGAGACGCCCGAGGAGCGGCAGAGCCTGCTGGTGTCGGCCACGCTTCCAACGGCCACCGTGGAGCTCGCCGAGCGGCTGACCCGCGACCCCGTGCGCATCGCCGTGGCCGGGGAAGGGTCGGAGGTCGGGGGTCAGGCCGCGCCCGCCTCCAACGTGCGGCAGATTGTGTTGTGGGTTGAGGAGCCGTCCAAGAAGAAAAAGCTCTTTGAGATTCTCAAGGTGCGAGGGGTCGAGAGGGAAGTTGGTGATCGACTGCCGGGTGTGTGTCAACAATACGTGGTCGGTTTGTAAGACTATATCGCAAGGAAGTTGGTGAGCGAGCCAGTGGGCAGGCAGCTTCAAGAGTAGCCACATGGTGAATATCTTAAATGCTTACCGGCGAATGCTCGCAGAGGATGGTGGCATTACTATGTGGTCCCTGGTTTGGGATTGGTGACCGCAGCCTGTCGGTGCATAAGAAAGCTGCATCTGCACATCAGCGCACCAGTTAGTCGCCTGCGCACACCCTAAATAACACCAGTTAAATGTTTGACGTTGCACAACACTGCACAAGCAGCATGTTACAAAGTAAACAAGAACAGGTTTTCTGTTTCACAGAATGTACGGATACATAGGCTTGAAATGGCGGTGCAGTGGCAAATGCACTATACAAACCTTGGTACCTGAATTCAATCCCTAGCGACGACTAACAACAGTCGCTAGTGATATCATAAACTCGTGCTGACCAGCACGGTGAAGTATGGCTTAAACAACCCACACGACCGACAATCCAGCAGTGGATTGATAAAAGGTGGTAAATTATGTATAGGACTGAAATGGCTGCCATGTCAGATTGAGGTTTCTGGACCTCGTTTGACTCCGTGATTGCATTGAAGCGAAGAACCTCTCGTGTTTGACCCCCCCCCCCCCCCCCCGTGACCTCTGGAGGCACTTTGGTGATGGGTAGAAGCAATGCTGCTGCTAGGGACTGAGCGGATGATGTCACGGCCACGGGGATGCCACACAGCACTGCCGTGGGCCGCTTGCCCTTCCCCGTCGAGCGTTAATAAAACGACCGTAAATAATTACTAAATTTTGATTTAAAGCTTTCGTGACTGCAGGGATTCATATTCTTGGTTCTTTCGGTAAAGTCACGTAGAAGGGAAACAATAAAATAATAAAAATATAAAACAATAAAATTCTCACGACGTTTCGACTGCAACACAAGCAATCAAACCACAGCAAGAAAATTTGAAAAAAGTTGCGGTTATATTTAACGTTAGCACCACGGAGAGCGATTTGACAGTTTGTTCAGATGGACGAGTCCATCTATGTTCGGAAAAGAGGAGGGGGGAGACGAAAAATAATGGATGCTGTCTGAAAGCCACCTTAAGCGTGATCAATCAATTAAGACCCGACATGGTTTATCAAAACACAAGATCCAGGTCCGATTGAACACATTACATAAAATCTGTGATCTGGTTCCGTCTGTAAAAGATGTGATTCCGGACATACAGTACCCTGGCGTCTACAAACTAAGTTGCCTCTGTGGTAATAGTTACATTGGAGAAACCAAACGACATGTCTCGGAGCGCATTCGTGAACACAAAGCAGACCTAAAACACGGTAGGACCAACACCTCGGCCGTGGCAGATCACTGTTATAATTCAGTAGGCTCACATGACATTGACTTCTCCAAGACAGAGGTTCTTTGCAAGCCATCTGGCTACCATGAGAGTTTCGTTCATGAGGCTATCCACATATACAAACACAGACAATTTCAACCGAGAAGATGGATTCTGGCCTAGCAATCATTGGAAGGATTTGATAAACCATTTCGGGTCTTAATTGATTGTTCACGCTTACGGTGGCTTTCAGGCCGCATCCATTATTTTCGTCTCCCCCCTCCTCTTTTCCGAACATAGATGGACTCGTCCATCTGAACAAACTGACAAATCGCTCTCCGTGGTGCTAACGTTAAAAAAAACGCCACTTTTTTCAAATTTTCTTGCTGTGGTTTTCACACCTGATGATGATTGCTTGTGTTGCAGTCCAAACGTCGTGAGAATTTTATTGTTTTATATTTTTATTATTTTATTGTTTCCCTTATACGTGACTTTACCGAAAGAACCAAGAATAATAATTACTAAATTCGGAAAAGCAGCTTGTTTTGACGAAGGTGTTGTTTGCGTGACTTAACATTTAATCATTCAAATTTCCTTCTCCGCAAATTTGCCGTGACAAGGTATAATTCTAGCTGGATTTGTTTGTTATGCGTATTGTACCCTAATTGTACGGTGTGAATGTCTCATACAGCGGCGCCCTCTATCGACATTGCTGACACAAAAGAACCCAGACAATGTTTCCGTGTTTAAACATGGAAATTATCGGCATCCCCTTGTGCATTTCTTTTTGCACAAGCACAGTTAATCCACCACCTGGGTATTCTGTGCATGCATAATCGATAGTTTATTGTACGTCCGTGATTCATGATTTGTTATGAGTTTATATTGCATGTGGAAATTATGCTTTGTATAATTTGTAACTTTCTGTTATTTTTTTATATTATTCTGTTGTCTTGTTCGAAATTCACGTCACGAACGTTTCATTTATATACCTATGGAACTTCCTCTGTCATTTTCCACCATTGCCAACCCCAGCTTGCAATGGGCGCCCGTCAAAAAGATCTCCGTGACTCATCGGGTTCATCCAGCTTCAATCAATATGTCCCCACGTTAACACCCAAAATTTAGTGTATGTAAACTGCCCTTGCTGCGTTTTGTTCACGTTCAGGACGAGAAGTTGTACCATCCGCCCGTGGTGGTGTTTGTCGACAGCAAGATGGGCGCGGACCTCCTGGCAGATGCCGTGGAGACGGTGATGGGGCTCAAAGCCGCGGCCATGCATGCCGATAAGCCTCAGACGGAGCGCACGAGCGTCCTGCAGGTTCCGACCCCACACACGCTCAGGTCACCACAGCAATTTGGGAAGTGATAGGTGCAATGGTTAGAGCTTTGGAGTATTTATACTGACAGGGAAGGGGGTTTATGCGTTTTATTTCCAACAACAACCTACCCATCAACCAAAACCTGAACAAGATACCTTGCCGCCAACTCAAGTCACGATCCCCCTTCTGCGAACGCGCTGTCACCGTCCTAGAATCTCACCCAGATCCGGCAGAATGCTGGCGATCAGAGTGAAACTAAACTAAACTAAACTTTTTTTATTTTACCAGGTACAGCCCACTGAGCTGTGTATAGATTTTTTTTTTCAGAAGCGACCTGAATGTCACAAATTATAGCTCAACGAAGTGATTTATCATCATGTGGAAATTTATCGCAGCCAAATACTCTTAAATGCACGTTGATCCTAAATGTGGAGGGAAAAACTCGAGGACCCGGAGAAAAATCCACGCAACCATGGGGAGATCTAACCTATGCCCTCCTGCATATCAGGCGAAGTCGTTATCATCTCTTGCCACCGTGGTGCCCCTTTACACTCCTCCCGCTGATTAAACAAAATCAAACTTGACTCGACATTCGTCGGGAGTGCCTAGGTGGATTCTTACATCACAGAATCATGAGTGGCAGCGGCAGATTGGGGTGGCCTCCATCCAGCAACGGACTGACCATTGCTCATGATATGTGGAGACACGGATCGGAGTTCTGCGCTTGTATATGTTCTCTGGCTGGCAATCGATTGGTCGAGTGTGCTGCAGGGTTTGCTGGCCGGAGAGTACGAGGTGGTTGTGAGCACGGGGGTGCTCGGACGTGGACTCGACCTCGTCAACGTCCGCCTGGTGGTGAACTTTGACCTGCCGTCCACCATGGACGAGTATGTGCATCAGGTGCGGTGATCTCTCGCTTCTGCCCGGTCATCCCAACGCAGGTGTTTTGTGTCGGTGTAAAGTCCAAAAGTCGGTTTAAGTGCCGTGGTACCATCTGTCCGATACAATAAAAGTGGCAGGGTGGCTCAGAGGTTGCAGAGCGCTGAGCCACCGCAGCTGAGGCCCTGGGATCGAATCTAGCTTTCAGCCGCCTCTGATTATACCGGCTTCTCAAGTCTAGCGAGTTGATGGTTTCAGCCCGGTCACCAATGACTGCACACAACAAATCGTCACGTTAAATTTTCTTCTTTGCTTTATTTGGCTAAATTCCACCTCTGAAATTAAAAGTATCCATTTGACTGCTGTGCTACCCCCCCCTACTCTCTGGAGTAGATGTCACTGGAAGGGACCCCGGTAATAGCTCTGTGATATCTGCTTCCATGGGCCATTCTGTAACAAGAAGGGTTGCACAGCAGTGCGAGAGATCTATATAGATTTCTTTATCTCCTGATGGCACCGATAGCACGATTGGGATAACATTGGGGAAGGAAAAAAAAACACCTCAAACACCAAGTTCAATATATTGGCTCGCTTGCGTTCCAAACAGAGTTTTGTTTTTAGCACCATATAAATCGTTCATTCATTGAACAGTCAGCGCATTCACTATTTTGTATAACCTTTGCAGAACCAATTTACGATGAATACAGGCAATTGTATTTCACTAAAACCGTGTCTTCAAGAAAATGAAAAGAATGTGGTTACAACCATGTTTTTTTAAAGCTGTATGTTTACAAAAAGCAATGTAGCAATATACCTAAAGAAATATGTTTTGATCAATTTTTATTACCTCATTTATGGATCAAAAACATTGACATTTGCAAAGATAATGGAACAAAAGCAGAACATTGCAGAAAGAAGCATGCTTGTGTTTACATTGAGAGACTGAAATGGGAAGCACATGGTTCGAGACATAATATTGACTGCTAAGAAAAGTGAGTGTTCATGGATAGGAGACACTGCTAGAGAGATGGCAAACAGTGGTCTATACGAACGACAGAGTGGAAGCAAAAGGAGGGATCTTTCTCGATAGGATTTGCACCACGGAGGTGCAGTAACGAATTTGGCTCATGTGCACGTGCTAGATCAATGGTGGCGTCATGGGACCGTGAGAGATGCCCACAGCTTGCGGAGGCCTTCATTGAGCAATGGATTGATCTTGAGTGATGATAAGGCTCTCATTGAGCTTGCTAAGAAATAAAAAATCACCTGTATTTCCATTTTACCGCCATTGTTCAGCTTCACAGCTGTGCGGGTGCTTTGTGGATGTTTGAGGAAGCGGCTTGGTAATGCCTTCATCCAGCTAGTGGATTGATCATGACTGGCTGATGACGACGACGACGACGACACGCGACCGCGCGTTAGTTCTGAGTTGTGGCCCATTTATCGCCGTATTCCGCCCGTGCCCAGGTTGGGCGCAGCGGGCGCCTGGGCCGCCGCGGCACGGCGATCTCCCTGCTGAACAACCGCGACCGGCGTCTCTTCCTGGACCTGGCTTCACGCGTCGAGGCCACGGGGACTCAGCTGCCCGCGCAGCTGCTCCATTCCCCGCACCTGCACGAGCAGCGGCAGCGGCGGCACCAGCAGCAGCAGAAGCAGGAGCAGCAGCAGCAGGTCACCGCCGACAACCTCATGGACGTCATCCGCGCTCACCAGCAGGCGTCCCGCGGCAAGAAGAAGAAGCGATGATTTAACTGAAGTGCAACAGTGTGACAATGGGCATCACCAGCCATGATGGCCAAAATTTACGATGGGAGGCCGATGGAGGGATGCAGAAAGAGAGATAGGCAGAAAATGAGATGGCGGAACAAGATTATAAGTTGGAGGTGGCAAGAGATTGTATCTTCATTGAAGCGTGGAAGACATTGGGATGTGCATGGGTGGGGGCTGTCTGGACTTCGGCATTTTGAGTTGTCGTGTTCTCTGGATTTGCTCGTTCGAACCCAGACAATGTTACCGCAGGAATTACTTAACAAGCACTCCATATACAATTTGAATGCATACCAACCATCCCTTTAGGTTATTCAGTAGGCCATTGTGTACCAATTATTATGCGTGTTACCTAGGAAAGTTTCACAGAGTCTCAATACTTTTTCAGGGGGGTCCTGCCTAATATTCGCGATAGGGGTTGACATTGGCTGCGATTTTCCAAATTTAGTCATTTGTGAGTAATCTCCACATATATAAAAGGCAAAGTTGTGAATATGTATGTCTGTTCAAAATGTTTAGCGTACTTCCCGACATGCAACAAACTTGAAATTTGCCATGTGGGTACTTTCCAGACTGTACACCATGCAAAAATTATAAAAATACACTTTTTTTGGGGGGCATACATTTTTGCACGGCAAGTGAGCTGTGACGTCAAATCTGTCACGTGACCCGCGCATGTGGAAGGGTAACGCGTTGTAGTGTAGCGGTTAGCGCGCTGCGCTACGAACCCGGCAACCCGAGTTCGATTCCCGCTCACGGCCACCACCGGTGACGATTATTTCAACCGGTCCTGGGCCTCCCCTAGGTCGACTCAGCCTCAAACGAGTAACTGGTGTGGTGTGTGAACATCGCCACTGGGGAGACAAAGGTGGCCGGGCGTGGTGGATTCCTGTCCCGGACGAAGCCGGGTAGTACAGCTAATTTTATCATATGACGCTGACATAAAATGGCCTACTGTTCTTCGAATGATGTATCGGGATATTAAACGTCCACTGTGACTTCACCTTTTTGTTTGAGAAAGTCTAATTTATTCAATACAAAAGATGCTAAGATGAATGAATCTGTCCACTTCCAAAACACTTATCCTACTAACAAGCAAGATAAAAAAAATGGTCCTGTATATTTTGTCAGATACATGCATATGTAATGCGCTCAGTACGTTTTAGCCCAGCATAACCTATACGTGATGGATTCTATTCACGTGTATGTGTTTGGTTTCCGTGTTATTTTCCCATGTTCGACTCGCACAAATTAATTGTGATTCGAATAAACCAAGTTAATTGTCATTGTTCTTTGAAACCCAGTTTCATATGCTACGGAAAAATGTGATTATCTGATACCCACAAAAAATTGTTATCGTTGATCCCATCGGCAACCGGTAGTTGCTGCCACATGCAGCGTGGTGGCTAGCGAAGCACATTACTGTTTGCGTGACAAAGCTCACCAGCGAGAGCAGTGACGTACCTCTCATTTTGCAGTACAGCAAGAAGATTGCTAACCCGTGCACAGTGATCGTGATGTGTCCACACGAATGAGTGATTTCTCTCCGGGGACAATCGCTTTCCTCCCAAATTCAAAAATGCTACAGAAAGAAAACCGAACTCGATTGGCCAAAATCCCAACCGGGGATCCTTTTTGACACAACGTGTTTTGGAGACTTGCACTGCTGTCTCTTGAGTGACGAGTGTTTTACTTACCCAGTGTTGCGAGCCCTATCCAGATGCTGAGCTGGGACTGAAATCTTGTGTAACTTGGGTCAATTGTTATATTTTGTAATGTCATTGGTGTTTTTTTTTTCAAACTGTAATTTGATTAGGTAATTACCCTTTGTTTTTTTCGGTAAAGTCACGTAGAAATAAGAAATACCTTACCGAAAAAAACCAAAGAGTAATTTCTGCAGTCACGAAAGCACCAAATCAAGTCTAGATAATTACCTTTTAAAACAACTATATTACATTATTTGGCAATTTCACGAAAGCGTTAAGTGCGTAATGGCACACGCGAGATTTATCACCGTGCCAAGCAGTAGAGCCAGAATCATATTCAAAGCAAGTGTCTCCACGGTGGGCATGTTTGTTTTTCCATCGCCAACCAAACACGTTCATTGAATTAGCGTGTTGTCAGTATCAGTCGGCGGGTGTACGTGTTGTGCACATGTTAGGGTCTGGCGCTACCTGCTCGTTTCAGATGCGAAAACAAAGGATTGACGCCACACGTGCAAAATCGTGGTAATGCGGTATTCGTTTAATTCCAAGCCACCGGTTGCTCTTGCAGTACAAAGTGTTTGTGCAGTAAAAAGTGTTCACATTTCAGCAGCGTGTTCGTCCGAGCTGCTGTACCACCCTTGCCTCGTTTTTGTTGTTGCATACTGTAAACAGTGACGGCGGAATCTGTAAATCGACGACGAACCACTTTAAAGTGTTCTAAGGTGAATTAATAGTTTTAAGCGAGTTTTCTTTAGATTGCAAGAGGTGAATAACACGCGAAAACGGCTTTCTGTGAGGAGTACAAAGTGTCAAACACTAGCTTAACTATAAAAAAAAACACTTTCTGCTGCTAGGGAGTGTGCTAAGTCAGTTTTGTCGAGCATCAGTTAAAAAAATGCGGTATTGAGATCCTGCTTTAAGCGTACAATTGCTCTCTCTTGTGACTTTCTGATGTCGGTGTTCTTGTGGATAGCCCTTTGTCAATCCATTGCTGGTTGAGGGCCTCCCCTCGCCGTGCAAGTCTTGGGGGCGGGGGGGGGGTTATTTGACCATACTTCACCAACGCTGTTGCAAGTGGGACGCATAGACGTGCACGCATAGTACAGTACAACGATGCCCTTTGCCAGACACGTCGTGGCCCCCATTGTGTGCAGCGTTGTTGTTCAGTGGTCATTTAGGATGACATAATTTGTCCGTTGTTAAGCGCTATCGTTGGCATCGTTGTGGCATGACCTTGAGAGTACAATGGTAACTTTGCAGTGGAAAGCATTTGCATAGCTGATGCTCAACTCTTAATGAGAAGACATCGGACAGGTTCACCTCCCACAGAGGGGGGAGTTAATGTTGCTGACTTCATAAGCTCATCACCAACGTCACTACACGTGGTCTAGCAGAGGAAAGCCACTAGCTACGAAAACACGATAAACCACCACCCCCGCCCGAGTACAGCATTCATTCAGGCACATGAAAAACGTAACACCGATGTGTAGGTTTGTGCTGGGGGGGGGGGGTGTATTGACCTCTCAATTATTTAATAGAGATCATTAAGGTTTGCGACACACACGTCAAGTAGCGTGCATTGGAATGTTGTATGTAACGGGTTCACGTGACCTAAGATTACCACAATGTTGACAATCCATTTTTGAATCGCCACCCGAAATCACGACAATTCATCGAGTGGTGGGGGGGGGGGGGATGTTGATCATTATGCCCTGGGCTTAATCTCTCGCTAAATATCCCCCGGGTCGCTGGTAGACTGGCGTAGGGGGTGAGGCGGCACGCGACCAGTTATCACAGCCATATCGAGGGTTATGTCACGGATGGTGTGTGCCGAGTGTGGAAATAATTTAGGGGCAATGATGCGGACGGATCCGGCTAAAGTTAAATCCTGGTTACGCCTCGAATTTGCGTGGAGAGTCTGCTGATTTAACGGCTGCGTTGGCGTGTTGGGGTTTGGGGGGGGCAATCGGGAAATGAGAGGAAGGGCGCTGAAGGGCTGTGATTTGCTCCATCAGCGCTTCCACTAATATCATCCTCTGCGCTCGTCCGTGGGCTGTGGGAGATGTTCGTTGGATGGGCAGGGCTGGGTCACTCGCGGCCGTCTGCATCCGCCTGCAGCTATTACAGTGGGAGGAGAGAAAAAAACAAGTTTGTTTCGACACGTTGTGTAATAATGGGTTCAATGTCACATCCTAAAACTATGCAGAAGTTCAGGTCCACTCACATGGCCCCTGGACGTGATGCGTACACGCGGATTCAAATTGAGGTTTACACATCTAGATGTGTCCGGATATGTCAGGGGTCAGAGTGCTCCGCTGGCACCGCCAATATTCTGGCATGTGATTAAATTGGGTTGTCAATTGTAGCGTGGTAATGGTCTAACCCCGGTATCCAATGACTGCCCAAAAACAAACTATTACATTAAATTCGATTTTTCGCTTAATTTGGCTAAATTGGCAGTGTTTGAAAAATGCTGCCGTGTGGAACAGAAGTCATTTCAAGGGGTCTCAGAGGTAGCTCTGTTATTAGGTTTCCAAATGCCACAGTGTAACCCTGATACAAAGGGTTACACTCTGAAAAGAATGGATTTTTTCGTCAGCCAAATTTGATGTAATTGAGAATTTAGATTTTTCAAGTCTGTCCATTGGCTGTTAAATGCGTTTTCAGGTTGTACCGCCTGCTACCCGGCAAGATGTCGAACATCCCGCTCCACGTGCTGCCTGCAGGTGGCTTTAAACGTCGGTCATTATGCTGAACAACACGCAGTAAAGCCCCAAGCTATTCAGCACTGCTGCGAAAACTTCATCATCACGGTCCATGGCCAGATAGTCCGTAGGTGTCCACTGCACATTTCGTCATGTTTACACTTTCCTGTCTTGTGCCAATATGCTCAAGTAGTGCCACATCTTTCTGGAACCAATCTCTTATCAAGCCATTCTCTGTTAGGTCGCGAAACAACTTACGCAATAAAAAAATGTTCATACATTTTTTTCGTCGCTTTCATTGCTTATTAGCGCAGAAGTATGCAACGTTCAGCGTCTCACCTTGTGTCTGTTTTGGCGTGGGATCAGCTGGTGTGCTGTGCTTGCTTTCGCAGCACAGCGAGCGGATCTTGCCTGCCACATAGCTGCAGGCTTCAGAGGCGACGAAATAACGCGTGTTATATTATATCACTCGTGCTGATTGAATAATTTGTTTAGAGATAAAAAAACCTGTTCGGTAATGGAGAACACTCTTTATATTTATTTAGTCCACTCAGAAATGAAGTGATGTGGAAAGCACTCTTGACTTTTGCTAAGTCACACTGACGAGAATTTTAAGTCGCTCGGCTAAGAAAACAGAGGGGTGAAGAGGATGTCGTGACGCCTGGCCAAGTCAAACTGAGCAACCAGACTCGTTTTGTTATGTTTAGTATAACCCGGTAAGGATCTAATACTTTTATGGTCCACGTGAACATTTTGGAATTGCGTGTACAAATATAAATGTAGGACCAATGTGCTCCAAATACACCACATCTTGTCAGATAACGAATCAATATTTGGTGTATTTTTGGATGGAAGCCTGCTTTGGGAATACAAAGCGTGGACAGCATGTCACCCAATGGGGGTACAATGCATTCTTGACTGGAGCTTTGAGTCTTATCCCCGCACACACAATGGGGCTTCTCCCGGTAAGCCCGTTTCTTCCCATATGCCACTCATTCATGGATTTGCCACACGGCCCTCCTGAAAGTCGTGACTTAGGCTTTCCGTGATAAGGCTACGAACAGATAATTATTTATCTCAGAAAAAAAGAACGTTTGAATATTTTAAACAAGGTGTTATATTGTATAGTCAGAAATGTATTGTGTACAGCATTGACAAACCACACATTTTGAAAACATGTTTAATTAATGAGAAAAATACACCTCTTAATACGGTATATTTAAATAACCATGTACAGTAATGCAACCGTATCACGTTGAACATTGACCACAACGCACGCGTAACATCACGATAAATTCAGCTTACCGTTAATGATTAGTCACACCATCTGAAACGGGTCCTGGTCTCGCGCACTGCGTTTATTGTGTCTGCGCGCTCTTCGGATCGCGTTTCGTGTGCGCTGTCGTTTGCGTGGGCATTGATAATATAGCGAGCGCGAGAATGTGCTGAGTAATGGTGCACAGGAAGAGGCGGCAGGGACCACACCAGAGTGGCTTTTCGCACGTCACAGTGCATCATCCCTCCCCCAGTGTCGGTGTTTTCTGACTCTCACAGATGTTAAAACACAACCGCTTGGAACTTCACGGACGGGTCGTCGGTGTGTATTTGAATAAACTGCAAACGCAGCACTTGCTCAACATGACGTTCTTTAGAAATGCGTAAATTTGTTCAACATTTTAACGTACCCGACTGGCAAACTGAGACTTTTCTAAAACCAACGAAACGCCTCGTACATTAAATCTTGACTTAAAAGCTTTCGTGACTGCAGGAATTCATATTCTTTGGGTCTTCCGGTAAAGTCACGTAGATAGGTTCAAAGAATATAACAAACAATATAAACTACGACGTTTCGATCGCAACGCAAGCAGTCATCATAAGGAAGAAAATAAACGTCGTAGTTTTTTGTTATTTTCTTTGAATCTATCGACGTGACTTTACCGAAAGACCCAAGTAATACCTCGTACATCGTCTTTGTGAATTCAGCAAGACTTTTGATAAATACTCCTTAAGCCTCGCGACAGAAAGATCGCATAGATTATGCAGGTTATGCCACTCCGCACTGTGATAGACATATATGGGATATCCTGGGTAAAGAAACCTCAATAACCCACACTATATTATTGTCCTGAAAGGAGTCTTAATTCATTGTTTTTGTTTAGGGGCCGTCCATAAATGACGTCACGCGATTTTGGACGATTTTTTACCCCCACCCCCCTCATCACACGGCGTCACAAAAAGTCAGTTCCCCCCTCAAATATGACGTCACAAAGCTCTGCCCCCCCCCACCCAAAACCATATTTCCATTCTGAAAATAAAAAAATGCTTCAAACCGCTTTAAACTATTGTCATTGTAGTGCATATTTAATGCGGTGCTGCACTCTGATGTTGTAGGAGAAAACATAAAGTCTATTTAGTTAAGTAGAACGTGTTGTCTATATTTATTTAAAGTTGCGCATTTTGATGTGACATCATCACACATCGTCACAAATGTCTGACTCCCCCCCCCCCTAGGTGCGTGACGTCATTTATGGACGGCCCCTTACCCATGAAAGCCTCACTGAGTCTCGCGACTCTTTTTCAGGAGGGTCCTACCAAGTTTTTGCAATAGGGGGCAATAATTGCTATGTATATTTCAATTGAGAATGTTGAGAGTCGCCAAGTGGATGAAACAAGTCTATTATTAAGATCATTGAACGACCATCTGTAGGTAAAGTCACGTAGAATGAGAATAAAATAATAAATTGATAAAATAAAATAACATTCAACACGACGTTTCGGCCACAACACAAGCGGCCTTCATCAGGTGAAGGGACGAGACTGTTTGGAGGACACTCCAGCGCTGTCCTCCAGACAGTCTCGTCCCTTCACTTGATGAAGGCCGCTTGTGTTGTGCCCGAAACTTCGTGAGAATATTATTGTGTTATTTTATTTTATCAATTTATTATTTTATTCTCATTCTACGTGACTTTACCGAAAGAACCAAAGAAGATGAATCCTTGCAGTCACGAAAGCTTTAAATCGAAATTCATCTGTAGGTAGTTAATACAATACAAACTATTAAACGTTGTTTGTCAAATCTTCCAATGACGTTTGTACGGGTTTTCTTCGAAAAAATACAAATATGTGGTTTACATCTTGACTTCTTAAAGCTTTCGTGACTGCAGGAATTCATATTCTTGGGTCTTTCGGTAAAGTCACGAAGATAGGTTCAAAGAAAATAACAAAAAATAAGAAAAAACTACGACGTTTCGATTGCAACACAAGCGGTCGTCTTCAGGAAAAGGAAGACGATCGCTTATGTTTCGATGGAAACGTCGTAGTTTTTTCTTATTTTCTTTGAACCTATTTACGTGACTTTACCGAAAGACCCAAAAATATGTGGATTATACATTCCCTCCAGGACACGACTCTTTACAACATGCATCACTTCCAGGTGGCATTTGCTGGGAAAGCGTTGGGTCTTGTGGAGTTTGTGTTCCTGTTTGAAAAGTCGGCCTTCCAGCTTCTGTGTTGCTTTGCTGCCTCCAGTCCACGGTGGACAGATAGGACCTGGTGGCTGCGTGGACAAAAAAGGACAAACCACACCCGGGTTTGGTACATATACTCTGCCCTTAACGATGATTCACAGTACTCAAGATGTTTCGTATAATATACATAGCTGGAGATTAAACCACAGGTTTCTATGATTGTAGCTTTCCCACCAATTCTATTCCGACCACTATCACCAATGATGAATCCGTTCCGATCTCACAGAGCAGTGTAATCCTTTATGTTAGCGGAAAGCTGACAGAAGCGGATATCAGGGCTCCCTCTGAGATTCCCTCAAGTGCCCTATGATCCACACAATAAGGGACAAGTTTCCCACCCACCCTACCACTGAGGGTAATGGTCGTGACATGACAGTCAACAGACATTTTTCATTCTAAGAACTGGAATTTAGTCAAATTAAGTGAAGTCATTGTTGACTGGGCTGAAACCATCACTGGTCTACATATGAGATGTTTCCTACTTCCAGCAAAATGCATGCATTATTAAACATGAGGCTTTTAAAGCATGACACCATGACTTATTTATAAACATGCTTGCATAAGCACACCGTAATATAATTGGTTTTCACACTTCTATGAGGCCTAGCATAATTTTTGTATAAAAATTAAATTTTAAAGATGCATAAATATGCTCAAATACATTTATAATGTAGGGCATGCGAGAAGGCCACACACACGAATTGGGTGTGCAATTTAAGCATGTCTCAGTTCACTTTACATCAAATGGAACCTCGTAGTGCTGTGTTAAATATATTCTAAGTGTTAATACATATATATTCACACTGTACAGATTTCTGAAATGTTTTGTCAAGCTGTTTGACAAGCTAATCGTTTGAATAGTATTACCTTAACATAAAATGTTGCAGTTCGGGCATGAAATTGCTACATGGCTGGCCAGGTATAAGGCATTGCAATGATATATTAGGCCTCAATTACTTACTGGGCGTTGGTTAGTCACAGGTTAAACGTTTATTCAAATTGCCCTATCGGCGTCATGTCATGAGAGGTGAAGTTTCCGTTTGGGACTCGCACAGCAGAGTAACCCCATGTTAGGGAATGGCCTGCTGAAGGAAATACACACCCGTACCTTTAACACCTTCAAGTGAGAATTTTTGTCCACAAGAGAACTATGTTTTTATTCACCAGATAAGGCCCACTGAGCTATATAGGTATTTTTCAGAAGCGGCCTGGCCACAAATGATAGCTCAACGCAGTGGCTCGTCATGTGGAAATGTATAGCAGCCAAATACTTTAAACACGTGTTTCTAAACGTGGAGGAAGATTCATTGCATGGTAATCAAAGCAATATTTTGATTCCGGAATTCAGCAAAATTAAGTGAAAGCCTCATTTAATGAAACTTTGGCATGGTAATTGATGACTAGACTGAGACCCATCAACTCACTACACTTGACAACCAGGTTTAATACTGGACCGCTTACCCAGACATGAACCAAAGAATTTCAGTGAAGGTGGCTTAGTGATCTGACTTCAGCCACCCTGTCACCTTAACAGTAACCGATATGAAGTAAAATTAAGGTGATAGTATACGTCTCAAAGGAGTCTTACTTGATTTTTGAGATCTCGTTAATGAGGCGACACACCGTGTCAGTGGCATCCCTCAGTTTGGCAGTCTGTGTGGATCTAAAAGGAACAAAATAAATGCTGTTGTGGATCACATTCACACAATTTCACTCAGGTGATAAAGTATTATGTAACACATTGGAAATGTTACCAATTGCTCTGGTTGGTGCTGACAAAAACAAGAGTTGCAAGCTCTACCTTTCAGTGTTCACAACAAATTCAGAAGATTTCTCTTGGATACAGATATCGCTAGGAGTTTCAATATTTTCATTCATCTGCATTTCATTGTCTGTAAGGAAATTATGGTACAATACTGTAACTCAAAACAGCGAACATTTCAGGAATTCAAAACACTTACATTTTCTTACAAGTTTTTCTGCTTTGCAATTTCCACTTCTATATTGTCAACTAATCTCTAGGAACAAAATAGGGGGTGCCCCCATATTTGTACAGGGGGGTAAGCCATATACTGTGCTTCCCACCCCTGCCCAAATCCTTTGTGGGTCCCCTTGGCTACATGACGTAGGAATCATGGCTACTTATCCCCAGTAACAGCATTAGTAGGAGACCGAGGCTGTTGGCCAAGACAGAAAACGTAGCAACGGGAAGCTGAAAATAAATTTCAGAGACACGGAGGAATTATCGCGCCTAGCGCCACTGCTTCGATCCCATGAGGCCCTCACAATAACCTTCATGGATCACTTTTAGCTCCTTGACATAGGCCACGCAGCTTCAAAATCATTCCCATGTATCTACCTTTCCTCAGCACTTGATGAACAACTCCAATGCTGTTGCCATCACATCTGGTCCTAAACAAACCAAAAAAACTGTTCATTAGCACGCAAAGATAGTAATGCGTATTTTGTTTACTTGCCTTCACTGAGCTCGCTCATGAAAAATTCACACAACTGGCTGTCTTCTAAGAGCAAATCATCTACAACTCCGCGAGCTTCGACGTGTGACTTGCGGCTGCGTTCCGAGTTCTTGTCGCCGGCTTTTGGATGAACAGTAGTTCCTGTTAATGGTTGTTTCAAGATGCCTGCAGGTGCAGGGGCCATGGCAACAAAGCAGCCGTCCCTTTCGATGCCAACACTTTGTGGTGGCACACACACCGCTTCTTCGGCGACCGATTCTTCGTATTGTTCAGCCGGAAATGTTTGTTTTTCATTGGCTGAGAAGTCTTGATGCTCTATATGCTCATCAGTTGGTAATGTTTTACTTCGCTCAGTTGATAATTCTTGATTTTGTTCAGCCGATATATGTTTATGTTCATCGGCGGATATTTTTGTATGGTTATCAACTAATAACTCTTCTTTATGTTCATTAGTTGGTAATTCTTGACTTTGCTCAGTTGACAATTCTTTATATTGTTCAGCTGATATATGTTTTAGTTCATCAGCTGAAAAGGTTTGATGTTCATCTGTTGTTAAATCTTCATGTTTGTCAGCTGATAATTCTTTATGTTCATAAGCTGACAATACTTTATATTGCTCAGCTGATATATTTTTTAGTTCATCGGCTGAAAATGTTTGATGTTCATCTGTTGTTAAATCTTCATGTTTGTCAGCTGATAATTCTTTATGTTCATAAGCTGACAATTCTTTATATTGCTCAGCTGATATATTTTTTAGTTCATCAGCTGAAAATGTTTGATGTTCATCTGTTGTTAAATCTTCATGTTTGTCAGCCGATAATGCTTTACTTTGCTCAGCTGATATATTTTTTAGTTCATCGGCTGAAAATGTTTGATGTTCATCTGTTGTTAAATCTTCATGTTTGTCAGCCGATAATGCTTTACTTTGCTCAGCTGATATATTTTTTAGTTCATGGGCTGAAAATGTTTGATGTTCATCTGTTGTTAAATCTTCATGTTTGTCAGCTGATAATTCTTTATGTTCATAAGCTGACAATGCTTTATATTGCTCAGCTGATATATTTTTTAGTTCATCGGCTGAAAATGTTTGATGTTCATCTGTTGTTAAATCTTCATGTTTGTCAGCCGATAATGCTTTACTTTGCTCAGCTGATATATATTTTAGTTCATCAGCTGAAAATGTTTGATGTTCATCTGTTGTTAAATCTTCATGTTTGTCAGCCGATAATGCTTTACTTTGCTCAGCTGATATATTTTTTAGTTCATCGGCTGAAAATGTTTGATGTTCATCTGTTGTTAAATCTTCATGTTTGTCAGCCGATAATGCTTTACTTTGCTCAGCTGATATATTTTTTAGTTCATCGGCTGAAAATGTTTGATGTTCATCTGTTGTTAAATCTTTACTTTGCTCAGTTGATAATTTTTGACGTTTAGCTGACAAATCTTGATGTTGTTCAGCTGAAAAATGTTCGTGCTCCACTGAAATTGTTTGTTGTTTGTCAGCTACATTTTTATTTATTTCAGCTAATTCTTGATATTCTTGAGCTGACAATTCTTCATGTTTATATTCTTCAGCTGAGAAGACTTGATGAGCTTCACCTATTTTTTCATCATCTTTTTCAGTCAGTGATTGTTCATGCTTTTTTGCAGCATAATGTACTGTGGTTTCCATGTCCAGAACTATATTTTTTCCTTTGCAAAATTCACTTGTCAATGGCTCATCTGAAATACGTTCTACAATATATTTTTCACATTTTCCAGGCTGGAAATACCGACCGATTTCAGCTTTGTTATTCAGATCTAATGAATCTGGATTGCCTGGTGCTATTATGCATCCCAAGTGCACTGTTTCTGTGCCATCACCAGAGTATATCATTGTAGATGTTGCCCCGCTAAAAGGGTCCTTTTCTTTTTGTTGCTGTGTAACCACTGCTGCATTTTTGTTTTGAAAACCAACGACTGTCGATGCCAGCGTTTCAATTCGCAAATTCAGGGGTGCCTCTATTGAAAGGACCTTGTGTGATTCTGCAGCGTTCGGCTGTTTCCGCACATCTGACATGTCGGCATTTGAAACCGATGCAAAGGGGTGAGAAGATGAGACAATGCTTTCAATTATAACCACTTCACCTTTCTGTCCTTTTCTGGACAGCTTATTTCTAAAAGTTACAGGCATTTGGAGTTTCTCCAAAATGCTGCTTTCTATATCAGCATTAACTGTACCACATGACTCATCATGTGTAACCAAACTCTCAGTCCCATTTGAATGAGGTGGACAGACGTTACTAGAAACCAAATATGTTTTCTCAACGCCACTGCTGTTTTCTCTAGAACGTTGGTCTCTATCTGTATGCTCTTCCAAACAATTGGGCAGTGTGTGTGTTTGGTTATGAAAGCTCATGTCTATTGACGAGATATTTGTATGCATGTCAGAGACAATGATGTCAGGTACAAAATTGCTATTGGCCATTAAGATCTCGGTGGGATGGCCATTCCCAATTTTAACGTTTAATTGACATTCATCAGCAATATTTGCCTTACCACAGTCTTCCTCATTGCCTTCTGCATTATCATGCTGACTTGGGTGATTGCTTTTGTTTTCTTCATTATCATCAATAGTCAGACATTTCCCATACACTTCTTTTTGTATTACTGGGGAATCCAATCCCACAATGCAATCCACACATAGTGGTTTTGTAACAACATTTGTAGGAATGTCAATTTGGATGGGATACACAGCCTGGCAATTGAGTGCAGTCCCAACACATTTAGCATCTAAATCACCCGTACTCTCAGGCTCTGCCCTTTCTTCTTGTGGATAATCACGCTTGACTTCTTCATTTAAATCAAGTTTACGCTGGTCTTGAGAATGAACATGGCAGTGTTCATCCCGATTAATTGGGACCTCATCGACATGTACCACCCCAACATCCACCTCATCGTCACGCCTCTCATATTCAACCTCCGCCAACGATTTTGCCAGCAGGCTGGTCGTCACATCCTCCATACTTGTTATGTACGCTTCATTCAGGAAAGATGTTTCTTGGTTTGCGCTTGCACTTTCTACAGCGTTCAATTCATCCAATTGTATTTTCATTAAATCCTTCCCATTTTCTGGCAGCGGAACTTCTGTGTCAGAGTCAATGTGCTGCTGCTCTTGTTCATGGACCGTTGGAGGCAATTCTTTTTGCAATTCTGAGTCACGATTTTGATCGCAGCCTGTGCTTTGCATTTCCGGGACTATATGAGGTAAACATTCCAGTTTAGAATATTCACCGATGGAGTGTTTTGTGGAATTAATCGCTCGAATCTACAGAAAAAAAACACGGTACTTTATGTTTAAAATAGAACATAATTGGGTATAAAATACAATCGGATATTTTAGCTGTACAAAACAGTTTAATTTAAAATTCCTAATATATTTGCAAAACATGGCAATACAGCTGATAATACATATCAAACACATATAAACAAATGATAATGCCTACTTCTGCTGGATGGGCAGTGTTCAGCTGTGTTTCTTTTTGAAGCATGAACATTTTTGACTTCCTGCTTTTAAAAACTGGAATGTATTTTCCACTCGTAGGCTTCAATGAAGGGATCTGTAACATTAAATCCATAACATTTATACACATTTCATTGTATACAATACACTTTTCTAAAGGTAGCAGAGCATAGTCAGTGTCTATAAACAGCCTCATCAATACAATTTATTATTTTTTCAGTTAGATCGTGTAAATATAAATGTGTCATTAAACCCGCCACCGCAGGACACAACTAATTAGTAAGGTTTGTCACGTAAACAAAACATGCCAATTCGTTACGAGTTCAGTGCACAGGTGTGTTGGAGAGTAAACCCAAAAAATCCCTTATGGAAAATATTGGTCACAAAAGCCTACACTTGACATACTCCCACCGCGTCGACTCGAGGGGTGGGAGTCAGGGAGAGCAAAAAACGAATGGTATTGATTGATGGGGGGCAGCCATACTAAATAATGTATGTTGAGAACCACTGGTTTAGCACAAGCACCATCATTTAATATTAAAACACTGCATAATCCGCCATCTAGTGTGGATAGCTGTACCCGCAGAAATATTTGCGGAGTTTAGGCATGACAAATTGATACCCAATATGACTGAATTACTGTGATGGCGTATACGTGTCGACAATTAAAATGGTGTACCTGTTGTGATAAAGACAACTGTAAATCATCCGAATCCGATCTTTTTAGTCTTTTTTCCTCTGGATCTGATGCAGCTTCACTGTAACAAAATATTTAAAAACTCAACGGAATAAACATATTTAGAATATCATTAAAGAGATTGATACATGCTGACTTCATTAAATGTCTTCATATTCGTTTTTTTACGTAATCTTAAAACTTTAAAATCCCAAGCAAGGTTTGAAATACTTCATTTTTATTGAATTGGCCTTGGACCAAATCACCCAAAATGCTAAACATGGCTGAGCCAGGAGAGAACTTGGATATACCACCATGCAAAGGGCAGTGTGGGAAAAAAAATCTGTTGAACTGTACATCCATGTTCTTTGGTTCTTTCGGTAAAGTCACGTAGAATGAGAATAAAATAATAAATTGATAAAATAAAATAACACAATATTTTTTGATTTAAAGCTTTCGTGACTGCAGTAATTCATATTCTTAGTTTTTTTGGTAAAGTCACGTTGAAGAGAAACAACAAAATAATAAAATATATAAAACAATAAAAAATTCTCACGACGTTTCGACCATAACTCAAACGGTCATCTTCAGGTGTGTTGGTTTGCATAAATTTATTTTTAAACGGCGCATTTATTTAATTATAAAAAAACGTTGGCGTCACGCGCAGCGATTTGGCAGTTTGCCCAGGACTAGTCCATCTATTTTTTTGAAAAGAGGAGGGGGGAGACGAAATTTTTTATAATGTATGCTGTCTGAAAGCCACTGTAAGCGTGAACAAATAAGAACTGAAATGGTTTATCAAATCTTTCCAATGATTGCTATGATAGAATCCATCTTCTCGGTTGAAATTGTCTCTGTGCTTGTATATGTGGATAGCCTCATGAACGAATCTCTCATGGAAGCCAGATGGCTTGCAGAGAACCTCTGTCTTGGAGAAGTCAATGTCATGTGACATTGTGACATTGACTTCTCCAAGACAGAGGTTCTCTGCAAGCCATCTGGCTTCCATGATGTCATGTGACATTGACTTCTCCAAGACAGAGGTTCTCTGCAAGCCATCTGGCTTCCATGAGAGATTCGTTCATGAGGCTATCCACATATACAAGCACAGAGACAATTTCAACCGAGAAGATGAATTCTATCTTAGCAATCATTGGAAAGATTTGATAAACCATTTCAGTTCTTAATTGTTCACGCTTACAGTGGCTTTCAGACAGCATACATTATAAAAAATTTCGTCTCCCCCCTCCTCTTTTCAAAAAAAATAGATGGACTAGTCCTGGGCAAACTGCCAAATCGCTGCGCGTGACGCCAACGTTTTTTATAATTAAATAAATGCGCGTTTAAAAATAAATTTATGCAAACCAACACACCTGAAGATGACCGTTTGAGTTATGGTCGAAACGTCGTGAGATTTTTTATTGTTTTATATATATTTTATTATTTTGTTGTTTCTCTTCAACGTGACTTTACCGAAAAAACGAAGAATATGAACACAATAATATTCTCACGACGTTTCGGCCACAACACAAGCGGCCTTCATCAGGTGAAGGGACGAGACTGTCTGGTAGGACAGCGCTGGAGTGTACCAGACAGTCTTACCAGACAGTCTCGTCCCTTCACCTGATGAAGGCCGCTTGTGCTGTGGCCGAAACGTCGTGAGAATATTATTGTGTTATTTTATTTTATCAATTTATTATTTTATTCTCATTCTACGTGACTTTACCGAAAGAACCAAAGAAGATGAATCATTGCAGTCACGAAAGCTTTAAATCGAAATGTACATCCATGCTTCCACATCTTCACCAACCTGCACTGACCAGCGTTCTGAAATATGATCAAATAACCCCCGACCACCACAACACACGGCACGAGGTGAGGCCGTTATCAAGTAGCGGATTGACAAGGGACTGTGCTACAGAAACTTTCTCAAGACATTGGTGTAACCGTCAACCGCATCGGAACGTCACCAGCCTGATGCGCGCACGTCACTCATAAGTGGGAAATTGTAATAAAAGCCACAGTGTAGTTCTGGCCATGCAACCCAAACACTATGGATCATTCTTGATTTGAAGCTTTCGTGACTGCAGGAATCCATACTCTTTGGTTATTATGGTCTGCTGCTGAGACAGACTGACCATGCTTTCCCACCTGATGATGGACGCTTGTGTTGCGCCCGAAACGTCGTGATTGATTTTATACCTACGTGGCTTTACCGAAAGAACCAAAGAGTACTATGGATCATATCGAATACCACTGTAGTTTGCGCTCTTTTAATTTAGGAATTGCAAAAATACAATAATTTTTCTGTCCCGAAGCCCTTGACGATGGCATTTAGCTCCAAAAAATATTGCCACGCACAAGAAATAGAACGTAATACTTTATATTTAACTAATTCCACAGTGTAGCGTGAACATCAAGTATAGACAAGTACGTCGAGAATGCAGCCGTTGGTCTTTTGCGAGACTTTATATTTCCTTTCAGTGGTCGTTTAGGCTCTCCAGATGCCTTTGAGGGCTTTAATTTGAATTTGCGGTTGGATTCGGAATTTTCTGCAAAGCCTGCAAATGCTGCATCATCATCAGTGCTGTGACTCATGTCGGCACTTGAATGAGCACCACCTGCAAAAAACGCAAGCCAAAACACCCCCAAAGCCATAAGGCACGAAGCACAACGAATAATAAGTTCAACTTACAACACGCACAGTATTCACTCAATCTCGAAGCGAGTGGACGTCTTCAAGAGGCGCGAGAACCACAGAGGGCATCGGCAGCCACTGGATGGGCCGGTGCCAATAATTGCCAAAGCGCTGCGACTTCCCGGTATATTTTAAGGTGTTATCAATCATTCTCTGTTAAGACCAAACAGATCAATTATTTTTGTTGTTGTATTTTACCAGGTAAGGCCCAACGAGCCATATAGCTCTTTTTCAGAAGCGACCTGGGCACAAATGACAGCTCAACGAAGTGGCTTATAATGTGGAAATCTACAGCAGCCAAACACTCTAAACGCACGTTTCTAAATATGGATTGAAACACCGCAGAAGCCGGAGAAAATTTAACTCGACCACGGGGAGAAAGAGAACTCACGACCTCCTGTATACCAGACGAGGTAGTTAACATCTCCTAGCCACCGTGATGATGAGACACGCAAACTCCAAATATACAGCAGGCGTCAGAGGTCGGGATCGAACCCACGACCTCCTGTATACCAGGCGAGGTTGTTTACATCTCCTAGCCACCGTGGTGATGAGAGACACGCAAACTCCAAATATACAGCAGCAGGCATCAGAGGTCGGGATCGAACCCACGACCTCCTGTATACCAGGCGAGGTAGTTAACATCTCCTAGCCATCGTGATGATGATGAGAGACACGCAAACTCCAAATATACAGCAGGCGTCAGAGTTGGGATCGAACCCACGACCTCCTGTACACCACGCGAGGTAATTAACATCTCCTAGCCACCGTGATGATGAGAGACACGCAAACTCCAAATATACAGCAGGCGTAAAAGTTGGGATCGAACCCACGACCTCCTGTACACCAGGCGAGGTAGTTAACATCTCCTAGCCACCGTGATGATGAGCGACACGCAAACTCCAAATATACAGCAGGCGTCAGAGTTGGGATCGAACCCACGACCTCCTGTACACCAGGCGAGGTAGTTAACATCTCCTAGCCACCGTGATGATGAGAGACACGCAAACTCCAAATATACAGCAGGCGTCAGAGTTGGGATCGAACCCACGACCTCCTGTACACCAGGCGAGGTAGTTAACATCTCCTAGCCACCGTGATGATGATGAGAGACACAAACTCCAAATATACAGCAGGCGTCAGAGTTGGGATCGAACCCACGACCTCCTGTACACCACGCGAGGTAGTTAGCACCTCAAGAATGGCTTGGCGACCCAAGAGATCGGTGCCATAAAGACGTGGCGCTACTTGAACGGATCTGCACAAGACGTGGAAACAAATGATGATGTGTGCCTACGGGATATCTGCCCCATGTCATGGATCGTGATGGTGATGATGAACAGTCAACCAAATCGTGAGTATTGGCATGTGGGAGGGAAAACTAACGTAATGACACTTCGGTATTTAGCCTATGACCAAATCACTCGCAGAAGCGTTCCATCTCCTCAGGCTTCAGAAGCTAAGCAAGGGTTGAGCCTGGATAGTACCGGGGCTACGTAGCGGGGGGTACCGATGTTGTACCCTACTTCTATGTTACGATTGCCGCCTTCACCAACCGTGAAGCAACGTGGGTGAGGCATGGCTAGGTTTAAAGTACGGCCGTTTTATTCGTAAATGTATATTTTAGTGGCCGTCCTGTCCACCAGATTTAGGCTGCAAGCCCATTAAAGTCCAATGCATGATGCACAAGATACGGTTTAAAACTAACTTAACGTATAATATCATCGTATAAAGCCCTCCTGTTACTCAACAAGATGCCGATGATGTTAAGAGGAATTACTTTACCGCCATAAAAAAGGTGTGAATTGTGATGACAGTAAAATTACGTTTGACCCTCAATTTACAACATACCAAGGCCCGGGTTATCAATAAATTGTATTAAAACACAATCACGTAATGTTATCCACTACTGTATATATTTTTTACGCTATACACGTTACAGGACGTACTGTACAGTGATAAACTAATCTGTACAGTACTCTCACTTATTGTACCTTGCATATAAACGTCGTTCGCCTCTGTAGAGTATTCTTCAAGATTTTTGTTTTTAATGGGATAATTAGTCGTCAATGAACACCCTTATTATAAAACGCAGCGATATAAAACGGCACGCAAACTTTAATTGGGATTTCACGGCCTCTGGGATTTGTTTGGGGTTGCCGCGCGAGTGACGTCGTCCCTTGCGATCCTTAGGCTTCGCGGTGATTGACAGGTGGCACCAGACGGGGGCCCCACAAAGACACACGCTCTGGCACCAGCTTGGGCCTCACAAAGCCACACGCTCTGGCACCAGCTTGGGCCTCACAAAGCCACACGCTCTGGCATCAGACGGCGGCCTCACAAAGCCACACGCTCTGGCACCAGCTTGGGCCTCACAAAGCCACACGCTCTGGCACCAGCTTGGGGCTCGCAAAGCCACACGGGCGAAGGCGCCCAGGGGGTCTAAAAGTTACATGGCTGCAGGTAATGGCCTGGCCTGGCCTGAATCCTCGCATTCACCTTAAGCATCCACGGACGCCGACTTACCGGTAAAGGAACAGATGCGAAACTGCTTGAAGAGGTACACGCTTAACAAAAAATCCCATTGAAAATCAACATACCAATACACCAATTTTAATCGGTGTGCGTGTGTGTGTGCGAGGCCTGATTGTGACATTGATCATAAACATGGAGGTTGATTAAAACAAAATGGAACAAAAGCTGTAAGAGACACGCATAGCTTGGAATTGCACTGAAAGAGGAACATTGGCAAGGTGCTTTGAATGATTACAGGTGTCCACAGCACTGCAACCTACTCTCTCGTCTTTTTGTTTTAATGTTGATCCTGTCCCACCTTCAAAAACTACCCTAAGTGCAATACTTGGATGTTGTTTACAGTTATGTCCCTCCCACAGAAATAGGATTGTCTCGTAAAAACGTGCTACACATTTCTTTTGCTCGTTTATTTTTAACCCAACGTAGTTAATTTCAATTGGTTCTGATAATGACTGTGTCATCAGCGTATCTGAAACGGGTCATATTCTCAATTTGTGTTCATGCATTTATTTCTCCAATTCAATTTTCAGAAAACATCTATCAATCAGGTTCTGCAAAAGAATGATGTCAACTACCACCCTGTCCAGCCTCTGTTGACTATAAAAAAGGCAATATTGAGACAGTGGAAAATTGATGGTTCATCCAAGCCCTCGCGAACAGAGGCTCAAATGAAAAATATTGCGGAATCATAAAAAAACATCTGCAAACGTAGAGAACATCGAGATTGCACGAGGATGGTAGTCAGACGGGGAGACACCTTCGCTTGTGGATTATTAAAAGGATATGGAGCAGCATGGAGAAGGGAACCGCAAAGAAACACGTTTAGACATTGAAGGTGCATGTTTGGAACAAAGTGTTAATTTGACATTCTTAATCAAGTTGACATATTCTTAGTTCTTTCGGTAAAGGCACGTAGAAGGGAAACAATAAAATAATAAAAATATATAAAGCAATAAAATTTATAAATAATTAAAGTTTTCATGGCTGCGTAAATTGCTCATTGGTTTTTTCGGTAAAGTCACGTATGTAGGAATATAATGTTATATAATGTTATGGTATTCCTACATACGTGACTTTACCGAAAAAAACAATGAACAATACAATTATCACGACGTTTCGACTACAGCACAAGCAATCATCATCAGGTGTGAAAATCACAGCAAGAAAATTTGAAAAAAGTGGCGGTTTTTTAACGTTAGCACCACGGAGAGCGATTTGACAGTTTGTTCAGATGGACGAGTCCATCTATGTTCGGAAAAGAGGAGGGGGGGGAAACGAAAAATAATGGATGCGGTCTGAAAGCCACCTTAAGCGTGATCAATAAATTAGGACCCGAAATGGTTTATCAAATCCTTCCAATGATTGCTAAGCTAGAATCCATCTTCTCGGTTGAAATTGTCTCTGTGTTTTTATATGTGGATAGCAAGACTATATCAAGACTCTGCACCATAGAGCCCAATGCATATCCGACCAGGAATACATAGCCAGTGAACTCAAGCACATACACCAAGCTCTTAAGGCTAATAGTTATTCCGACTACTCAATCCGTAAAGCTATCACTCCAATCATGAAGAAGGACCCTCTTGAGGAGCCTTTCAAAACCATCACTTTACCCTGCATTGCAGGGATCACAAAAAAGATCTCCAAAATCTTGAATAAACACAAGATCCAGGTCCGATTCAACACATTACATAAAATCCGTGATCTGGTTCCGTCTGTAAAAGATGTGATTCCGGACATACAGTACCCTGGCGTCTACAAACTAAGTTGCCTCTGTGGTAGTAGTTACATTGGAGAAACCAAACGACATGTCTAGGACCGCATTCGTGAACACAAAGCAGACCTGAAACACGGTAGGACTAACACCTCGGCCGTGGCAGATCACTGTTATAATTCAGTAGGCTCACATGACATTGACTTCTCCAAGACAGAGGTTCTTTGCAAGCCATCTGGCTATCATGAGAGATTCGTTCATGAGGCTATCCACATATACAATCAGAGAGACAATTTCAACCGAGAAGATGGATTCTGGCTTAGCAATCATTGGAAGGATTTGATAAACCATTTCGGATCCTAATTGATTGATCACGCTTAAGGTGGTTTTCACACCGCGTCCATTATTTTTCGTCTCCCCCCTCCTCTTTTCCGAACATAGATGGACTCGTCCATCTGAACAAACTGTCAAATCGCTCTCCGTGGTGCTAACGTTAAAAAAACCGCCACTTGCTGTGGTTTTCACACCTGATGATGATTGCTTGTGCTGCAGTCGAAACGTCGTGAGAATTTTAATGTTTTATATTTTTATTATTTTATTGTTTCTCTTCTACGTGACTTCACCGAAATAACTAAGAATATGAATCCCTGCAGTCACGAAAGCTTTAAATCAAAAGTTGACATTTGTTTAAAATTGCAATCTTTCTTTAATAAACGATTTCTTTTGGCAGCAATCTATTAAAATGTACACAATTTAAAATACTTAAACAATTATATAATATACTAAGGCGCATATTTGTAATCACAGTGCAATATTTGCATGTTGTTGAAACCACCAGTCTGCATTAATGTGAATGAAGGATATGACTACATACAGCAAAACGTAATCGCAAAAACTTGCTAATGCTGAAACTCCCCTTATCCACACTGATGTGGATGGTGCTACTGGGAGATCCCATTATCTGTGGCACAGTGGCACAGTGGTTCACCCACTGGACGAACGAACTTGGCGACCCAAGTTGATTGCTGGCCACGGCTAATATCAGTGGCGAGTGATATCTGAACCATTGCTGGGCCCTCAATCACCAACCCACACTGACCAGCGTTGTAAAGTATATGAGGCCTTCACCCATCTGTTTATTAAGGCTGTAAATTATCCACAAAAATAGCGAACTCCTCTTATCCGCATGGTCACCCACAGATAAATGTGGACAATAGCATAAACTTTCCATGGGTGACCCGTTTCCAGTGCTCCTCTTACCCGCAATTACACTTTCCCCACAACTCCTGTGACTCTTTAGGGGCTGTGGGTAATGTAAGTTGTGTATAATATAGTCACGGATTACAGGCGTTTCACGGGAATTTTACATAGGCCATGGTAGCCCAGATTGCACCCTGAAGGGGATTTCTGTTTACATTTTGGAAACAACATCTGTAGACACATCACGGATAACTTGTGAAAACTTTTAAGTACTTTACAAGCTCTGTAACTGTGTATTTGGCAGCCTGAAAACGATTTATATCACGTTCCTCAACACAATTATAATACAGTGTAAGTCATTTGAGGAATACAGTCCAATCAAATGACAAGGGGTTTGGTGATGCTGTGCACTGCATTACATTGGCATATTCTCGATTTCAACATTACAGCTGGAACAATTATGTTACCGAAGTAAATAATAGGCTCAGGTCTATTCAGCCCATCTCATGCACTGTTGATTATTATTGAACAATGCTATTCGAAATAGCCGACTTTGCTTCTCAGCAATAAAGCCAACAATTAACTTCAGCATCATTGTATTTAGGCATGGTTAATTCTGTGACTCGTGGTGAAAGACTAAAACCACATTTCTGTATTGGTTCATACACATTCAGCAACATGTACAGATCATGAATACCATTGACTGTGCTGTGACACAAAACAAGACTCATATAAAAATAATAAAAATGTCGAAACGTTATTAAAAATACATCAGTAGTGCAGAATACCAACTGTGCTGGTGTCCAGGCATGCGCACACTCCAGCACCAGTAAACTGAGACACACACAAACACAATTACAAGGGTGCAGACCCCTCTCACTGCAACACAGTCGTGGTGCAAACAGGTGCAATTCATAATCAAGAATCTGTGTATACATGTGAATACAATCATCCACGCATCAACGTTGCCAAAGTTGGTGAAGATCTAGAGATAACAACGGAGCATATATTTGAACCTAGGCAGGTGCCCAAAATATATTGTTTCAGCCCAGGTACTGCGGCCCCTGAATATAGAGGATACCGAGTATTTACGTGAAATGTACAGCCTATTAATAACACATTTCAGCCCTTTGTCAAACCACTGCTGGATGAAGGCCTCCCAATACTGTGTTGACCATAGGCTTTGCTTGACAATACATCACCAAGCAGGTCAGTACGGGTTGGTTAACAGGGACCCAGGAACAGTTCAAATATCACTAATATTACGTTGGCTGGGAATTAAACTCAGGGCACTTGGTTCATAGCCCTGCGCACAAGCCACCACTCCACCGTTCCACCCCATTAATATCAATGTCATTTATTTATCCAGGAAAGCTCCTATGAGTTTTAAAAAACACTTTATTAGAAGGCTCTTGTGCCTTGGGATATTTGGCCGATTCCATTATTGTTTTTCTCATGGGGGAGGAATCTAGAGTATCCAGACAAAACACATGCATAAGAGAGGATAATACACAAAGACCCACATAGATGGGTTAACAAGTGGGACATAAAATCAAACAACAGCCAGTAGACTGGAGATATATGGTCTGCATGATGGCACCCACACATATCCCACTCTCTTTAATCTCACATCATGCACAAGTGCCTGGGTCCCCCTACATATTCTGTTTACGCCCCTCGATTAGATAACCTTCAATAAAAGTAAACATCACTTTTTTACGTGCTCAAAATCCAGCACGGTAACACTTTTTTTTCCTCAAGGCATTTCAGCCACCAAAAAACGTTGAATGCAAGCGGCACAAGTGACACGTGATCTGTAGGGTGCATTGGGGCAATGCCATTTAAAAGTCAAGTAACAACTAAAGTACATTTCTTACATTTATTTTCATTTAGGATCAATTAAAACAGGATCAGAACCTCCTGTCAGCGAGCATGCCGCACTTAAAAAAGTTATCGATTTAAACAGAATCAAAATATGGGTTCTGTATTCAGTCCCACTGCCCCAAAGAGATGCACTGAGAGTAAAGGCGTCTCAACGGCCAATGCAAACCACTCCGCGAAGAGCCAAAATTTAAGTGAGATGAGCTCAAATAAACCCACCCTACAACACGTTTGAAATCGACAGGAGTAAAGTTGGACTTAAGAACAAATCGACTTACGAACAGACCTCTGGAATCTAACTCATTTGTACGTAGAGGAGTCCCTGTATAGTATTTTATAGACATGCCTTATTTGGTTACATTCAAAATGTACAAATGCTGGCAAATGACAGTACTTAAAAAATAACACACACTGGGTACAATACCAATATAAATAAAACTGCCATATTTCGAAAAAAGCATAATCTGGTATATACGCAGTGGTGCATAGGCTACTCTGATTATTATAAATATTGTAAAACTGTCCGAGAAACATCTTGTTTAGTTAAAGTAAATTATTATTAGGTTGAATTCAACACTTGTAAAAATGCGTGCACAGCAGCAATGAGAGAGCCAAGTGCTTGGGCCCCAGCCGCTCAATTCCTAACTTCCTGGGTTAAAGTGTTCCAACACCAAATTTTCAAACTTTGCGGCTGAAATGGACTTCAATGAAACACAACATTGCATCACAAGGTCATGTGGAATTAGTGGCGAATAAAAACCTCCAAGGGAAATGCCACAAGTGTGAACAAAGCCGTCAACCAGCCGTTAGTGAAACGCCAGCTCCGTGCGGACGACATCCATGGATCGATTAAATTAAACATGCCGCAACATTCTAACTTAAAACTGTAGTTAAAATGCGGCCCACTTCATGCCCACCTACGTATGCTTCACTCAACCAAAAGGTGTCGATTGTTTGTAAAAGGCTGTGGTGTGTGAACGTCACATAAGACGCTGAGTCACCTTCACACGGCTTTGTGACTCGCATCAAAACCCAATCTTTAGAAAAGCACTTTTTGGGTGATTGAGCCCAGCAAAGTGGTGCTGGAGTGATCGTTCTAGCGGTTGGGCTCAGCGCGTTGAGTGGTAGGTGTGAGGCTGTGGAAAGAAAAGGGTTGGTAAATGTACTATTAAGCGCTCTACACTTTCACTTACTGCATTTAACAATGGGGTGCGCCAACTGAACCGAACAAAATTCAGACGAGAAAATAGAAACTAAAACTGTGCAACTTGTGTTGGGAAAATATAACTGAAAGTGTTAAATAAAAGCAACGAGCCAAATGACAAGTAAAATTTAGGTGAGTGCCACAAAAACTACAACTTAAACAGAGGGATCAAATAAACACATGCACTGCGTAGGTTTTTTCAGTTGTGCAGAGTAGTTTGACGATGTTTTCAGCTTTTGTCATGGCTTGTTTGGCATGGTGTTAGACGTTTCGCTCCATGTGCTGGGAGATTTGAAAGTACACTTCCTGAAGAAGCTCCCCGCACGTGGACCAAAACGTCAGACATCGCGCTTAACAACACTCGGCACGACCCGATAAACACCTCGGACAGCTCAATAAAAACATTACTGCAACAAGTTACAAGTTGTAAAAAGGACCTAAATAAGTCAAAACCATTCAAACAGGAAGCGCTTCCAAAACCATGAATTCAGACCTTTACCGTGACAAGTCAGTTCATGAAACAGACACTGGAGCAACAGCCATCTTCCATCATCATCTGGCTGTAAGGCTGCCTCCAAATTGGAGAGTGCAGACTTGCTGACATCACAATACTGCAACCATGCCGCACTTATCGTAGTGTCCTCCAGTAGTGGCCTGCAGTGCTCCGCGGCAAGCTGTGCTTGACATCTGGCCGTGCGGGTAAAGCCGTGACCCGCGCAAGCTGCCGCATGCGTGTCTGTGTATAATCGCAATCGTCCTGCAGAGCACCGTTGAGCGAAGAGCTTAACTCAAAACCGAGCGTCGGGCCTGAGGGAGGCAGCCGGAGCAGAAGATTATAAGGCACAGCAGCCGCCTGGCTGCTTGGCTTGTTTGTGTCCAAAGCACCGTCTTTGTGGTCTAGCCGCGCCGCTATGCTGGGCAGTGTAGCACCCTGTGCTGGATGTACTGGCAAAGGCAGGGCACGTCGTGCGCATGAAGGAAGAGCTGCGGACGGTACAGAAGCCCCTTCACCAGCAACTTCACGTAAGCAGCGCTGTACGTCACCAGGAGCTGCTCTGCCACTTGCTGGTTAAAGGGCAGAAAAAAACATGTGCAGTGCTTTTAAATCCACTGCTGGATGAGGGTCGTGGGTGGTTGTTCAGCTGTACTTCACCATGCTGGTTAGTGCAGGTTGGTGAAGGTGGCGAGAATAAACACTGGAGACTAGAAGTGCAGTACAACAATGGATGTTTCTCTGCTGCCCACCATTTAGTCCCATTATCAACCATCAGAGTGCATTCATTATTATAATAAAGAATATATACGGTGCCTTTCATCACAAATGTCTTCCAGTACACGCATATGTAAATTAAGCCAATAAATTGATCAGAGAGTGGCATATTTAATTGGTTAATGTCACCTCTGAATTCACTAGAGATGCTACCAATTGCCACATTGTTTAAAAGAATATATATTTTTTTATCCGTTTGTCACCCTAAATCGTGAAAATGTATCAAATTTCCAGGGGGCAGGAGGGGGGGGGAGTACATGGTTCAAAGCAGTTTTTGAGACAAATAGTATGAAAATAACTATATCCTCATTTTGATTTAAAGTTTTCGTGACTGGAGGGATTCATATTCTTGGTTCTTTCAGTAAAATTACGTAGAAGGGAAACAAAATAATTATTGTTTTATATTTTATTATTATTTTATTGTTTCCCTTCTACATGACTTTACCGAAAGAACCAAGAATATATATCCTCATTGTTACGGTTTCTTTTCCCTGTTTGATGTATTCAAATAAATGACGTTTTTTTTTAAACTTGACTGCTTCATTAAAAACTCTCCTTCGCCAATTTGAACGTCACTTGAAAAATTTGGAGCATATCCAATCACGATGGGCATTACGCATCAGCACAACCAGAACCTTAGGAAACTGAAGCAGGAGTGTCTCTCTGTACCTCGGGGCTGCCCCACGGTGTGAAGTGCCTCACGGTGGTGATGGTCTTCCCTTTCTTAGGCGCCGAGCCGTCACCAGAGGGCAGCAGCGGAGCCTCTTCCGAGTCACCCGCTGGCCTCCCGGGCTCTTCCTCTTCTTCTAACAGGATGCTCAGATGGTCAAGACTCTGCAATATCACAATCGAGCACGCACACACACACACCCACACTCATGAGGACAATGGCCAAAGCACACTGGCCAAAGATTGCTAGCTTGAGAACATTGGCCTTGAAACAAGGGCGTTAAAACCACGAGACTTTGAAACAATTGCCCTTGCAACATTGGACTTAAAGAAATGGCCAAAGACCACTGCCATTACAACATTTTACGCAGAATATTGGCCATACAACAACGTATTTTGGCCTCAGATTACTGGAATTAAAATACCGGCCCAAGAGCATTGGCCTAAAAACACTAGACCAGGGGTCGGCAACCAAAGTAACAATTAAGCCTTTTTTTCGAATTCGGAACCCCCCCCCCCAATATTTAAAGAGCTGCAATGCATGTGAACGTCACGAAGCAGTTGGTTAAGAGCCGCACGCGGCTCCGGAGCCGCAGGTTGCTGACCCTCTGAACTTACACCACGATGATTGATCTCAGAACATTCAGTGTTTTAGCAAAAGACAGCCAGCATAAATCCCACCAGCCAAACAGTCAAGAGTGGTAATTAAGAGAATCTAAACCTAGTGACTGGCTGTTAACGATGATACAACCAGGTTTGAAAATATACGTGGTTTTATCAATGAAGCCAATTGCAAAACAATATGGTTCGTTTTTGTTTCCTCTGGAGCAGCGTGACCTTTAGCTAATGTGGAAAACGTACAGTACAATTGTTTTTCATTAACAATGATATTTCTACAATCAGAATTGTCTTGTACAGAACCGGAGTAAATGGGGCTCTTGAGAGAGGAAGTCAAGTATAATTAGGTTATTCATGTGATGTTTCACAGACAGGAAGAGGCAGCCGAGTAGAAGAGGAATGCATTGAACCTAGATTTGAACAGGGCGGTGAGTTGATAGATTGGCTGGGCAGGAGAAGGCAGTTCCAAACTATGGAGGCAATGCCTAAACCATTTGCAAATCCTTGTCAATACACTGCTGAATGAAGGCCTCCACATGGCACGTTAATCATGGTGGTTGCTTGGCCATACTTGGCCAAGCTGGTTAGTGCAGGCTGGTGAAGAGGTTGGGTACCATGACCGGTTCAGACATCACCTGCCAATGATGTTCGCCATGGCCAGGAATTGAACTCAGGTAGGTGGGTCTGCAGCGCAATGCGCTAATCTCCAGCTTAATTCCTCCTGAATTAGACCACTATCCTGGCCTGCTGGTGATATCAAGCCTAGTGCCCTGCATTATAATGCACAATATTATTTACTGTGCTGCTGGTTAACAGTTGTACTGCTGGATTCATAGATCAGGGAGGAGAAAGTGGGGAATATTGGTCGTTAATTTATGGCCTGCTGAAGTACAACAATGCGTCCATAAATATCAATTGAGATAAATGATACGTGATTCAAATCGCGTGCGTATGAATTGATGTTTCTCAATTCATATATATGTTGTATGTAATAGGGTCACATGTGACCCGTGCAGCCACCAGTGGCATCTGCATTCAGTTGATAAAATAATGTATTATTGGATTGAAATTGTCACCCTGAATCGTGGATATGGATAAAATCGCCGGGGTTGATGAATTCTCACACTTGTAGTGTCTTATGAAATTACACAACTGAGGAATAAATACAATTAAAAAAAACAAGGGAAATATCATGTGAAAATAGAATAAGAATTGAGTGTAAGTCAGCCATTCTGGGCATAAATCAGTCTATTTTTCCATTAATCAGTCTCTCTTCCCTTCCTATACTCTGAAGGGCTATTCTTTGAAATATTACCTTTTGACAGTGTTAACGATGAATAAGGTGAGTATGTTTTGATCACGTGCCAATCCACTCTCTCTAAAAAAGGAACATGTACAAACGACCACCTGCTCTCGTGCTCAACACGCCTTTTCTAGTCACCCACTTCTCGCCGTTGTGCATTTCTTGTTGGCTGGAAACGTTCGGCAAGCGTTCCCAAACAGTCGGCGGTGTCAAAGTACACAAAATTGAGCTGATGGCTGAAGTCAAAGAAAAATGTGAAGACAGGACATGGTTATTTAACTGAGATGCAGCATATACACCAACGTTGGATATAACAATTTGATTAGATAGATGCATGCGTGCAATGAGCAATTTTCATTCTTCGTAAAATTAGATTTTATCATCATCATCATCATTCAATATTTACACCATGCCTCCCATGCAGTGCATGTTGGGATGCCGGAGCAAATTGGGCATTCGAGATAATTTCTCGGGAAGGAAGTGAACACAATGTTCAAAAACAATATAATATAGACAATACACGCAACTAAAGGAGATAACTAAACTGTGAAAACATTAAATATACTCGAGTCTCGTGGGTTTTGCTCCACCGCTTCATTTAAGTTACTTGTAATTACGCTTTCTGAAAAATACGTCCTTAATTTATTTTGTAACCGTCTAGGCATTAATTTCCACGAAGGATACGTCAAGCCTGCTGCGACACATGTACACGGAGTCGGTGAGGCCGGCCACCAACTTGTACTTCACGAACTTCTCGTTGAGCACAGCCAAACGCATGTCTGTGTTGATGTTCATCTGAAACAGCAGAGGGCACGAGCATGAACGCAGTTAATTAAATAAAGAGCTCGATATTTCAATTAAATCCTTCACATCCAGTGCCATTCATGAGAGGCCTTGTGCCGACGTAAATTCGCACGATTGCACACGAGGAAAAGGTCCCCCGTGTGGGATTATTATGGTCACAAGGACATAACTGGATAACGGCGCTCGCAGTCAAAGCTCTGAACCATTTCTTTTTTTTAACCGAGACAGAGAGCGCGATTGTTGCCCGATCAGAATAAAAGCTGGGTGGCGATGCCAGGGGAATGTTACACAGCGTCATTAATTGTTGTTACGTCCTTGTGACAGCGTTCTCGAGACTTGATGTAGTTTTTTTTTTTCCCGCATCAGAATTTCCTCTTGCCGACTGCGGAAATCACGAATCCGTGACCCTTTGCTTGGATATTTACAAAATACAGTGCTGGGTCTTTAGTTAGAGCACACAACGGCTTATCTTTGTACAGCATTTGGTGCCAGATAGCCAAGCACTGAGTTTGGTAAACACAATAGCGAAGAGGCAATGTATCTTCTCGTCCCTTCGGCTTTTTGGGGCCGTTAGGGCATGACTGTTTCTTTCATCGATATTCCTTTGCAGTGGTAATTCCACTTCTCCTTGTCCATCGCTGGTTCTTTTCACCGAGATAGATTCCACTCCAATGTTTTGTTGTTCGTCACCGCGTTAAGATTATGCTCAAATACATACTGTATGCATCACTAGTAAATGCTTCGACTGCCTCAGCACATAAAACAAAATATTTGCAATGTAGGTAGCATATAGGTAGAACAGATACATTTTGAGTATTGTTCCTGACATGTACAAGTATTTGCAACATCATGAATTTCTGGTGTTTCCTTCCATATTCGGCTCAGAACCTTCGGTACCACTTTCTTTTTACTCATAAACGTTCAAATGAGCCTGGCAAATTACGACGATTTAGCTTCTAAACAGTTCGGGCACGTGTTGTGCAATGGGTTGCATGTTGCTTACCTCTCTGCCCCGCCTATCGAAAACCCACACGACTGCGCCGATTATAACCACCGCTATCAGGAGGCTAATGAGCAGCGAGAACACCCAGCTGAGCTGAGGTAGGAAGTGCCAGAAGGAGGAGAAGAAGTCTCCCCAGAATGCACAGAACAGCACCTGAGCCACAATGGGATCAAGATCAGTTACAACCACAAGACACCTTTGTCTAGATTTTAAAAACAATGATAATAACAATAATTTACAGCCCTTTGTTTAGTCCACAATAGGATGAAGGCTTCTCCACACTAAACCAATTCAGATATCGCATGCCACTTTAGCTATGGCCAGAAATCGAACTCGGGTCACTGTGTGCATAGCAGAATGTGCAAAGCACTACGCTGCTGCACCTCCATGTCCAGTTTATTCCAACACAAATTAAATAAGTTTCGTCACTTTCTGGTAGAGTTGTTGTTTTTCGATTGAAGAATCACATGTATTTCTAACACTGTAGTATATCTTGCAGCCCTTACGAACTACAGGGCTCAAATGAACCCTTACAAAATGGGGACCGTGACATATGTACCGTCACAGGACAGTACACATTAAAAGAGCCTAACAGCTTATTGGACCCTTCCCGCATGAAATAAATAAAATCGAATACACTATATATCATAAATAAAATCTATCTATCCAAAATAATCTATGCGAATGTAAAATCGTCAATTCTTAAGTAAGTAATTGCAGTTAAAACTTAAGAACCGATATTATTAATTGATGAATGGATGTGTCGTTACAAACCCAGTGGTCAACAGTATATCTGAACAAGCGTCAAAGTGTGCCCTCTTATGAAGCTCTTTCCATGACCTTCACGTTTTGAAATCCACATAAATGGCGTGGGTGTCTGTTGCCCAACTTATTACGGATCAATTTAGAAACATATGAATTCAATATAAAAAAGATGAATCATCTTCCACACAAGGAAGCACATTATTCCAGTATTTACTGCCATGGAATAGTATACGATGTCTGGAAACCACTGGCAGTCTCTGAATGGGCACTGTGTTCGGTGTTTATAATTTCTGGCCTCGTTACCAACAGCTGCTGGAGACTACATTACGGGTAAAGATTTTTTCTCCACTGAGATTTAATTATGTCACGATAATTAATGTTACACAGTGTGAAAAAGGAGAAAAGCTTCTGGACCAGATGGGATAACTGTGGACATCATCAAATCAGTGAGAACAGCTGTTGGAACGAACTAAACCGGAGTTCGTTAAATGTTTACACAAAAATTAAATATCGCAATTGTGGAATGATGCCTCAATCGGTCATCTATTGAAAAAGTCAGATAAAAAGTGTACAAGTTGTTCATAAAGACCATGAGAGAAATAAAAGCATATATAGAAAACAAATATTAGCCATTTCAGAATTACCGATGACATCGTAAAAAAGTGCATTCTTGGAATTACACTAAGAGACTGCAAGAGGAACACGAGGATTAGAGAACAAATTAAAATCCTATGACCGTATCTGTGGGATTACATGTTTGCTGCTTGCTGCAATTATTTAATACCGTGCTTTCATTTCCTTAATTCAACAGGGAAGTTCATGGATGAAGCACTTCTCTGTATGCAGAATTGTTTTTTTATTTTAGTTTTTCAAAGTTGCTGTAATTTTTTGATAGGCGTGGGTTTGCAGCTTTTTCGTGGCATTTCATTGGAGGTTGCTTATTTGGGCTTCCTGTTTAGGCCCCTTCCTCTTCAGGCCCGACCTCTTCCTCTTTGTGACCCCACCCCTTCCTGTTAGACCCTGCTCCCTTCCTGTTTCGAAGCGCACAGCACTTAGCTCCTGCCCTCTTTCTCTTTAGACCCCGCACCTTCCTCTGGACTCAGGCTTGGGCTTGTTTTTCAAGGTAGTGCTTCTTATTTCTCCCGTGAGATTTGCCAGCTCTGGACTAAAGCAAGTTGAGCGAGAGAGTGCGAGTGGGGAGCGGTGGGCGTTGTGGAAAAGGGGGGGGGGGAGGGGGCTTAGTGTGCGCACATCAGTAGGTAGTGGCCAGCGACCATAGTGAGATGGCTTCGCAATGACCAACATTCCGATTAGAGCAATATAATATAGACTGACTGAAAAAAAAATGGGCTGGGCAGGGCACATCGCTTGAAGGGATGTAGCCGATGGTCGTGACTGACAGCAGTTTAACAGCCAAGGTAGGGAACATGCCTGAGCGGCTGACAAAAATGGAGATGGGGCGATGAGACCATAATGGATGGCCACAACTAGGGAAGGCCTTTATCCAGCTGGGGATGGGTCATGGCCAATGCCGGCAATTATCATGAATACACGATTAAATCAATTGTGTGGAACGTACCATGGCTATAGCAATTCCGAATGCCTTGGACACGAGGAAGGCATATCGTATTATCTCGGAATCTTGAAGGACACCAGACATTGCCTGGATAAACTCCTCATTTGGGACCTAAATGCAGAGGAACAATGTACACACAAATGAAACATTTTAAACATGCTTACTGAGCAAGAGTCATTTGTCATATATAGTTCATGAATACCACAGGTCCGTTTTTTTCTAGCCAAGCTACCTTTCCTTTGTATAGTGAAAATTATTCAAGAAAGTGCTATTACTGACAAGACTAATTTACAGAATGAGAAAAAAGTTTTTTTTTTTAAATATATATAATGCAGATTGTTTGGTTGAACATATCTACATTTATGGCTATTTGTAAAATCCACTGTTGGATGAAGGTTTCCTCACGAAGTGTGGGTCATGGGGGTTATTTGACCATACTTCAAGCTTTGCAAGTGGTGGCTGGGGGCACAGACGATATGGGAGCATAGAACATAGAAGTACTGCACCACAACGGAATTTACTGCACTGTCCTTTGTGACACCTACAAAACACAGCCCCACAGCCGATAACAACTGTTATACATGTAGTCGCACATTCAAACACTATACAGTACATGCTCAACCCTGCTAAGATTCCGAGATCGAGCACAATCCGAGTGATTTGGTCATAGTTCTGGTTGTATGTTGAACTTCTTTCGCACAGTACGTAGCCAACCGTCCTAATCGGAGGTATGATTGAACGTATAGATAGCTGTATATGTACCGTAAACTGATCTCATGACACTTAAACCTTTGGTAAAAAATTTTGGGCGATCTACCTAATGCACGCACGCACGCACAACAATACAAGCGCGTGGCGTGGTGCATCGAAGCCGAGTTCTCACCTGGACTCCACGTGAACACAGCTCCTGCTGGCACGAGGCGAGGTCAAACTCTGCCGACCAGCACAGGAGCGCCGCGCTCGCCATCAGCACCACCTTGCCATTGTACAAGCCTGCGAGTAGACCGCAGAGACGCAGTGGTCTTTCCCCCCTCGAGTAACCGTGAAGCCAAAGACTCATGAGTCTTAAAACTCAGTGAAATTTTCGTTGTTAAAGGATGAATTACATCAGCGTTTTAAAACATTATCATGGGTGGAGTATGTATGTATGTAGAACTTTTTTTGCATCTTACGTAGCCAACCACGCCAATTGGAGGTGCGGGGGAAGGGCAACAAACTAAACACAAAAAGCAGTTCTAAAGAAATAAGTTTTCAATACAGATGATATAAAAGTGCACAGCTCCAATGGTTTCCTAATATTGGAAGGGAAGAGCGTTCCAGACGGCCGCAGAAGCGCATCTGAAAGGACGCGATGCAGTAAATATCTGAATGGTCTTTAAGGTGAGCCTATGAAGAGTTTATAACTTACAAAACCAATATATTTGAAAACTCCTTACATTAATGTACATTGTACGGCAACAAATATATCTAGAAAATAATTAGAGAGCATTATTATTATGGCCGCAGCAGTTCGTGCACTGCGCTATGAACCAGGATCCTCGAGTTAAATTCCTGGCCACGGTTAACACCAGTGGCAAGTGACATCTGAACGAGTCATAGGTGCGAACAAGTGTGGTGAAGTATGGTCACACAATCTTTGGGTATGGAGGGGTGGGCTTCATCCAAAAGCGGTTTAACAATGGGCTGTGAATATTATTTCAACAAATAATATGGATCGTCTTAGCTGCTGTTGCCGTGCTAGCTGTTCTTTAGTGGTGATTAACTTTTGCTACAACAATCCACAAACAGCCCCGTCCCTGCATACAAAACATTGCTGCATTAAATGCCTTCCCAAGCCTCAGCATATAATCACGATATGCATTCCTTCCGCAGCAGTGACGGTGTATCCTGACATTATGTCGTGGATGTGCAATAGCGACCTGAGCATCGCATACTGCAGGATTGGCTGGGAACGCGACAAGAGAACGGCAACAAATCAGCAACCACTTATTTCATCACGCCCCCATCTTTTGGGGCCAAACCAATGCCCTTGTCAGAATATGAGACCGATTATGGGTATCATTCCCATTTTAGTCATTGCGAAGTGTTTGTCAGATTATTATGTAAAAACTTGGCAGACGCTCCAATGACTGCCACTGTATGTTTTTTTTTATATATATACTGTGTATGCCAGAATATTAGAATATTGTTTTACACTGGAGGTGTCCGATGAGCTATGGATCTCTTTTTCACAGATGTCCAGTACATTGTGCATATACAGTATATATTTAAACATTTCTGATTAAACTGATCAACTTGTCAAGATGGGAATGATGTCCAATGCGTCTAAAAAAACACACACAAAACAACGTCCTTCAACATTTTTAGCCTGTGAACGTAATGCTGGAGAGCTTTCAAATGTCAGCTGACCCCTTTTGTGCAAGCACCTTTGCCACCTTTGCTCTAAGTTACCGAGTTGCACTGCTCGTTCAGACCAGGATGATGTTTTGGGGTTGGTTATTAATTCCTTAAAGTGTCTCAAAAGCCATCGCGTAGTGGCTCAAGAATAAAAAAAACGAGACCCATGCCCGCCCAGTTCCTTAATTTCTGCTGGAAGGGTCCAGGGATGCTGCTGTGGGAATTATTTCGGCAACGCCACATCCATATCTCCTTATTTTATGTTCACGATACCGCCGCAGTGGAGTGTGCGGTGGCAGGTGTGGCAACACGTGTGTGAATAGTGCTGAGGGTGACACGATGCCCTTATAAAGGGTCGGTTTTGAAATTTGACATTCTTGTCCTCACATTCAACTACATTTAGTCTTCTTCTTTTTCGTGTCTGTCCACCAAAAAGTCAAATGTCCTTCCCAGTGGCGAGCACACTTCAGTGCTTGCAAGTTGCCTGCTGTAATACCCTGCGCAGTGCAGAGGCTTTCCTCGAGCAGTCGGCTGACCAATCAGAATACCTGTATTTAGACTGGAGGAATCTGACGAGCTATGAAGCTATTTTTCACAGATGTCCAGAGGTTCCGCATGGTCTGCTTTTGGCCACAGCAGTCGCAGCCTTCTGGGATTTGTGGAGTATTGCCTTTAGTAAGTACACACACACGTTCGCAACCTAAAAATCACCTCTGTTAACGTCTCGTGGAGCCCATAGCGGCGCTCTGGAACATACTTAGCGAGAAATTAAAACGTCGGCTGTACATGTACGAGTTATGTTTGATTAAATATTGCCTGAAAGCATTAAGTGTACACAACTGTTGCGATGAGAAGCGTCTGAAGTTTACCGGGTGCGCGTGCAGGTGAGCGGGATTTTAAAAGCCATTGCCATACATTAAGTGAACCTTGGTACAATGATTGCATTTTTTTTTAAAGAATTATTTACACAGTTCACGGTTCGCCGGCTAAACCGTCATATCCGTTAACCGCGATGCGCCTACGCTGTGGTCTCATGTGCTCCATCGCGACTGTAGGCATGGACATTGCATTGACTCAAAATCATCGGACCTCGTGCAGGTTGTTTGCTGCTCTTAAGGAAAATGTACACAGTGCTTCTCACACCCACAAGGGGATTTAAAAAAGCTGTGATTATATCTGACGGTATGTGAGAATGTTGAAATAATCTAGAGAACAAACATTCCGATACAGAGAATAATCCACCGAGAGTACATGATTTAAAAGCGCGGCACATTGTGTTGCGCGAAAGCAGCGGTTGGTAGCCGCACAATGACAAAGCAAAGACACAGATCCTCCCGTATAACCTTAACAGACTGTTGGGGCAAGTGCTGTTAGCGAGCTCCTATGAAGGCTGGCACAGCACACGAGGGGGGGGGGGGGTGTGGCCAACACCACGCCCGGCCGCCTTTGTCTCCCCAGTGGTGATGTTTACAAACCACACCATCTACTTATTTGAGGGTGGCCGAGAACCGATTTAGATAATCGTCACTGGTGTTGGCCGTGAGCGTGAATCTTGCAGTGTGTTAACCACTACACTACCGCTCCCCACACACACACACCGACACACCATCTTAGCATTGTTGAATGACAGCGCGCGTGTCATTGACGACCGAGTGTAAAGAGGCCCCCTCAGCGAACGAAGTAAATACAAGAAGTGCAGTGTTGTTGCCAGGTTGAAGACATTCCACTCTGGTACTCGATGAGTGCAGCCAAGGTGCTTGGGAGTCTCCAGTAAATATAATTTGTGGGCCGTTTCGAACCCCTAGGCCTCGTGTGTCCGTGGGCCGTATGCAATGAAGCTGGGCTACGTATCTGGCCCACGGGACATAAGTTCTCCACCCTGCCATACGTAACATACAAACCAGGGCCTCCTGGTTTGATGATTAATGAGACGACTGAGCATGTCAGGTGAGCGTCCGTCCGTCTGGGGCAGTAGCGCCATAAAAACTCACGCAGCAGTGCCATCGAGAAGGCTCTGCAAGTTTTCATTGTTGATTTAAATATTAATAGAGCTTCACTACACCCCCCCCCCCCCCCACCACCACTTATAGTACAAGAAAACATGTGAAAGGCTGATGTTTTAGTGCAGAGTAAAGGCTGAAAGATGCACCGACTCCATAGCTGAAGATCACGCTTTACAGCTGTGCTTGTGCACCGCTGCTCTATGCAGTCCCTTAAATTTGTCAGGGCTCCCTACGCCCAGTGGATCATGGAGGGGGGCTTATTTGACATTACTCCACCATACTGGTGAGATAAATTAAGTTAAATAAAGTACTTTAGAAACGTAATGATTCCCCCTCTCCCCTCAACAGAAGAACCCCTCAGGGTGAGCACCAAGCATTCTTGTTTTTCTCTCACCCCTTCCCAGAAACACCGCCGATGCGTTTATACCGGGGCTTGTGTTGCTTACCACAATAAAAACATAAAAACGAAACGATCGGGTTGCCGCAACTGCATTGACCAAGCATCTGTGCATCAGCTCCCATCCAGAGTTCGTCGGCGCTGTGCCCTCATGCCAGTGGCGTGTTTTTTACCGTTGCGCAGGGGCAAGACGTCCGCCCTGTCCGAGAGCTTCGTGTAGCTGCAGGAGTCGGATGGGACGGGCGAGGAGACCTCCGTTTCCCCGTCGTGTTCGGCGGCCTCGCAGTCGGAGGCCATCTCGATTGAACCGGTTCGAACCCCCGCGCCGGGCTCGCACCGCCTCGCAGACCTCGCTCAGCCACCCGCAGAACGCGAACCGTGAACTCGCTCTCGGCGTGGTTGTCGTCACGCGCCGACGTGTCTTCATTTGAAGAAGAGGAAGAAGGCCATGCTTGCTGCACTCACAGTAAATTAATATTCGCATCAGTGACACTGGCCATTATCTGTCCGCTGTTGGATACTCTCAATTACATTGGTTCCCCCCCCATTGCTGGTGGTCCTGTCCAGCTACCAGGTGCGGTATAACTGGCTTCCATTTTTTTTGTACCCACTCTCGTACTCATGAGGAATGTGTTCCCCATTGGCTGATGTTCCATCTCTAGAGTTTTCTTTTTCCCCCTTTGCTGTGAGCATCTACTCCAAGAGACATGCCCGGCCCAAATCGATGCACTTTGCTGAACAGATTGGGATATCATGGATTTGCTTTTTGAGCTTCTGATCCATTCGTTTAATCTTGTGCTCTTTCAAATCCAAGTGAATTTTTTTTCAAGTACTTTAATATACACGAGAGATGAAAACACCATGCATTTTATGCAGGCTCTTGAAATTTCCTTATTTTTAAATTAATTTGAAATTATATTTTACCTACGACCAAATCACCCTGAATATGTCTGATCTCGTCAGTTCTCGGACACAAAGCAGGTTTGAGTCTGGTTAATAGTTGGATGGGTGACCACCAGGGCTTGGCAGGTGTTGCAAGGTGGCAAGGAGATTGCGATGCTGAGTGTTACCTCCTCGTATGCCATGAGTTTTCTCTTAGTTTCCTTTCATATTGCCAAACACGTATTCATAAGCGTGGTCAAACAACCCATTGCAAGACCCTCCTAAAAAGAAGTCTCAAGAGCCCGTGGGCCTTTCGTGGGTAAACAATCGGCATCATTATTATTGTTGCAATTACGACAGCGTGTTGGCTGCATTTGAGAAAAAAAATACATGAAACGAGCAAGAGTAATCTCAAAATTGGAATAACATAATTGTTTTCAATAAACACATTGGACATAACTGTGGGAATGAAAGTAAATTATGGCACTCACATAAATGATTCCAAATGCATTTAATGTACTGTTAAATTTGTGGAATTTAATCCCAAAATCATTGTCAACCCCACATCTATTATTATTTCCAGCCCTTTTCAATGCATTGATGGGTGAATTTCTCCCCCATACACCGTGTCGGTTGTGAGGGTTTATTTGACCAACATATTCCTCGCTGTTCAATGCGGGTGAGTGCAGTGAGGGATGCCCAGAACCGGTTCAGATATCACTCACCGCTGATGCCGGTCATGGCCAGGGATCAAACTCAGGCACTCACAGCGCAGTGCACTAACCACCACAACACCACCCACTCCTGCGCTACACTGCTAAGAATTACACCACTTGGGAGGAGTGTTTCACTTAACTCGAGTCTGGCTAGATAATGTGCTAAGAAGCATGAGTATGTCATTCACAAGCATGGCTGTTAGTTTATTTCTTTCTTTCATCCGCAGGACACTTAAAGGCACTGGCCTCTGCCGTTTATGGGCGAGCTGTCGATTGTAAACGCGGCTGCATCTCGTAATTTGTTTCCCGTGCTAACATTGTATACAATGCACCCACATTACAAAATAAATTACACTGCACAGTATATGAGATAGAGTAAACGAAGGGCATTGTGCGTGAATGCACACAATGCAATGGAGGGCTGTCTCAAGCTACATCTAGCGTTGCAGCAGTAACACGCACACACGTGCGCGCACGCGATCAGATCTCTCGCACCTGCCGAATGCTTCACTGCCCTCAGGTTTCCACTACATTTGAAAGGCGATATGTCGGAACAGTGCAGCGATCGACAGTGCACTGCACCCTTTACCCAGCGACCTAAGTTTGATTCCTGGCAATGGTTAGCATCGGCGGTGAGTGACATCTGAAATAGACCTGGGGACATGCCTTCACAAATATGCACTGGCCCACATGGTGAAGTATGGTTAAACAAACCCGAGTGACTGACATGGCATGGGAAGGCCTTCCTCCAGGCTTGATGAAAATATTGCACATTATGATGATGCTTATTTATCGTCATAAAGAACATATAAAATAGCCAAGATGCTAAATAACGTAACAGTGATCATATTAAAAGCTTACGATTTTTAATTCAGCTTCATGCCAGCATGAGTTTTTTTAAAGATGTTTTATTCAATGCAGTACAAAAACTGCATTAATCAGACTGTAGTGATATCAAGATTTAATTGACACTATAGGTTTAAAAAAACAACACAATGTCAGTCTGAAATGGTACGAAGTCATATCAACCCCTACTGCCTAGATTAACTGTTAAATCAACGAGGACATTACACGGCATTACTATTTACATGATGGTGTTACTTGTCACAGGCGGAGGCAGAATGCTGCATTCAATTACTTTCCCCCGCTGGGTTTGGAGAAATCTCACGGTAATGCGTCAAAAATAGGCGGCACTGTCACCAACACGTCCTCCATCCCAGTGTGGAAGCACATGGCACGGAGATTTTTCCACAACACAGCCGATTGCGGACGGTCTTAAACACCGCATCCCTTAACAACTCCGAAACACAATTTCTTCATATCAAACTCGTCGCACGCGCTCGGCAAGTTACATTGCATAACGCTCTGTTTGGATTTATGCCATTACTTCACATCAGTGCTTGCGAAGCATGTGCTCTAGACTGTAAAACTTGAAAAAAAATTCCCTCCCCTATGAATACTTTGTGGTTTGACACCAGTGCCCTTTGAATAAAAGAGGCACGAACGACACGGAGAACCCGAATCCTCACGTGAAGAGACCACAAACACACACACCACGCACAATAAGAACCGTGGCTGCATTGCGTGCTATCTTATATACAAATGGCTTACCGTGGGGAGAATGCGTTCTCTCTGTGGGCTGTCACGAGCATCCACACCCGGTGCTGGCAGACACGGCCCTCTCATTGACCAAAGAGCTCAGGCATCCGGGCGGTCTCACGTTGAGAGAGCCCCCACGTGACAATCACACGTGACACACGCCGTGTTGTGTCACAGATTTTCTTTGTTGAGAAAGAGGGTCAAGCAGTAAAAGAGGGGGGGGGGGGGGGGGGGAGGAAACCGGCTTCCTCTTTGCCTGTACACACCAGCATGAGCACTCGCTCCCTCCCTTTTGCTTTTGGCCAACGCTCTCCCCTGGGTTCTTAGATTGCAGATTGTCGCCACGATATATTGTTAGTGCTGTACGATAATTTAGCCGGTGGCATGAGGATAACTCCCTTGAAGAAATTATGTATATAACTGCCCTTGCCGCTTCAAATGCGCTTCACAAAAATGCAGACAAAATAAGCGATACCGCTTACAGGGACAGATAAGCAATGGGTGACTACCATGCACAAATAGGTTGTAATAGGGCTGGGGGCCTATATGGTGGGCAACAGAGGGCATCGCAGTATAATCCATTGATGTACGGTACTTCTGTGCATCCACATCTATGCTCCCTGCCTTCACCAACCCGCACTGACCACGATGGGCAGGGATCGGCAATCAAAACAACAAGAGTCAACATAAACAACTCAATAATTAAAGTCACAATTCCGTGTGAATACGAGAAGATGGTCCTAAACAAATAACGTCACGAAGCAGCAGCCCTTCAAGAGCCACATTGCGGCTCTGGAGCCACGGGTTGCCGACCCCTGGCCATGATGAATTAAGGTCAATGACTCCCGTGACCTCCGCGGACACGGGGGAAGACACTCATCCAGCAATAGATTCACAAAATGGCTTTACAATTACATGTGCAGTGTACTAAGAATTCCTGCCCTGTTGGTATGTGTATTTGTGTAGCATCATAATCAGTCATTTTCAATCAACTGCTAGATAAAGGCCTTACATTGTTTGATAACCAAGAAATATGGTAAACTATATGGGTAGATTGCTATTTGTCCATGAACTCAAACGAAACGTCACTTGTCGGTACCACCCGAGGTGGCATAACCTTTACTGTGGTACCGATTCATTTATGTGGCCAATAACGGTGAAGTGTGTGATAACCATTTGAAAATAGGGGGGTTAACAAATAATACATGTAAATAAATGGGGACAACTAACGTTTTGCTTCATTAGGTGCTACCGATATCTGCTCTGGCCCATGGACTAAATCTGTGATAAACTAGCTTATGATAATTTTTTTGTCACATGTCAATCCACTAGTAGGACGGACGGAGGGCCCGCCCCATGCCATCTCCATCGTGGCAGTTTTTGACCAGAACCGTGCAGGGTCAGTGTGGGCTGATAGAGGGAGAGGACGGACCTGATCACTCACAACTGTTCTTATCTGTGGTTGGGATCACATTCAGGTGACCAGGTTCCCGAGCACAGTATGCTCGAGCGCGCTAAACACTGTGCCACCGTTCCACCCAATTATACTGTAAAAAACTATTTTCTTATAAATCTTTAAAATGTGCCACATGGCTCAGCAGAGCACACCAAGGCACCCAAACAAAACAAAAAACCCCCACGCAGCATGAAGCCGTAAAAAAATAAAACCCTGTGACAAATTTGAAATCATAACACATGCGGTGGACGCTTTCTCTGTTGGTTTTGTGACAGTGATGAGATGGGTGCAAGGAGATGGTGGGTGGAGGAGGAAGGGGGGGGGGTCAAACGTGTTTGAAATTCCTCCCGCAAAGAAACCCGGATAGAATGCAGGCATCAACGCCTCTCGGTGTGACAGGGACCCCCAGGCAGGCCCCAGCGGGGGTTCCCCCCCCCCGCCCCCCTCTCTCTCATCCACACCAAATGGTCGGTGCGCAAAGCAACCACGAAGGCTTTACAGTAGTCAAACAAGATTGATGAAAAGCATGAAAAAAACATTTTAAAACACTCATTGACCCAAACGGCATGCTTGCCCTTTTGCAGCAGAAACCCTGCACCGTGGCTCCCCTAGGCTATCGGTGTACAGTGCGCGTGGCAAGCCACACACACACACACACGCGCGC